CGACCTTTATAGCTAGCTATATAATACCCTTAATTACTATACTTTTTATTACGCTTAAAGCGCCCTTTACTCGCTTTAAGGCAATCTTCTCTACTAGTATTTATATCTCTTATATAAGCGCCTTATTAACTATAGTATAGTACTAGTAGCCCTTATTTATAAGGGCGGCGATAGGTAAAGAGTTATTAATTATAACCTATATTAAAGTAAGCTCCTCTTTTATATAAGCGGATAATTCCTCTTTCTCTTTTATTAGTGCTAGTAATTAAGGCTCTAGAGCCTATCTTTACTCTAGAGCTACTCTTTTTCCTCTAAGCCTAAGGGGGCAGAGTCCTTCTTATTATCTAAAGTAAAGAGTAGTTTTATCTTTACTACTTAAACCGCTATAGGCCGCTTAGCTAAAAGGAAGGTTTATTTTAGTATAAAGTATATAAACGCGCTATAATATAAGTAGCGGCTATTAGCTTTCCTCTTCCCGATTTCCTTACTTATTACTTACTTCGCCCGCTACTTAAAGTATAAGGCGGTATAGGGGGTAGTCGACGGCGCCTTCTTACCGCGTTTAGCTTAGTTTATATAGGTAGCTAATATTAAGGTATCCCTATCTATATTAATAGCTAGTTATTTATCTTATAAAGGGGCGGTAATCTTATTACTATTATATAGCGTACGCTTATAGAGCTTTTAGAAACGCGGCGTTTACTTATAGCCCTATACTACCTTTATTAACCGGCTTATATACTCGCTATAGTTAATAGGTATAATTATAAGGATAAGTAGCTCCTATAAGGCTAGCGTAATCGAATTCTATAGCTATATAAGCTTCGTGCTATCTTCCTATACTATAGTCCCCGCTACTTATAAGAGCGTCTTTTTAAAATTAAGGAGGAATTTACTAAAGGTTTTTCTATCTTTTTACTTAAGGGTCTATAGCTTATCTTACGCTTTCTCCCGCTCTTATACGTTGCTAAATATATATATAAGGTATTAAAAGAAGTCTTATAGGTCGCGTTTACCCTTAAGGCCGCCTTTATCTTAGAATCTAGAGATCCGCCGTATCTAGGGCTCTAGTAGCGTATAGAGGAGCGAATACTATACTATATCGCGATAGCTATTTAGGCCCTATTTCTCGTCGGTTATAAACTTCGTCTATAGCCGGCTAAGGAAGAAGTAAAAGGACTCTAGCTTACTATCCTAAGTCGGCTAAGGGAGCGGCTTCCGCGTCGGTAGTATCGCCGCCGTAACCGGCGGTATAGAGGTTATAGGGGTTAAAGCTAGTCCTATAGACGGCTCCCTTAGTATAGCGAGAACCTTATCCTTCTCGCTAGCCGTCGCGCTTTTAATCGCTTTTAAGATAGCTATAATACTTCCTATCCGTCTAGGGAGGGGCAGAGTACTTCCTCGAGGTAGTAGCACCCTCTTTAAAGAGATATCTATTAGATCTATTAGTTAATAGCTTATATTATTATAGAGTAGGTAGAGGTATATATATAGGTGCCGTCTATAGGATAATATTAATAAGCTATATAAAGCTCTCCTATACGCGGCTAGCCCGTATATATACGTATAAGATCTAGCCCTCTATATATAACTATATAGCTTAGGCTATAGCTTAAGCTTATAACTTATAACAGTTAAAGACTCTTATAACTACTAAAGATAGAAGTTTTTCCTTAAAAGATAATAATTTAATATATTAAAGTATTATAAGAAGTAGTTTTAGCGCTATTAGTATTAGCTATAGTAAGAGATAAGCTATAGCCCTACTTATAAGAAATAGAAAATAAATAGTCTAAACTATAAAGGCGCTAAGTATATAAATAATACTTAAAATAGCCTTTAATAATAAAATTATCATTTTTTACTTTTTATTTAACCCTTTAATATACTAGCTACTACCTAGCTATTATAATCTTTTTTATTACTATAGCTTTAAGTTAAGGCTTAGCTTTTTTTACTATTATAATATCTTTAAATAGCTTAATAATACTATATTAAAAAGATAGTTTTATAGCTTAAGCTTAATAAGGAGATTAGTAAGTATAAATAATAAATAATAGTATAAATATAATAGCTTATATATAGCTATAGAAAGAGGTTATATTAATATAATAATATAATAATATATCTCTTTTATTAAGAGCCTTATTTCTTTTTAAGTAAAAAAAAGGAAATTTACCTATAAAATATAGCTAGGTCTTATATATAATAATATATATAATTTATTATATGTTTTTACTAATTAGTTTTAATATATAGCTACCGCCTCTCTTCCCTTTAAAATAAATAATATTAACGAGTTCTAGCATCGTAAGAGGCGACAGGGCACGAGCCCTATAAGTATACTATAGCAAAGCGTCTCGAGCACCACCGAATAAGCGCCTCTAGGCAGCAGGAAGCGCCGTTCTTAGATGTGCCCTTTTGTCCCGTTCGGCTTGTCCTTCTCGGGTAGGACAATTCGTGCTAGGTATTAGCTTATCTAAGAGGATGCGTTAATGGTGCCACTCTTTATCTAGATAGTTTATCGGGTGTAATTATTGTGGCCAACGAATCGCATCTCTATAGCACATTCCATTGCAGCAGCGCGTCATTCATCCTAATTGCTTTATTGCCCCCCCCCCCCAAAACCCTATACGCGTCCGTTTGTATTGCTTGTCTAATCCGACAAGGAAAAGATAAGGTAGCTGCGGCGATATTGTCTTCTAATTAGTTCGCCACTTCTAATAACGGCTCGCTTCTCGGGAGAATACTGCGACCACTCCATATTGACCTTGGCCCATTTCCCCACTGCCCTGCAGGCCACCGCGGACGAGCACGCATGCCTGTGACGGCCAGCAACACCAAGCTTTGGTGATAGGGCTCTTGGGCGAATCCTCGAATCCGTCTCCCGGAACTCGCAGACAGATCCCTTTTCCAGGGACGCGCGGATATATGATGGCCCGGTGAGGTGCTCAAGCGCGACTATACACAGAGCTGATGAAGACGAGGGCTCCTTGCCGCCTTTGATTTTCCCGACATGTACGAAAGGTGTGAAGATGGGGGGTGTCCTAGCTCTGAAGTAGCAGCTCGACAGGCGGCGCAGTTCGTCGAGGAAATAGCCGCATGTTACGACGAATCGACTCCGGGGCTGAGCAGAGAGCCAGGTATGATGATGCCCCGGGCGTTAGAAGGCCCTTGTGCGCATGGAAAGGGCGTTGGCCTCTGAAACGGTCCCAAAGCCCCGGCTGCGCACCGGTGAGCTTCCAGAACTTGCTCTGTGCCCTTGCATCTTCGTCGGCATCAACCTTGCCCCTCGAGCCGGTCGTCCCACCACGCCCGTCACCGACGGCCGGTACTAATGGACTCTACGAAGACTCAATGCATTCCATTGACCCCGAGTTCGAGTCACGGCGCGATGGCGTGACCAGGTGCTGGTTTCCCGGGCCTCGATGCAGATGCCACGGGTGGATTCGTGGACTTGGTGTAGACGAGGGCCTGGGCCAAGCTCGGGCCATGGTCCGCCGACAGGTGGTTAGAGGCGGAACGCCCTTGTTCCCCTGGCAGCTTGACGAGCTCCATGGGCCGAGATAGTGCAGCTCGCATCGACACGAGTCAACAGGTGGCCGAAATGTGCTGTGCGAGCCAGCATCTACAGATGTTTCCGCAAGCCGGTTTGCAGACAAGTGGCCGTTTCAGGCTCGACGGCAAGCTTGTTCGACCTGGCAGTTCTTGCGAGTGAGCCCACTCGGCCGGTGCCGGGGGACTGGCCATGGATTCCTAGCTCTCTGGCCCGTACACACCACACAGGTCCTAACAGGAAACGTATAGGATCCTAGAGGGAGCCGTTGCGATTGGGGGCGGGGGCCCGCTATGCTGTCTGGAGGGCGGCCGGTGCCCGGCAACCCTGGTCAGTTCGCATCGAAGCGGCGCAATGATAATTTGGTGCAAATCAGCCGAGAGCATCTCGGCCGGCATGGAGAGCACGCGCGGCACGGCCCTGCTATGGTTACCCTCGCTCGCAGCATAAGAGGCCGCGTAGCCGTTATTCGAGGCCGAGCCGACCGGGTCGATGCCAAGCTCGATTGCAAAGGCCTACATGGCGACAGGCATCCCGAGAAGTGCCGAGAATGCCGCATCTTCTGATGCAGACGGGCCCCGGGCCACGATGCTTGACCGCGACGCACAGGCAAACCGAGGTGGTGATTCGAGGTTGGCGGCGAATCCCGATGCCCGTCGAACCGTTGGCGACGCCACGGAGGGAGTCCCGAGCGATCTGCAGCGGCCGCTGATTGGCCGAAACCCGAGCCTCTGCACCGATGACGGCCAAGGTTGACAGGTCGAGCTCGTCCGGCACGCGAAGCAGCTGAGTCAGGCGAGTTTGAGAGGCTTCATGCCCGTGCCACTCGACGCTTGGCCATCTACGGCCGAGTCTGCGGGCGCGAGACCAGCCTCAAAGGGGCAAAAGCACCACATGTGCCGAAACAAGTTGGGACGGCACTTGACGGCGGCCGCCGCCGCCCTCTGGTCTGACGGTCGAGACACGGGCGAGCAAAGCTACTGGCCTTTGTCAGAGCCGCAACTCTATTCGACCACGCTTCGGAACCAGGCCGAATTCCGGTTCCGTCGTGGCCCGGGATTGGCTTGTTAGCCCATGGAAAGGATCTAGGATTCGAGAAGGCTGTTAAATCACAGGGACAAGAGGCTATCGGCCGAGTCCCTGACTAGAAGGCCCAGCAAGGTTCGACCCCATCCGAAGTGCTTGGCCAGTTAAAGACTGAACGGGCTGCCGATGCGTAGCTCTTCTTCCCACCTCTCTCATTGCTGATTCTACCCTGATCCGCCTGTCCATTCCACCCGTCTATTCATCCATGTTCTCTACCGGCGGAACCGTCGTTTCCTCCCTCCTCTCCCACCCGCCGCCGCCCTCGTCCACCTCGGCCTGTCTCGCGCGCATCCATTCGTTGTCTGCAGCACTATCATGCGAACAGAGCCGGCGTCCTCGCCCCTGCTCCCCGGTGCCCATGTCGCTGGACAATCCCTTCCTCGTCAGCCGCGCCGGCTCCCCCGCAGCGCCGCCGCCGCCGGGGCGAAGTGCAGACGGTCATCTTGACGGCTCCCGCGCCGCTTCGGCTTCCGCGTCGAACCCCGACATGGCGGCCGGGCTCGCAACATCCGGCCTCCACGCCCCGGCGAGCAGCGCAAGCATGGCCGACATGGACTGGTCCGACCTGTTCTTGTTTGGGAACGAAGACGATGGCGGCAGCGGCCTGGACCAGCCGCAACACTACCACCATCAGAGCACCCCAGACGCCGGCCTGGTGCCCCCGATGCCGGGCCTGGGCGCCCAGCAGGCTTGCCTCCCCTTCCCGCCCGACAACTTCTCGGGCGTCGGCGTGCCCGGCTTCGGGGGCAGACCCGAGTTCCTCGGCATGGCGGAATTCTTCCAGAAGAACGGGGCGTGGCGGCCTTCGCAGCCGTGCACGCACTGCAAAAGACTGCGCCTGCAATGCTTCATCATCAACACGTCGTCGGCCAACCCCAACCCGGTCCACTCGTGCTCGAGCTGCGCCGCCCTCTTCCGCCAGTGCAGCCTGACGGGGCGCTCCAAGCGGCAGCATTCGCCCTTTGAGACGGCGGCGCCCGTCATCGGCCACCTGCACGGCGTCAGCGAGGAGGGCGATCCCGCCACCTGGCATGGAATGCCCGGCGTGCCGCTTGCCGACGCCTCGGAAGACTCGGCGGGCGTGTCCCTGGCGCCGACGCCCGGGTCCAGCAAGCGGTCGAGCTCGAGGTCTGTCCGCCGGACGCAGGTTCTGCGCGACTGGTATGCCTGCAACTTCCACCACCCCTACCCGACGGACACGGAGAAGACGGCGCTCACCGAGGAATCGGGCCTGAGCAGGACTCAGGTCATCAACTGGTTCACCAACGCGAGGCGCCGCGACCGCCAGTCGGGCCAGCACGCGCACGGCCGTGCCGCTCCCGGCGCACCGGGCTCGACTCCCGCGCCGCAGTCCCAGCTCGTGTCCGCCATGACGCCCCTGGAGCGGTGGCGCAACTACCCTTCGGAAAGCGAGCACGTGTCGGCGTCGGCCATCCAACAGGCCCTGAGCACTAGCAGCGACAGGGACGATGGCGAGGAGGAGGCGCAGGGCAGCTTTCCCGGCCTCGACGGGGGCGTCGGCCCCGAGGCCGGCGGCGGCCGGTGGCTCAGCGGCCAGGCGGCGAATCCCTACTCTTCCGACGGCTCGGTGAAGTCGTCGTACTCGCGCTTTTCCGCCAACAGCGGCTCGCCCTGGTCCGCGCGCAGCCCCGAGGACCGCACGCAGCTCCCCTGGCCTCCCGGTCCGTCCCGGGCACAGCATGCGAAGCCGCGGACCTTTACGTGTGGCTACTGCTCGCGGACCTTTTCCAAAAAGTACGACTGGCTGCGGCACGAGCGATCTCTCCACGCGCCGGGAGACGTGTCCTGGACCTGCGCCGTCCCGCTGCAGCCCAACCAGTCCTTTCTGCTGTGGCGCCTGGGCCACGAGCAGCCCGAGTGCATCTTTTGCGGCCAGGTGGCGCCGACCGAGGAGCATCTACACTCGCACGAGTTTGAGGCGTGCTCGAAACGCGCGGTGCAGGACCGCAGCTTCTCGCGCAAGGATCACATGTGGCAGCACCTCTACAAGTTCCACGGGTGCCGCAAATGGGAGGGCTGGAAGCCTGATCTGAACCTGCTCCAACGCAAGGCGGGAGGCCTCGAGCGGGATGCTAGCATTTGACCGCATACGGCGACGTAACTTGTCGCGCGCCAGATGGGCCTCGAGTCCCACTTTTCGATCGCTCTGACGGTCGAGTCATGGGCGGCAGTCAGAAACGTGCACGGGGGCTGCCGAGTGGGCGGGACGTGAGGGCATCAGGGTGGCCGGCCGGGTGGGCGTCAGCCGATGACGGACGGTCCGCTCTTCAAGGTTGGGCGACGTCGAACCGGCGGCGCAATGGCAGGCAGGGCATGAGGCCCAGCCAGGAGCTGGCGCGGCGCCAGGGCGTTTGTCAGCTCGTCGTCGTCCCAGGGAAGCGTTTGTGGGCGCCACGTTGTACGTGGGTCGAGGGTCGCCGACCAAGGTGGCCCGGCTGTGTGGAGGCCGTGTGGAGGCCGTGTGGAGGCCGTGTGGAGGCCGCGTGGGGGCCGACGACGTGCGCTCGAGCCCTTTACATGGACGGCGAGGGGATAGTTCGGCATCTGATGAACGCCATCGGCTGGATGGAGTCGCTTGGGGAGAGCGGCCGTTTCAGCCGTTTTGTGGGCCGACGGCTCCTTGTTTGCTCTTTTTTTAGCCTAAAGACATGCCATGCCACGAGCTGCGGACCGGGATTCTCCCTTTTTCCTTGGTGCTGGGCGTTTTGGCAGGGACAAGACAGGAAAAAAGACAATTATAGACGCGGGCGGATCGCCGGTGGGCGAGCCATGGTGTTGGACGAGATATCACGAGTTTACGACGAGGCAGAACAAGTCTTGCACACAATTAAGCCGTGTCTTTTCCGCCTCTGCTTGAGTGACGAGTCAGATGATTGTTCAGTCTCGGATGATGTATTCTGGAGGCATTGCGTGCTTGCAGGGGGGGATCAGACGCAGGTTGTGGTGATGTTGATGAGCCAGCGCCTCGGGGCGTGTTTGTGTTTGTCGCGAGTGTCGCCCGCGGCATGAAACGGCGGGCCATGTTCTGCTTGCTGTATGTCTGCCGGGGGCTGTCTCTGGGAAACGGCTTCTCCAAGGCCCTCCTCTGGAGCGGCCGTGGTGTTGCTGCGTCGGGCCCTACCGGCCGGCCGTCTTGCCGGGCCGGATCTCGCCAACCGACTCGACTGCCAGCTTTGTCGGCTGTCAAGGCAAAGTAAGCGCCGCGGCCCGCGGTGAGAAAGCAGCCAGAGTGCCATTCTGGCGACGGTCCCCCTTTTCCCCCCATTTTCCAACGTCAGCTCAGCCATACTGTACATAGCTAGTAGGGAAGCACCGCCGGGGGCCCAGCCGCCTCTGCTGCCAAACCTTCTGCGCCCGCCACTCATTTTCCTCTCTTTCTCTCTCTTCTCTCTCTCTCTCTCTCTCTCTCTCATTCGCGTATCAATGACTGCTGGCATCATGATGGACAATGGCACGGCCGCGTCTCGGGGCGCCAACGGCGGGAGCCCGGCTCGGGGGGCCGGCGTCGGCGGCGGAGAACCCGGTCCGGGGATCGACACCGAGTTCCTCATCGTCGGGAGCGGACCGGCCGGGGCCTCGCTCGCCTGCTTCCTCGCTTCCTACGGTAACTTGTCCAAGGCAAGAATCAGACTCTCCAAAGCACACGGGCTGATGATGGCCCTCTTCTTCTCCTTCTTTTCCTCGCACAGGCTTAAAGGGCATTGTGATTGCTTCGACGCCCGGCACGGCAGACACGCCGCGCGCGCACATTACCAACATGGCGGCAATGGGTACGATGCTCTTCCGAGTCCCTCTACTGTAGTTGTGTCTCCAGGGGCGTGTTACTAACGACTCTGGACCATTCACCCCAAAGAGTGCCTGCGGGACATCGGCCTCGAGAGAGACATGGACCAAGTGTCGTCCAAGGCCAGCTGCATGGTCCACACCCGGTGGTGCTACAGCATGGCCGGCGATGAGTTTGCACGTCTGTACTCGTGGGGCAACGACCCGAGGCGCAAGGTGAGGCGAGAGAATGGACACGGCCCTCCGCAGCCAAACGCGCGTCTGATACGGCCCTCCAAAGGGTGACTACGAGATGGCGAGCCCGTGCAAGCCGGCCGACCTGCCGCAGACGCTGCTCGAGCCCATCCTCATCCGCCACGCCGTCCACCACGGGTTCCGCGTCCGCTTCGACACGACGCTGCTGTCCTTTGCCGACGACGAGCGCAGCAACGTCATCACGGCCGTCGTGCGCGACGACCTGACCAAGACGGAGACGACGATACGCACCACGTACCTCTTTGGCGCCGACGGCGCGCGGAGCCACGTCGTCCAGCGGCTCGGCCTGCCGCTGGATCGCAAGCCGGGACAGGGCCTCGCCTTCAACGTGCTCGTCAAGGCCGACATGTCGCACCTCATTGGCTCGCGCATGGGTAACCTCCACTGGGTCATGCAGCCGGACCGCGAGCATCCGGACTTTGGCTGCATGGGCGTCGTGCGCATGATTAAGCCGTGGGACGAGTGGCTGTTCATCCTCCTCCCCGGCGCTGAGCACGTCCATGTCCAGCCCTCGAGGGAGGAGCTTCTGCAGCGGGTGAGGGAGTTCATCGGAGACGAGACACCTGCCGAGATTCTAGATGTGTCCAAGTGGCAGATCAACGAGGTTGTGGCAGACAGATACTCGGAGGGCAACGTGTACGTCGAGCCATCCGTCCAACAGTGCCTTGCTCACCATGATGTGCAGCTTCTGCCTCGGCGACGCCGTCCACCGGCATCCGCCCATGAACGGCCTCGGGAGCAACACGTGTATCCAGGACGCCTACAACCTGGCGTGGAAGATTGCCTATGTCCACCGCGGCCTGGCAGGGCCCTCGCTGCTGTCCACGTACAGCGAGGAGCGACAGCCCGTAGGGAAGACAGTCGTTGAGCGCGCCAACCAGGCCTTCCGGGATCACTTTGACTTGTGGGAATCGCTGGGCACGCTGGAACCCGACCTGGATGAGCGGAGGCGCGTCTACGGGGAGCTGCTCGAGCCCGGAGCCAGGGGGAGCAAGCGCCGCCAAGACTTTCGACGGGGAATCCAAAAGACGATCGAGGAGTTTCATGGCCTCGGGGTCGAGATGGGCCAGCACTACGGCGGCCGAGCCATCCACGACGCCGACGAGCCCGCGCCTTTCCAGCCAAGCGGCCGCGCAGCCGAGAACGCGGTGCTATACCACGAGCCCAACACGTACCCCGGCTCGCGGCTGCCGCACGTCTGGCTCAACAAGGCGAAGCCGACGACGCCGACGTCGACGATTGACATTGCCGGCCACGGGCGCTTCGTGCTCCTGACGGGCTGCGGCGGCGAGGCGTGGAAGCGGGCGGCGGGCGGCGTGTCGGCGGCGCTGGGGGTGCCGCTCGAGGCCCACTCCATCGGGTTCCGCCAGGACTGGGAGGACTTTTACTTTGAGTGGGAGAGGCTGCGGGGCGTGCAGGAGTCGGGCGCGGTGCTCGTGCGGCCGGACCGGTTCGTGGCCTGGAGAGCTGACGACGTGGTTGGGGATGCGGATGCTTGCGCGGCCAAGCTCGGGCAAGTCATGAGGTCGATTCTCTGCTTGCAGCAGGGGTAGGCGCGGTTAGTCCGTTGTGAGTTGGTTAGGCAAAGTCCGAGCATCTAATTAGAGGAGGGGAAAAGCTCCCCAACAGGCCTCGGGGATGCGGCTTCACGATGGTTGACGAGTTGAGGGCGTGGCTCCAGGGTAGGCGAGATGTCCACTAGGTCAAGGAGGAGCTGTTAACAGGTACTGTCAGGTACAGCAGCCGAGGCAGGGGCTAGCGCCGGGGGCACATTAGCAGAGATGGCGAGGTACCTGCGGCAAGGTACTAAGTTAGCTGGCCCGCCTGCACGTGGAATCCTCAGCCAAAGAGGAGCGAAAAGACACTTTTCCCGGTACAGGGAGCTTCAGTGGCCGGCTTCAACCACCAAGAGCTCCAGATTCCCCATCCTCCTCCTCCTGCTGCTGCAGTCGCATCTCGTCGCCCGCCTCTCGGACCAGCTAGCCCCTCACTTCACCTGACCGCCGCCGCCGCCGCCCTCGGTCCGAGCCTCGAGGCTTCCCCCGCCGCCGTCTACGCGCCCCATCGCATCCTCGTCGCATCCTCTCCTCTCCAACACAAACTCCATCTAACAAAGCCCTCCCGGCCCTCGAGGGCAGCCGGCTCTCACGCGCGAGCCGCCATTGGGGCCGTGGCGACGTCCCATCATGCTCGTCTCCCTGACCGTCGGCAAGGTCGACGCCGGCGTCACCGTCCTCCTGACGCCCGACAAGCGCCTGGTAACTAGCAATCCATCAATCCGTCTCCCGGCGCAGTGCCAGCTGACGCCCCGGCTCTAGATTGAGTTTCCCTCCATCCTCCTCCCGCCCAATATCTCGTCTGGAAGCATCGTCGACATCGCCGTCTCGCAAAACACGAGCAAGGAGACGGCCGAGGAGCAACGGTTCCGTGCCCTGCAAGACCGCATCTTCAACTCGTTTGGCGCCGCCGAGCCCGCTGTCCCCGTCCTGCGCTGCCGCAATGCCACGCAAACCTCGGTCGTCCTCGAGTGGGACCCCATCAAGCTTGCCACCGCCGACCTGATATCCCTGAGCCTCTACCGCAACGGCCAAAAGGCCGGCAACATCCCCCGCCCCCTGCAGATGCACAGCACCAAGATCAGCGGCCTCGCCGTCGACACCGAGTACACCTTTTACCTCATCCTCAGGACCAGCGCCGGCACCCGCACCAGCGAAAAGGTGACGGTCCGGACCCACAAGATGACGGACCTGAGCGGCATCACCATCACCACGGGCATCCTGCCCGGCGCAACAAAGGACAAGCTAGCGCAGGCCGTGGAGCGTATCGGCGCCAAGATTGTCGACGGCGTCCGCATCGACACGACGCACTTTGTCACCACCGAAGGCCGCGGGGCCGCCTGGGAAAAGGCCGTCGAGAACAACATCCCCGTGGTGCGGCCTGAGTGGGTCGATGCCTGCGAACACAATGGCCGCATCCTCGGCGTCACCAGGTTCTACCTCGACGCTATGCGCGCGGGGCCCCTGCCCGAAGAGCCGCCCGCCCCGCCCGTGCCGCCCAAGGAAGAGTCCAAGGACGAGCCCAAGGAGGAGTCGCCGCACGAAACGCCCGCCGAAGAGGACCAGAAGCCCGACGGTGGCTACGAAAAGGCCGAAACGGCCGACGACAAGAGCGACCAGACGGCCGACGACGACGACGACTCAGCCGATGAGCAAGAAACGGAACCCGAGCAAAAAACCAAGAGCTCGCTGGCGGACGAGCAGAAGATGCGGCTGGAAGAAAAGGAGGAGCACAAGGTGGCGCTGCGGCCCAAGGAGGAGGCGGCGGCGGCGGCTGCAAACGGATGGATCAAGAACGAAAGGGATGCCGAAGAGAAGGCGCGAGAGGAGCAAGAACGCGAGGCTATGGAAAAGCCGGCGGCAAATACCGATGGGTCGTCGTTTCAAGAGGTTGAGTTGTAAAGAGATAGAGGGGGACACTAAAGGGGTCGCCGGAGGCGTCACGGGGGGCGTGTTTGTCTCATTATGCCGCGGAAGAGAGTAGACGGGACAGCGGCAGGGGAAGAGGGACAGAAGATGGAGCATTGTGTACGACTAACTGGCCAAGGCACATAAAGCCAAAGAGGCGCCTCTCGCCGTCTAGAGAAGAGACGCGGGCCCAGGCTGAATAACGCCCAGCGACGCGATGGTTCAAGGCGGCACCTCGTCGCCCTTCCAGTCCCAGCACCTGCCCCGCTGCTCGACGCGCATGCGGCCGACGACGTCGACGAGGCGCTCGGCCGCGTACTCGGGGCTGAAGAGCTTGCCCGGGGCGACGCCGGCCCAGAAGTCGCGGCTGAGGTCGGTGCGCACGCTGCCCGGGTGGTAGGCGACGGCGAGGGCGCGGCGGCCGCTGCGCGCCGCGAGGAACAGGTCCAGGCTGCGCGCCAGGCTGATGACGGCGGCCTTGCTGGCGCGGTACGAGAACCAGCCGCCGGCGCGGTTGTCCGTCGTCGAGCCGACGCGCGCCGCCATGGCGAGCCAGGTCGCGTGCGCGGGGGCCAGCGCGCCGAGGGACGAAGCGTCGGCCGCGCAGACGGTCGTGGCGCGCCGCGGCAGCAAGGCGAAGAAGTGCTTCGCCAGCACCAGCGGCCCCACGGCGTTGACGCGGAACGACTCCAGCGCCAGCTCGGCGTCGACGCCCGCCGGCGCCTTTTCCGCGTGCAGCACGCCCGCCACGGCGCACCCGAGGTGCAGGTGGTGCGTCGCCGGCGGGAACAGCGTCGCCGCGACGCGGGCCGCCTCGCGCACCGACGCCTCGTCGCCCACGTCGCACCGCACCACCGTCAGCCGCCGAAAGTCGTCCGGCGCCAGGCCGTCCAGGCCGTCCAGGCCGTCGAGCAGCGCCGCCTTGGCCGCCGCCGTGTCGCCTGAGCGCGTCGTGGCCAGCACCGGCAGCGTCGTCGTGGCCAGCAGGCGCCGCGTGAGGGCGCGGCCGATGCCCCGGCTCGACGGGCAGATGAAGATCCACGGCAGTGACGGCGGCGGCGGCATGGCGACAGTGAACAAGACGAAATTGAGCAAACCAAGGGTGAATAGATAAAAGGCCGCGCCCAGGGAAGGGGAGTAAATGTCGGAGCCGGTGCCGCCAAGGGGTGTCGAGTGAGACTGCTCAACTCCCGCAAAGACATTCCAACCGCAGCTTCAACGCTCTCGTGCAAGACAAATCTCTGCGCCAATAATCAATCTCCCAAAGTCTACGCATCATCACTTGCTCCCTGACTCTTGTTTGCTTTTCTTCCCCCTGCGCGTGCCTCCCGCCCGGAGCCGCATCCATCGACGTCATCCGAACCAAGAAGATGGATGCCCATTTGCACATCAGTTAATTAGTACTGTATACTTTGCTTCCTTGCTCCTCACAGCCGCCTCCTTCAACGCCTTTCTCCCAAACATGTCCACTGCCTGCCCCGCCGTCTCTCGCACGCTTACTTGGTATCAATAACTCGTCGCAGGCTGGCGACTCATCATCTTTGCTTTGTACTCTGTGTCTGTGGCATTAATAAAGATATTTCCATGCGTTGAAACGTAAATACCAAATATCGCCTTGTCCTGCCCGTGCCACGCTCCCCCAACACTTACACCCACACCCGCACGGCAGCCAAAAGAGAATCAACCAAAGACTCCCACGCTCATCCATCCTTCCCTCTTCCCGCCTCGCCTCGCACTTCCCGCGCCCCCCCCTCGCTGTGCCCCTTTGCCCTAGCCGCCACTACCGCCGCCCTCTGCCTTCTCCTGGCCTCACCTGCAAGCTCCCTCATCAACGGCTCAATCGAGCCCAACCCGCTCGTGTCGTCGCTCCCGCTCGCGCTGTCCCGCCACGCGCCCCTGCGATGGCTGTTGTAGTCGTCGTCGTCATCGTCGTCGTCGTCGCCCCTGCTTGCGCCCTCCCTTTGTCGCGCCAGCTTCTCCAAGAGCCTGCCGTGCGCCAAGCTCCTCCGCCTCGACGCCCGGCGCCTGTCTGCCTTGCGGCCGAGACGCTCTGCTGCGCTGTCCGCCTCGCCGTCCGATGCAAAATCCTCGTGCTCGTCCCTGTACAATAGCTCCCCCTTTGTCGCCGCCGCCGCCAAGGTGCGGTTCATGTTATCCAAGACGGGGACCAGTGCTCGGAGCCAGACGTCACCGTTGCGCTCCAGGCGGCGTAGACGGCGTTCCATGTCTCGGAGGCGATGCTCGCGGTACGACTCGTACAGGCACATCAACTCCCTGTCCGCCTGCGAGCCCTTGCCGTCGCGCGCGGCCCCCCCAGGGGCGAGGCCCTGTGCCTCTGCACGGGCCAGCGCGATGGCCTCCCGGGCCTTGCGCTCCTGCTCGCGAATGGCTTTCCATTCCCGGCGCCGCGTGAGCGACGTGCGGTCCGCGGCCGCGTGCCTCGTGGGCGGAGACCCGTTGGCCGACACCGGGGGCGTTGGGATGCTGGGATCACTCGGCTGAGGCAACAGCTCGGAGGGATCCGAACCTTCCTCGACCGACTGTGGCGCTGGCACCGCCTTGGATTGCCGATGACGCGTGGCCCGCTTCATGGAAGGACAGGGTTCGAAGTCGACCACCACCATCATGTTGCTCATACTCAAGTGCTGAGTTGGGTTGTTCTCATCATTCTGTGCAACGGGTTCACGCGCGTCGCCGGCACACTCTTGCACAGTCCCCTTTGTTGCCTGTGCCCTGCTGGTCCCGTTGGTCGCCGCGGCATCGCTCGTTGCTTCGTCCCGCTTCATCTGCTTCGGCCTCCGAACGGCCTCCATGTCCCGCCGCTTCCTATCTCGCACCGCTTCCCTCCGATTCCTGGGCGAAGTTGGCGGGGGTGGCAGAGGCGGCGAGGGGTCCCTGTGAGAGACGATGGGGCTGTCGGCGATCACCGTGAGCCCCGAGGATCGACCATCCTGTCTGTTGGCCGGCGCGGGACGCTCACTGCCGAGGCCGGGAACAGCGCTCGACTTTCTGGGCTTTCCCCACTGCGACGAGTTCAGACTGGCCTCGCTCGCCTTGGACAAGGCTGTACTGCCACCGGGTGAAGGGGGACCCAGGTCTCGCAAGCGACGCATTGTGTCCTGACTGCGCTCCTGCTGCTCCTGCAGTTGTAGTTTCTGTTGCTGCTGTCGTCGCCGCTGCCGCTGCTGCTGCGAGAGAAGTGAGTCGATCGAGGCATGCTGGCCTTTGCCACGAAGGCGCACCACGCTGGAACTGCGGGCAGGGAACGGCGACTGCTGAGGAGACGAGTGAGAAAGCCCGCGGTGCCCAAAGCCCTCGTCGCTCGACGGCGAGGAGTTCCACGGCGCGGAGCTATCGTTGAGCACCGTCGTATCTAGCTGAGCAGGTAGGATGCCAATGTAGTCATAGGGCTTCCCGCGAGGGACGCCCTTGGGCCGGTGGCCCAAAGCGTTTGGTTTGATCCACTGGCTCGGCGGCAGCGGGTGGTCGTCGGGGCGAGGAGACCTGGGTGTTTCAACGGGCCTCGAGCCGGAACGGAGCAGCGCAGCGGCTCCCTTGTTTGCGTCTCGCGTGGAAATGCCCGCGGACAGGTCCCGGGGAGAGCAGACGGGGTACTGAGACTTCGGCACCTCGGCAAAAGGGGTGACCTCGAGCGGGATGGAAATGGCAATGTGACGGTGGCCGCCAATGGTGGTGCCTGACACGGCCGAGTCGGGGAGGCGGATTTGCTTGGGGGCGCGGGGAAGCGACTTGCTCCTCTTGCTCATCTTCCTGAACTTGAACCAGGCCCCCCGTCCCCTGCCGCAGCCACCGGCACCGTGTGGCATCGACATGAAGTTGTTGGGCGGTGGCGGGTAGTTTGTAAAGAAGTCGACCAAGGCTGCGATTTGGTTGCTAGTGTGTCGAGTCGTGCCGTCCCTGCCCAGGGGCAGAGCGCCATCGAACTCGTCAACGTCGAAGGCGCTTCCCGAGTCGGACAGGTTTGAGGAAAAGTGAGGACGAGCCAGGGTGGCGGAGCGGAGAGACTCTTGGCCGCGAGTGCGATTTTGACGATGGACGAAGGGGCCCGAGGCCAGGGGAGAAGATGGAGTTATGTCGCCCAAGCAGGAGGCTGACCGCCTCGTCCCGGCAGTCTCCGGCTGTGCCACGTCGGCCAACGTCATGTCGCGGACGGCTCACTCAAACCTGACAGCAGATGGGCGCCCTTGCATCATGCAAAACCTGGCGTCAATAAGCATCATGTTTTGGTCGCTAAATACTCTGTATAAGATGGGTGGCGGTGTAGGAGCGGGCACGCTTACCTGGGCCAAGCCGAAGATGAAGGACGGGCTAATACTTGCTTCTGCTCACAACTTTCTTGTGTAACCGCGTGAAGATGAGCTTGGGACTAACGCCGGGGCAACCCACTGTGTTGGCGGATGGATGCAAAAGTATGTACATGGAAGCGAAAAAAGGAAAAAAAGAGAGAGCGAGAGAGCGAGAGGCGAACGGAAAAAGCAAAGAAGGATGGAAAAGAAGGAGGGAAACGCCTTAGCTTCTACGACAAGCCTCGACGCAAGGCTTGACAGGGCGACCCAAGATCAGCCAGCGCCGTGGTGGTGAGGGCCCAAGAAAGAAGAACGAAGGAAGGGCGAGCTGACGGGTTGAATTTGCCGTGAAGAATCGAGAGGGAAATGGACGTGCGAAAGGGGTGAAACAGAAGCAGGACCCCAGGGGATCGGCGACACGTTTGACCACGTTGGGCAAGGACGTGAGAGTCTTTGGACTCGGAGCCAACACATCAAGTCGAGACAGCCCCAGGCGTGCCCAGCACGTAGTGATTAGGGTCTCAAGCCGGCCACAGAAAGTCGGGGGAGGATCCTGTCGACGGTGGTGTGTGTGTATATGTTTGCTGCAGAATCTCCATTCTCGTCTGCCCGTCTACTGTCCATGTTGAGCCTCGTCGTCGGCCGTGCTTGGCCTACTGCAGGCCATAAATTCAACGACCAGAGATGCTTGTCCCTCGTCTTCGCACTGGTTTCGCCAGATAAAAAGAAAGCGTCCGCGTTAGCGCGACGTCGATCCCAGGCCGCTGGCGAACCCTGGCGGCGATCCAAGTGCCGTCACGGCCCACTCGCTCACAAGATTGCCTGTTATGTGTGTGGTTGGCATGTCAGCTGCTTCGTCTCGAGTCTCGACACAGCAACCCGGGCCCCCGGTCAGTTGATTCGTCATTTTTCGAGCGAACCATCTGGAGAAGCCAGACGCCAGGATGCCCTGTCCTGCCTGTCGTGACTGTTGGGAGTGGCCGAGGCGGCGGCGGCGGCGGCGGCGACGGCGGCTAAGCTCGCAAGGCAAGCAAGCAGTAATTATCTGCGGGCCGCAAATGAGTGCCGCCCTTTTCCCCCCCAAGAGATACCGTAGTCGAGGCCCTCGAGCGCTTTGATAGGGAGAGAGAGAGAGAGAGAGAGAGAGAGAGTGGAGGAGAGAGGAGAAAGCTTCTTTCCCCAGAAGGCGCCGACAACCTTGTAGGTCCTGTAATTAATACCTGCCACGACTGTGCCTTCCTCGGCCCCTCAAGGTACCCGTAAACCTACAGTGGGCCTTGGGCTATGAATAGCACCGAGACTCTCTCCGTCTCTCTCCCTCTCTCTCCCTCTCTTTCTCTCTCTCTCTCTCACCCCTTTTCCCCTTTTCCCCTCTCTTTCCATGCTCCTCCTGCTTTGCTTTGCCATATCACCACCGTTCCAGAGCACGCCATGCCTTAGGCCGGTACCTAAGGTGGTCGCATACCGTCCAACCTGCAACGATGCGCTGCTACTGCACGAAATTGCCGCCGTCTGTGTTGCCCCTGATTCACCCCCAACGTTCCTCTGACCTGTCGTTGGTGCACGCGTTTACAGTGCATCATGCGTCCTGCAATGTACATGCACACAGTCATGTTTTCCTGCTGCTGCTGCTGCCCTTCACTCGCCCAACAGCAGTCCGTCTCCGCGCCTCATCTTCACATCAGTGTGTGCGGCCCGAGACATCGTTGCCCGAGACAGAGGCCGCTCCCGCCCTACGGAGCGGCAGAGTTTGATGTAACCGTCCAACGGTATCGACTGAGATGCTGCACCTACTCACTGGACGGGCATACTGTCTGTCATCATGGCCCTCTCTTGAAGAGACACTCTTCATTGCAAATTGCGCCGGCCCCTCGCCACCGTAGGCCTTTGACCGTAATCTTCTCGCAGCCAATCCTCAAATAGGGGGCATGCACCTTAGCTACATACAACCTCGTACATCACCTTCCTTAAACCTCACACGCCCCCTCCCCCGAATCTGCCTTGCTCCTTCATCTGCGCGTTTCCTAAAATTGCGTCCTCGCAGATTCCTGTCCGTCAACACCTTGTAATGCTCCCTCTAGGTAGCCGTCTTATGCGCCTTTGACTGGCTGGGAGGGTGCTCAGCCAGAATAAAGAAAAGAAACCGGGGGGGGATGAAAAGACACCGCCCTTCCCCTGGCTTGCCAAGCTGCGAGCATCAGCGCTTCTTCGGCATGAAAAGACTCGGCTTAGGCTTCTTTCGCGGAGCCTGCGGAATCGGCTTGTTTGTTGGCTGACAGCCGTGTTAGCCATAGTCCTTTTGCACTTGAAATATCGCCCAGCCGGGGCTGACCTTGTTGCCAGACGCTGTGCCACTTGGTGACAGAGAGGATAACGACGTCGATCCGGCAGACGGCCGAGGCGTCGGAGCAGGAGCTGGAGGCCGCTCCGGAGGCGTCATCCCAAGCACCGACATGGCCGATGGATCCTTGGGCGCCGCGGCAGGCTGTCGGGGTCTCTGGCCAAACTTGGCCATCAGTCCACCCCCGCGCCCCGTGGTGCTGGCCATCTGCTGCTCCGTCAGAACATGCTTGCCGTTTTAGCCGGTAGCGGCGTCACCTACCCTCTTGGACCCGGGCTGTCCAGAAGCCGGGTTCTCCAACCCTCGTTTCTTCGACTCTGACGAATTCGTCCAAGTGTGGATGACGGGCGGTCCGGCACTGGACCGTGGGACTACCTCGTCGACGCTGTGCCGGGCGTTGGCACTCGGCTTGGCGTCGTGCCCGGCCATCGCCCCGCTCTTGGACATTGTAGCGTCAAAGCTGGGCTGCCTCGGGCTGATGTCGGCTTTCTTGGCCTGCTCTGGCACCGCATTTCGGTCCGCGACCAATGCATCCGACATTGCAACTTCCCTCGACATGGCGGCTGGAGCGACCGGCGCGAGCCTTTCCGGCTTGGCCTGCTCGAGCGGTCGGCGGAACATGGAAATAATGTCACCCTTGGTATAGCGATCTCGCGCTCGCGCGTCCTCAATCAGCTTGCGCCAAAATTCACCCTGGACCAGGGCTCGCGAATCTCCCAGGATCCAGAGCGAAGACTTGGCTCGGGTCAGTCCGACGTTCATTCGCCGGATATCCGTCATGAAGCCTATGCCGCCCGTCGAGCTGGCCCGGACGCACGAGAAGATGATGATCTCGCACTCTCGGCCCTGGAAGGCATCTGTCGTGTTGAACTCGATAATGTCGGCAATGTCCTCGCCGTACCGTGATTTGAATCGCCGCCGCAGCTCAAAGAGTTGGGCCTTGTAGGGCGTGATGATGCCTATCTTGCCAGCCAGGTCGCAGTCTCGGTACTTCTTGCTGAATGTATCGTACATCTGCATGGCAACCTCGAGCTCCCTGGTGTTGACGAGCGACTGGCCCCTGTGACCTCTCTCCTGGACACCCTCCACGTCAAAGAAGCGGTATGGTCCGAGCAGGGCACTGCTGTGCCACGGCTGCCGGCGCAGCTGCACCATGCCCTGACCGTCCTGGAGCTGTCCTTCGTAAAATTCTTTGCTCGGGAACATGCTAATCTCCGGGTGCATGCGGTACTGTGTGTTGAGGAGATGGACGCTCTTGGGGTGGTTTTGCTGCATACGCACGAACAAGCTCTGGTCGTAGCCGAAGCGCGCCGCGGACTGAGAGAGCACCGTCGGCGGGAGCTGCTTCGGATCACCAACCAGGATGCACTTGCAGCATCCGTACTTGAGGGGGATCAGCGCGCTGAGCTCCACGCATTGCGCGGCCTCGTCGATGATGACCGTCTCAAACTCTACGTCCAGGTTGCGGAACATTTCGTGTCCGCTGCCACTCAAAGTCGCGCAGAGCACATGCGCAGAGTTGAGGATCTCCTGTTGCACTTGTCGTCGACGCATCTCCATCTCTCGCGCAATCGAGTTGCCGCTGTCCTTGTTGGCGTCAATCTGCTTCCCGATATGCATCTGCCGACGTTTCAGGTCCTCGAAATGCCTGGACAGATTATTGTATTCGGCTCGGTCTTCATGGCCTCGCGCCTCCTCTAGCCGGGGTCGGAGCAGCGCCAGTTCTTCCTTGATCTTAGCAGCGTCTTCGTGGAGCTTCTCCCGATCGGCTTTGGCCTTGTCTCTGGTGGTGTCGCCTTCGAGTCGAAGTCGGACCTGTTCATCAAGCGTAACATCCTTGACAGCGACGTTGATCACGTCGGTCCTCCCTAGACGCAGGACCTTGATGCTCCTCGTCTTTCCACTGGTCGTTTGGACGCCGGCTTTCAATCGCAGCACAAGCTCGTCGACTGCGGCATTGCTGGGTGCGCAGACGAGAAGTTTCTTGGGCCTGGCCTGCGTGTTTCCGTTCAACGCGTTGATAGGTCGCAACGGGTTGCCAACCGGCACCCCGGCCGAGGCTTGAGCCAGCTGTTCCGAGAGCAGCGAGCCAACCATAGCCACAATCGTCTTCGTCTTGCCAGTTCCAGGAGGCCTGTGGTCCAGTCAGTATCTGCCCCGTCATGGCCGGACCGGCTCAGGCGTCCACTCACCCTTGGATCAAAGTGAAGCCATCGTTGTCGTGGGCACCCAGGACGGCCAGGGCCTGGCCCCGGTTGAGGGCCCAATTCTGCATGGCCTTGGCAATTTTCTCGTCTCCATATCGAAGAATGGGCGACGGCTCGGCCTTCAGGATCTCGTCCATGAGATCGTAGTACTGCAGGCTCTCCAACGCAGCATATTCTCGTTCAATCGTCGTCATGTTGGTGATTTTGATCCCATGGACGCTGACGCCAGGCGTGAGCACAGTCGACAGCGAGTTGCTACGCGAGGCTACGCGATATGTGATCTCAATCACGTCCTTCTTGTACGTGATACGATGGACCCGAGCAAGACAATGCCTGGCCGATGGGTTGGCCAGAGGATTCTCGGCCTCGGACACCAGAAGAATATCACCCTCCGAGACCCCCCGTTCCCGGTTTTGAATGGTCGGCATGGTGAACGTGGCCTCTAGGTAGCTGTCTACGCTTGCGCGGCTGGCTATTTTCATCCCAAATGGCTGAGATGTTATCTCGTCCTTGGATGTGACGAAGGAACGCCAAGCCTCCGAGGCAAGGAGGGGGAAAAAGGTCTCCTGGTAGGACCTCGGGTCTGGATACTTGGTCGCAACCTCGCTGGCAGCCGGGCCGCTGGGCGGATCGCTTCCTTTGTGGAAAATGTCCCATGCGAGGATCGTGTTGTGGAGCCTATCCATGGGAGGAATCAGGCGGGCCCTCATCTCTTTAACAGACCGCTGCTGCCGCGTCTTCTTGACGGGCCGGCGAATCCTGTCGCGCAAAGCCTGCTGTCGCTGTCTTTCGTGCTCGTCCAGTGTCTTCTGGCCACCGGTACTAAGGGCAGCGAGCTGAGCATCGGCGTCCGAATCCTCGCTTTCACCTTCAGATTCCTCGTCAGAACTGTTGACCATGATCTCGCTTCGCCCATGAGAGTGGTCTTTGCCTGTGAGGCTGAGGCCGTGAATGCCAGAGCCCTCGCCTGGTACCGTCTCTCCCCGAAGCTGCCGGGCTCTCGCGATAGTCTCGGCATCTCGTTTGGCCTTTTCCGCCTTTTCTCTCTGTCTACTCTCCTTCAAGGCTGATATGGATTTTGCGTCAGGCACCTTGGCCACAGCTCTGGCCCGGGCTTGGCGCTCCCCGATTTGCTTCAGGAGGGGGCTGTCGGCAGACTTGCTCAGTTCGAGAACGTCGTCTCGGTTCGACCTGCGTGGCTGGACGGTAGTGGTCGTCGTCCCTGGTGCCGACTTGGACCAGGCATCCAGTTTGCTCTGCTTTTTGATCCTGTCCTTGCCGGCCTCCGAAAAGCGATCTGTGCCTCGTGGCAGCACATCCAACTGAATAATCTGAACCTCCTCGTCATGGCCCAGAGCCTGAAGCAGCTCGGCACGTTGATGGTCATTCAGGTTCGTTGATCTCAGATATTTGCCCTGCGTGCCCGTCGGCACACAAGCATCAGTGATTAGCTTACGTGACCCAGCGTTGATCTCGAGGCTGTTCTCTCTAAGCCGCGTCAAGATCTTGCAGAGCACTCGAACTGTAACGTCTACGAGCCACCGGTCCTTGAGGCGAATCATATTCTCCATGCCGCGGAAGTTCTCCTTTGCGGGACCGAGGATCATCGCCATTGCATCCTTTTCCGATCTTCCGGGAGCAATTGTTGTCGTGAGAAGCCCGTCTTCGGCGATGAGTGCCTCCGCAAGCTCCATGATTTCTCGGCAAAAATTGGTCATGACGGCATTCTGAATATACTGCGACCAGTTCTCAATATTCAGACAGGACTTGGAGACAAACCGCCACTGCTCAATCCACCAGCGTAGAATGGTCGCGGCCAGCTTTGAGTCTATAGTCCTGGTTCGTAGGACACCAGCGGTGGTGTCGACAAGGCCCTGGAGGACGGACCGGCTCGTGTTGAGTAGCGGCCTGATGGGGCCCCACGGGAACGGTGGTCGCATGATGCGTTCCAAAGTCCAGATGATGGAGGAGAGTGTCTGTTCAGGGTGAAAGCGAGCCATGTGCTCCAGTGCCGAATCGCGCGAGAGCTCGCTGGTCCAGCTTTTGAGTACCTCTGCCGAGGCTTCTGCTAGATCTGACTCGCCGTGGACTGTAAGTCCGACGATGGCTTGGAAGGGCAGCCGATCGGCAAAAAGCATGTTCAATTCAGCGGTGTCCAGCTCAGAAACGCGACTGAGAATCCTGACAAGCACGTCTGTTACGTCGTGAAATGCCTTGTTGAACGTCTGGCTCGACTCATCCAGACTGTTGGCCTTGTTGCTCTTTCGGGGCCTGATCTGTTCGACGGATATGAGGGGCCCGAGGCATGTCATGATGTCCTTGGCCAAGCCAACTTGGTCAGATGATGCATCGAACATGTCGACAACGCACTCCCAGTACGCCTTGGAGTTTCTCGTAATGGTTGACTGAAGCTGCTTGCTGTTATGAATGGCGGAAAACTCCTCGGAGAAGAGTTTCGTGTCCAATCTCATGGCGGTGAAGAGAAGAGCTCTGGCCGCATTTGCAATCTTGAAGGTTGTCCAACCCTCATTACTTCCACTTGGGGTCCTGAGGTTTTGCAGTATGACATCCCTGTACTTGACGACGAGGTTAAAGGCTGCGCTGGCGTAGAGGTGTGTCGTACCAGAAGCGATCTGCGTGTTCGGGTCCAGGAAGGATTTCAGAGTGAAGCTCAAAGCATCGAACCCAGCGCGAATGCAGGCGGCTTGCCCGGGTTCACCAATCGTCGCATTCTTGGCAAGAGACTCAAAGAGGGTATGCATCAGCACCTCGCAAGCGTCGTATCTGCGATCACGGCCCAACGACTGAAGCCACGGATGGATCCAAGACGTTGGGAACGGCACGACCTCCTGCGAACTCGAGTCGAAGCCACTCCAGCAATCCTCCAGCGACTGCCTGAGCAGAACCTTGTAGACGGGGCTGCCAAAGAGCAAGTCGGCGATGACATTGGGCCTAGCATCGCCGATCACATCCCAGAATGCCTTTGGAGATTTCCTCAAGAGACCCGTCAAAACTCGGATCGCTACCACCAACACTCCCTCGGAGCGGCAAAACTGAATGTGACGAAACAGCAAGTCGTAAATGTTGGCGCTCCCTGGCCGGACTTCCAGGCTACGCAGGCGGTTGAGGATAAGCCCGTCGGTCAAGGTTCGCAGAACTTCCTCAAAGCCTTCCCAGAATCGCTCAATGTCCTGACAATCCTCACTGCTGGGCTGGGAAAGGTCTTTTTTGCTGACCTCGTCGATGCCCTTGATAAGGCCGCCGCTAACAGCCCAGTCAAACTGCTCCTCTGTCATCGACTCGCTTTCAACGCACTTCCAACTTTCTTGGGCCCATTTGAAGCGGTCCTCGACCCTTGGGTCGAAGAGGAAGAATGTCATGCCCGGGAGAGGGTCCTTATTTCCCAACTTGAGATAGCTCTTGCCCTGCAGCCGCATGAAGACATATTGGAAGATATGGCGTTGCTCGGGAGCGGCGATGTACTCGACGCAGCAAAGAGCCTCATAGACGGCAATGAGAACGATGGGGAGGTTCTCGCCAAACTGAGCCTTTTTGAAGGTAGCACCGCTCGCCTCGATATCCTCGATGTACTGCTTCGCCCAAGTCAGGTTGTAGTCGATTCGAGCAACGTCGAGTTTGTCTAGCAGCTCCTCTATGTGGAGCACAGAGTCTTCGTTCCATCGTCTGGGGACAGTCAGTGGAAATTTTTGTCACGGCTGGTATACATACTCGGAGAACTTCTGAAGATGTGCTTTGCGCTGCATGTGCCAGTTGATAACACACTCGGAGCACAGCTTGAGGCAATCCTCGAGTCGCTTCGTGAATTCGTCGAGCCATTTGCCAGCATCTTTTCTGTCGAAGCCGAAGATGAGGCTGTTCCAATAGGTTATCTCGATCCGCCTCTCGCCGTCCTTGATGCGAGTTTTCTTTTCGGCGAGCGAGATTTTCGAGTCTGGATCGTTGAGTAATTTGTAGTTTTCGTCGTCGTCGTTACTGATCTTGGGGCATAGCAGATGGTGCTCGGGGGAGATATTCTGTAACTCTTCGAACCATCTCCCGAGGTCCTCGTTGAAGTCGGTCATAGTATCGCTCGGTTTCGGTAACGCACGTCATCGGATTCGAAGCTGATCGATGATGGTCGATGGAAACAAGACGAAGCTTCACGTCCGAGAGGAGGGAGAAGGGAGCGGAATGCAGCTGGGCAAGACCCGAGGATTGGAAGCGGAGGCTTTAGGGTGAAGGGGGACGAGAGACGGGCGGAGGCGAGCTCAAAAGTGGATGGCAGTTGTCAAGGCACAGCCGCCGGCCGGGGTCCCGAGGGCAGGCTTGCAGGGTCAAGGAAGGGCATTAGAGATTTGCCAAGTGTTCGTCGTTAGGACCCGACACCTCTGCCAACAGGCGCTGGAGAAGAAGGAAATCATTAGCGTGCCCAGCCGTTCATGTAGGAAATCGCTGGGCAGTGTGCAGTACGCGTTTCGCCCTGACAGCTCGACTGGCCGGGTTACAACTTGAGCTCGCAGCTCGTGGTAGGCGACGCTTCTCTGCACGAGGTGGAAGTTGAAGGTAAGATGGCCATCACGGCGGCGCGCAGTCCTGTAGGTCTAAGCAGGGCGCACTGTAGGTACATGTGCCAAGTAGCATTTAGCCTAACGCAGCCTTGGCAACGCCTCGGAATCGAGGCCAGAGGAGGCCCGTGCGTCAGCGGTCCAGCTCGCACACCGGAGAATATTTTGGCCGGGTTCGATCCTCCAGTCCAAAGCAACGACATGTCCACCAGTAGTTTCCAGCTTTAAACCAAGGACAAGTCTGGACCTTCAGTCCAAATGACACTCTATCCCGAGTGCTCGACGCTGAGTCCCCAGAGAAGGGAGAGTGGAGGCAAGGCAACAGGTACTATTATTTTCCCACGTTAACTCTAAGCGACCGCAGCTGGTCCAAGATGGTCAGTCCTGCAAACGAGACGACCTTTGCTTTCGGATTTTGATCAATATAGGCAGCTATATAGGCCAACAGATATCTCATCCACGAAAGTGTGTCCCAACGTGAGTTGCGAGACTCGACGAACCCACAACGCTTCGTGCTGCTACTTCCTAATTCCTATACTTCCTTGCTGGCTCGCGACCTTTAGAGACTTGAGGAGGGCCAAAGGCGTGCAAGCAATCAGAATTCACGGCAGAAACAAAGTGGGGGAGCTTAGGAGCAGACTCTACTTCACCTCTCTCTATCTCTCCCGCCCCCATTTCCTTCCCTCTCCGCCCCTTCCTCTCTCTTCCTCTCTTGCTTGCTGAACTTTGGCGCGGTGAGTTCAACCACACACCAGCCGACGCCAGAAACCGCAACGGAAGCCATACCTATGCAAGGCTCCTGTGCTACATTTCTACCGTTGCCTCCAGAGCACATTGTTCAAGCCATCTCCTTTCTGCCACACACATCGTTCCCCCCCACACCTTTTTTCATTCACACAGTTCACCCCGCCACCTTTTCTCACATACATCTTTCACGCCGTCACTTGGAAACCTGTGCAAGCTCGCATTTGGATTTAGCGAACCACCCGCAACCTACAGGGTTTGTTCTCTCAACCTTACTCTAGGATCGAGCGAACTCGGTTTCATCAAAGACTCCCTTGTCTGCCTATTCTTGTTTTAAATTTTCTATCCCATTTCATCTTCCGTCCTTTTGATTCTATTTCGGCAGAAAGCACCAAGTTCAGAGGAGCGCACCCCAACCTCTTACTGGGTATGGCCGCACGACCGAGATCACTAAGCTCTGCATCGTCCTGCATTTTGATCGACGTCATCGACATCGACGATGATCCGCAGGATGTCTTTGAGGACGTGGTTATCGACCTCACTGGCGATCACCTGAGCCACAGCTTGCTTCGTGATGGCGAAGTCGCTCTTGATAGGCTTCAAGCCCGAGGGCAAACGTTTTCACCAGGCGATGTCATTGAGGTGCACGGCGCGCATTTGGGCTCTTACTCCGTTGACTTCCTGCAAGTCAAGGTTATTGCCGAAACCCGTTCCAGAGAGCCCATTCTCCGCGGCCTTCCGCTCGTGCGGACCACGAGCCTTTTGGGCAAACTGCACATGAAAAAGAACGAAGTTTGTTTGCTCCAGTTCGTCGAGCGCACTGCCGACGATAACTTTCCCAATCGCCCGATATTTCTGGACATCCGCCCTGAAACAAATATCGAGAAAAGAACTCTGATAATCACCAATGCTCCATACCCCGAACATAGCTTCTCGTCACTCAAGGATCGAATTGGTGAAAGAACACGACGACAAGGCCGGGCTGAGCGCAGTGGTCTTCTTGCTTGCCGATGGAGGCTCACGGTATATTTCGCCAGGAAAGGCCGACAGATGCGACCCGTTGAAGAGGCTCTGGAGAGTCTACTCGCAGCCGACGTGCCGGATGTCCAGTATCGCGTTCCAGATGAGGCACTCCAGAACAGATGGCATGGCGTCTACGCCAAAGGCGGGTCGTGGAACGGAGGGCGGCATGCTCATGTAGACCTGGAAGCAGTTCCTCGGGAGCCTCGAACCAGGGGCCACGGACAAAAATACACGTTCTTCGACGCCTTTTCTAGCGCAGGAGGCGTCTCACGTGGAGCCCAGGGAGCTGGGTTCAAGGTTCAATACGCCGTCGACAATTCGCCCGAGGTCTGGGACACTTACCGGATGAATTTTCCAAACGCCACGCTCTATCGAACGTGCATTCACGGGTTCCTCGAACAGACGACCAGGAACCACGTCCGAGTTGATTGCCTGCATTTGTCGCCGCCGTGCCAGTATTTCTCGCCGGCGCACACTCATGACTCTGTGCACGATGCGGATAACATATCTGCCCTTTTTGGGTGTGGCGAGTTGGTCAAGAAGACAAGGCCTCGAATCATCACCCTGGAGCAGACGTTTGGGATTACCCACAACAGACACCTGCCATACTTCCGAGCCTTGATCAGTCAAATGACGCAGTACGGATACTCGGTCCGTTGGAGAGTCGTCCGTCTTTGCACCTGGGGCTCTGCGCAGGATAGAAAGCGACTCGTTGTAGTCGCGGCCAGTCCTGGACACCGGCTTCCGCCCTTCCCAGAAGCCACTCACTCGGAGACGGGCGGCGGCGGCCGGAAGCCTTTTACCACCATCAGCCAGGCCATAAGCGGCATTCCACGGGAGCGTGGCCTGCACAACGTCCGGGGCGTCCGTCACTTCCGGCCCCCACGAGCGCCTTTCAATTCCCACAAGCTCGCGGGCACAGTCACTACGGGGTGCGCACAGCTCTACCATCCAAGCGGGACGCGCGACCTTACCCTCCGAGAATTTGCCTGCTTGCAAGGTTTTCCGCACCGCCACCGGTTTGCGGGGAATAAGACGAGCATCTGCCGTCAGATAGGAAACGCTTTCCCGCCCAACACTGTGGGAGTTTTGTACAAGCATTTGCACCAGTGGCTGCTGAAGGAAGACGGGATGATGCCTTTCCGGCCGTCTGTTGGTCAAGTTTTCATTGTAGATGCTGCATGATGACGGGACTCTGGCTTGCTTTTGACAAGGGGTTCGTGGGATGGGTACGAAGTACAGTCGTTGAATAGCAGTCTGGGTTGATCCTATCTAGTCTGGAGCCCACGTCGATGACAGCCGTGTTTTGTGGCCTTATATAACCAGAATTCGGATCTGCAGGGCCGTCTAGAGGCCGTTGATGACTGTCTGCACTGATTACCAAGGTCCTTTTCTTTGAGTGCAAACGTCATTCAGGCGGTCTCTCGGAATCAGTTCCTCTGCCTGACTCGGCATCCTTTGGAACAGAACACGGCACCAATCACGCGGGCTGTAGCGCGTCTTTCGAGACATGGCATACGAGGGGGGAGACTCTCCCGGAATCGTATGAGGTGACGGCGTTTGCAGTCTATGTGTGGTCAGCCGGCCTAAGACGCACCAACAACGCGGTTGATTTGCCTTTTAAACATGTATGTACTATGTAGGCGTACTCGCTCGGTATCGGATGCAGGATCACCAAGACTAACATTTGTTTGTGCCGCCTGGTTGGAGAGTTGCCAGGCGGCATGGAGCCCGTACGCGCAAGAGAGTGTCGACACGGGCCGGTGCAGCTGTGCTCCCGAGGCCGTGGATGCGAGGCAGGCCGTGGCAATCTGCTTGCTATTGCGGCCAACTGCCGTGTGCCTGCTTCAGCGTGGGCAGAAGGGGTTGTCAGGTGACTGCCTGCCGCCTGCCACCTCCGTGAGTGCACAGTAACCACTCAAGCCCCAGCCCCCTTGGCTGCCTACCATCCGCACCTCCTCCCTCCTCCGCAACTCGTTGGACTTCTTCCTGTCATCCAACCTCTCCCACTCCTCATTGCAATCTCTTCAAGCTTTTGACGGTCGCTGGCAGCTCCTTGCGAACTTGCTAGCAGCAGAGAGCATACATCCATCGTCCTTATCGCCATCTACGATTTCCCCCTCAAGAGATCCTACGCACCGCTTCTGCATTTTGCATCGTACAGACGCCTTCCCCCACGAGCCTGACCAACTGCCACCTTGGCCTCATTTTCCCACCTCACCCTGCCCTCTCCTGGCCGCTGGCACAGCTGTGCATGGTGGAGCGACCAGGACGCTTACGATCAGAAGCCAGCCTTTGACTAGCACGGCCCATCCTTCACCATGGACATCTCATCAGACTCGGTCGTCAGAACTGTTCCGGACAAGGTATGCTGCCCCGGTGCCACCTGAAGCAACAATTGCTGAAACTTCTTCCCCAGGCTGTCGCTCCCTACTACAGTTTCCCTGATCAAAACGAGTTTATATGGCGCCACGAACAGGCAACTCTGATCGAGATGCACAACGAGGAGCAGGCCGTCAAGCGCCTCAACGAGAAACGCCGGCCGTTCAAGGCGTGGCCCGTCGCACCAATTCCCGGTCTGACCACCCCATTCATGAAATCGTGGCTATTCTTGGTCAAGACGCCCTGCGGTGGAGGAAAAGATGATTTCCCATCCCTTACCGATCGGTTTACCATCGACATGGAAAGCAAGATTGATCGTCCCGAGGGCATATTTTCTCTCGTTCATCTACCTGCGTCGCGCATTCAGAACCCGTACGAGACTTTGAAATGTGCTGGAGGTGCAGAGGTTAGCAAGTGTGCTGCGTTCAAGGTCGACGTCCCGCGATCATGGCAGAGTGACAATGGCGTTCATGTGGAGCTAGATCTCATGGCAAACTTTCAGACGGCCACATCTATCAACGAGGCGGATAATATTACCGTCAATCACGAGAAGCACCAAGTCATCGTCATTCAGTGGGAGATCAGCTCTCTTACTTTCGAGGCGGAGCTTGCGGCCCTCCATTGCCTCACGGACAATCATCGCCTGGAAGAAATGGCTCCGGCGAGGCGCTCCCTCAATGCCTTTCGCATGATACAAGACTTTCGCAACCCCAGCTGGATCAGCTACAGGAACCTTCACGACGAGTTTCCGCAGCTTCAGAATCCTGCTCGCTTCTGGCGCCGCGTTCCGAGGCTCCTCGTGGACAAGGTCAGGGCATTCAACGCCGATCATCGGGCGGCATTAGACGGCCTGAAGTGCATTCCTAACTGTCTCTACTTTATCAACGGCTGTCCCGGGGCAGGCAAGACGGAGTGGAATATGGTTCTCGCGGCACTCATTCAATCCAAGAGGAGTCCAAACTCGAGACGCCGCCGCAGCCCAATCTTGTTCCTCGTTGACATCAACAAAACGGTCGACGATGCGGCCAACCGATACTACACCCTTTGCAAGGAAGCTGGTCTCAAGCTTCGAATCATTCGGATGCACGGTTGGCCCTATGAAATGCGCCACAGCTCCACGTTGAACAAGGGGAGCTCCCAGGACCAGGCCGCGAGTGAAGCGGAACTGGACTTTACGAAGCGATTTCTGACCACGGTCAGCCTGGCTTGCCACACCAAGGCGCACCGGGACCCGAATGTGGCCCCGACTCTTGATGAAGCTGCATGGGAGTACTATGAGCTCCACAAAGACGACTGCTTTCCGGCCTTGAGAAAGCTCTTGGCTCGCATGGAGAACGGCGAAGTCTTCAACGGCGAAGACTGGAAGTCTCTACGCTCCCAAGTGTCAGTGCTGTACCGTGCCGTCTTGGCACAAGCAGACTTTGTGGCTACGACGCCCGTGGCGGCTTACGGGAAGTTCTCCAAGCTGTTCGAGCCGGATCTGGTGTTTGTGGACGAGGCGCCGCATGCCCGCGAACTGACCACTTTGATCGCCATCGCCTTCTTCAGCCCTTTGGCGTGGATCCTGACCGGTGATGTCCACCAAACGCGCCCGTTTGTCAAGAGCGGTGACAAGAGACAGGTCGATCGCGAGGGCCTCAAGTTCAACCCTTTTGCCGAGCAGCTCCGGGTGAGCACCATGGCCCGGGCAGCAGCGGCTGGCGCCACAAATGCGAGGCTCCTCGTCAATAAGAGGAGCTACGCGAATTTGCATCGCCTTCCTTCCAAAATGTTTTACAACGGCGAGATGGTCTCGGGATACAGTGGCGAATCGCTGTACCCGCCCAGTGTCCTGCATGCAAAAAGGTACCTCGAGAGGTTGGGCCCGGCAGCCGACATTAGCGAGAACCGACTTGTCGTCCGCTTGAAGGACAGCTGTGAGCATATGCACCGCAACAGCTTCTGGAATCCGGCCCATCACAAATGGATCCTCGAGCAAGTTCAACAGCTGCTCCACGACGAGGCATTTGCTGCCGTCGACGGTCGTGCGCGGGGAACCATTATGATTGCCACGCCCTACAGCACAGCGGTGCGCGAGTATCACTCGAGCGTGAAGAAGTGGCCGCAAGAGTTGCAGGACAGGGTCGAGGTCTTGACTATCGACAAGGCTCAGGGCAATCAGGCCGACGTTGTCTTTCTCGACATGGTGCGAACGGCAAAGGCGGGATTCATGGACGATCCGTATCGGCTCAACGTAGCCATCACGCGGGCGAGACAGGCCGAGATCATCGTCATGCATCATCGCATGACGTGGAAGCAGATGTTGGGAGGGATCCGCATTAGAGCGCAGTACCTCTCCCAGATCTGGGACGACGCGGTGGCTCAGCGGCGCATGGTTTCACTTTGAAGGAGAAGAGTGTGGCATGTCTCTGGTTGTTGAAATTCTGACGACTTTGGCTGTGGCGCTGCCCAACTCTGCGGGACGGACGAGGTGGGCATGCCGCCTATAGGTAGTGACAATAAAACTGACGAGTCTTTGCATGTGCTGTCTGTGGCTATCGATAGAATGGACGCGGTGACGTCAGAGGTTTGTTGTACTGTACAGATTGCGCCGTGATGTTGCACTGCACGAGGCAATCACGGTCATGTACCGGTACAGTACCTACTTGAACTTGGTTATGTGCCTATCCAGGTATGACGGCGGCGGCGACAGTTTTTCGTTTTTGTTAAGAGGCACGTCCTGGCGAGGGCCTGGGATGGTGTGGGAGGGTGCCTCGGGGGGACCCTTGGGGGGACCCTTGTGGTCGCATTCGCGGACCAGGGCGTTGGTCGGGCTGCTGCTGTGCACATGTACTGTACAGTGTCGTGGCTGCGGTCGATTCATGCTCCGTCGATCACGGCCCGTTGGGCTGCGGCTCTGCACGTCGTTGGACCGTGTGCTGCACCACTCGGAAGTGTAATAACTGCGCCCGTGGTTACTTCGTAGAAGGAGGATCTGGATATGCCCAGCGAGACATTCAGAACCGACGGCCATCCATCCCCATACGAGTCCGGCTCGGCAGACTCGGCCGAGGGCCGCCAGTCCGCTGTGGACATGTGGGGGTCAAGAGCATTGATTGATTGTTGAGATGCCAAAGAGGTCGGCCTGCGCTGGTACCTCGCAGGCACCCGGGGCGCTGGGCTGTCCTGCAGGTATAAAGTTCCGGGACTTCAGGTACTAGCAGTAGGTACTAGTAGTACCTAAGTCGGTAGGTAGTGTGCCCCCCCACAGGGCTTTTCAGCTTGAAAGGTTATTAATGAGGAAGACACAATAGTGGAAGATGCGCTCAGCCCCCGCCGTTTCGTCCAAGAGGGTTCTGCCCCCCCCTTCCCTTGGCCAAAGAGACGGAGGGATAATTAATTAACGGCCAAGTCGGCTTGACAAGGACCCCCTCCCATCGAGTGCTCCCATAATGCAGATTCCGGCCAGTCACCGACCGCCCTGCCAAATATGCAGTACCGGTAGGTATTCGTACTGTTGCAGGTACACAGGTACTAAATGCAGTCCGAGCAGATGTTGGAGCACGAGGTTTGGTACCTCGCATGTATATCGCAGGTCCGAGTATCAGGTTTCTACAGTCGCACATTGCCCACCTGTTACCGCTAGTCCAATACCCGCCAGCTTACTTCACCGGTCGCCCGCTGCTGACCGCAATCGTTGTCCGACCAGGTTGCGCCGCCATCAATTTACCTCCCTTGAACCGCCATCCCTTCTCTCACCATGGCTTGACCAGGGCATGACGCGAACGCCGGGCTTCCTTTGATCTACGGCGCTCTACACCCTCGCACTTTCGGCCCTCTGCCGGCCCTGAATTCCAGCGATCCGCCGGTTGCCTCCCGCATTCCTCTCCTCGAGCGCCGAGTCGCGGCCACCAGCGCCGATACTGGGGATCCGATCACTGACTCAATCGGATTGCCCGGCCCGGCCTGGCCAGCGGCTTGCGCAATCCTCCCCTTGAAAATGAGAGACGAGGACGTGCCCGACCTCCTTGCCCGGGGGGCTCTGCTGAGGCGGCAGATGGGCGATGGAGCCCTGGCCGGAACCGTTGTCGGCGTCGTTGTCGGCGTCGCCCTGCTCACCCTTTGTCTCTATCCCGTCGTCGTCTACCAGGTCAAGCGCCGCCGACGTCCCAAAACTCCGCATCTCGACGCCGAGAACAGTGTCACCCCTCATTCTGGTGGCCCGGAAGTGGCCGACTTGGGTTATCATCGACGGCTGTCGTCCAGCGATTCGTTCAAGCGGGATGGCGAACTGTCTCGCGGCGCCGTCCCCGCCGCTCCAAGAAACAAGGAATGGGGCCTGGCTTCTCACAATCAAGGGGTAGGGCACGCTGCCGACGGCCACGCTGCGCCATGGCACATGTCGTCGACGGGGACAGATGTTGCTACGACCGACGCGTCCCGTGCAGTAACTCATGCGCTCCCCGGCGAGTATAACCTCCAATCATCACCCTCGCCGTTGCCTTTTTATGCCGGAGAGTACATGCCCGTGTCCGAGGTGCGCGATGATCATCCTGGGGTCCTCCGCGGAACCAGCGCCGACTATTACAGCCCTTCGATCCCGTCCGAGGCCTTTGGAATGGTTGCGACTCCCACGGATGTATCTGTTGACATACCCCGGGCGAGTCGCGGCAGCTCCTTCAAATACAACGTTCGGCACATGTTTCGGCGAGCAAGTGGCCAGGACCGTACAACTGCCTCCCACCCCTCCGCTGCCAGTGCCGGCGACAACATCCCCGCCTCATACGGCGTATCTGCCCTGCGACAAATAACTACAGACCAAGGCTTGACCGAGTCCCCGACTACTGTGTCTCCAACCATTGTCGTGCCCGTGGCGTCGGCTTCTGCCCCCCCGACCAAGTCTCCGCCGGCATCGCCTCCGCCATCTTCGGCCCAGACTCCGCCACAACTACCGCATGCCGAATCATCATTCAAGACCTCACCCTCACCTCCGTCTTACCCTGCTCCTGGGACGGTGAATCCGATGGATATTATGCCCGCAAGCACCGAGACCGAAGTCTGGCATCGAACAGAACACGAGTTGTTTGTATCATCCCACGGCCGGACGGCAGCAGCCTCGGTTCCCCCGGACCACCAGGGCAGCAATGACAACGACATCAATACGGACTCTGCTCCTTCTACAGCGTTGGAGACGCCATCAACCGTGGTCCCACCTCGAACTGTTCTGGCCGCTAAATCTCCTACTCCCATGGAAGTCCCGGAGCAGATCGTTCAGGACCAGCCGACGGACGATGATACATCCGTCGCAGACTTTCCCTCGCAAGATCATATAAGCCCGTTGACATTGTCACAGCCCGGGCGACATCAACGATATCTCTCTGAGCAATCTGTACCCCTACAAGGGCCTGGATCGACAGACCTATCGTCGCACAACACCCCTTCAACACAACTCGACAGTCCAACTCCCGAATCCTTGACCAGCTCTGACTTTCGACACAGCGTTTCGCCACAATCGGTGGTGTCCTCGGTCAAGACTGGCGTCTTTCGCTGTGATGAAACTGGCTGCCATCAGGCTTTCGACCAGCCACACAAACTCAAGTAAGTCCCGAAAGCCGTCTCCGTAATTCGAGAGTCCAAGTCTGACCATTTCCTAGGCATCACCAGAGATACCATAGCAAGGATCACAAATGCCCGTATGCGAACTGCGGCAAAGGATTTGGTACCAAAACACACTTGCAGCGCCACATAAACGACCGACACGAAAAGAAGAAGAAATTCCACTGTTCGGTGCAAGGCTGCGACTACTCCAGGACAGGCGGCAAAGGCTTTCCCAGAAAAGACAACTGGAAGAGACACATGACCAAGATTCACAACATGGATCAGGCGCATCTCCCCGAGCCTGTCGAGGTAGACCAGGAGATGAGTGGAGTATAACGTGCCGGCAGCAGCCCGGCGTGAGCAGACTCGGGAAACAGTCGTCGTGCAGCCCTTGCCTGGACATTTTGCGGTACTCAGAACTGGATCAGTGTACCATAGATACCAAGAAGAAAAACAGAAAGATGGCAGGGAGACGCTTTGTGTCTCGATATTGGTTACGAGCAGATTTGCATGGCGTTTTCAGATGGAGGGATTCGGGAGAGCACATTACGGGAAAATGGTCACGGGGCTTTTGGAAATAGGTCCAGGCGTTGGGCTTGGTGACTGGCGACCATTGGTATTTCCGGGGGCTTAAACGAGCTAGACAGGCGTTGTCGTCTGCCATTGCATGAAGGGTATGTGGAATAAGGAGCGCACCATGCTCGGCGGATTTGGCTCAACTCAGGTCTCTGGCCAGTTTTCTGACCAGTTTCTTCTGGTCCTCTATGGCTAGCCTCTTCTCGTCCGTCTCCTGCACTGCTCTTCCCACTGCAATGACCGTCTTGACGCTTTCGCTGTCGACCCACAACTTGCCATTCCTGCCGGCTGCCGTCTCGAACTGGAGACCGAGGCTCGCCAGCTCGTCCAGGACAACGACCTTTCCATGCTCAGCAGACCTGGGCATCATGAGCCTGCGAGCCATGCCGAGGGAGACGTTGAAGACCATGCCGCCAGTGAGCGGCCCCAAGCCGTCCGACTTGCCCGTGGTGGGCGAGACGCACTCAAGCTCGGCCTCCATGTGCTTGTTGGCGAGGCTGACGCGCGCGTAGACGAGGGCGCCGGGCGCGAGGATGGGACGGGTCTTCTTGGTGGCGGACTCGAACGAGAGCTGCGGCAGGAGGACGGGGGCAGTGTAGTCGGAGAGGAGGACGTAGTAGATGTCTGCGGCGCTCTTGTTGATGGTGCCGACGACAAGCTCGCCGACTCGCGGGACGTACTGGAGTCGCAGGTCAGCATCGCGCGCATGTGCGCGGGTGAATGCGCGGGTGAAGAGCGCTTACCCTCCCCTCGGACGTCTCTACGTGGATGGCATTCTTTTGTCTGTCGGTCACGAGCTGGCCCGCGAGGGTAGGGAGGATGCCATTCGGCGGGACATGACGAAGCCCAGGACCCAGGCGAAGAGGCTTCTTGGGATGCGATGGGATGTGCGAGGGGTCGATGTGATCGCCCGGCAGGACGAAGACGCGATCCGTGGCCATGGTGGGCAGGCTTGCGAGCGGTGATGTTTGCTTTGCGAATTTCAGAATTGATAGAGGGGCATCGATAAGAGCATAGCTAGCAACACGGCCGGGGCGTGTGCATAGATTGGCCAGTTGCAGCGCTCGAAATTTTTTGGACAGAGAAAACGGGAACCCCCACTAAAAAGACAACCTGCTGCCTCTCAAACACTTTTTACAGCCCGAATCGCTTCTTGGTTCGCCATAGACAACCGTTTCGCCCTTTATTTCCACGCGACACTCTTAAGCTTGCCGGTTTCTCTTCGATACACACGTCGCTCCGAATGGCTGAGAGCAGGGGCGTCAGGCCCGGTCCTGAACCGGCGGACCGGGTGGCGATTGGCATCACCTTTGGCAACTCGAACAGCTCGATTGCCTATACCGTCGACGACAAGGCCGAGGTCATTGCCAACGAGGATGGAGGTACGTAAACCGATAACGCCTGCTCGGGGCCTCTAAAGCGAGGGCGACGTCTGGGGCGATGCGGGAGAAAAAGCTCACGATGTGCTGACTTTGCCCGTCGATGCATAGACCGACAAATCCCGACCGTCCTGTCCTACGTGGACGGAGACGAATACTATGGCCACCAGGCCAAGGCATTCCTAGTCCGTAACCCGACCAACACAATTGCCTACTTCCGCGATTTCCTGGGCAAAGAGTGCGTCCATTCACCTGGACCCAATGGCGCGCTGCGTACGCTTACGAGACGCAGATTCAAAGCCATTGACCCGACTCACTGCCATGCCGCCGCCCATCCCCAAGACTCGGCCGGCGCCGTCTCCTTCTCCGTCAAGGACAAGAGCAACGAAGGAGAGGCATCCCCCGTGTCTGTCAGCGACGCCTCCACGCGTTACCTGTGCCGCCTCGTCAACTCGGCCTCCGAGTACCTGGGCAAGAAGGTCACCTCTGCCGTCATCACAGTCCCGACCGACTTCAACAACAAGCAGCGCGAGGCCCTGATTAAGGCTGCCAACGATGCCGACGTTGAGGTCTTGCAGCTCATCTCCGACCCCGTTGCCGCGGTCTTGGCCTACGACGCCCGTCCCGAGGCCTTGGTCGAGGACAAGATTGTCGTCGTCGCTGACCTGGGCGGAACCCGCTCCGATGTGGCCGTTGTTGCCTCCAGGGGTGGCATGTATACCATCCTAGCCACTGTGCACGACTACGAGTTCGCCGGCGTGCATCTCGACGGGGCCCTGATGGACCACTTTGCTAAGGAGTTCATCAAGAAGCACAGCACGGATCCCCGATCAAACCCCAAGAGCCTGGCCAAGCTCCGACAAGAAGCCGAGTCCGCCAAGAAGGCCCTGAGTCTGGGCACCAATGCTCAGTTCAGTGTCGAGAGCTTGGCTGACGGCTACGATTTCTCCTCGACCATCAACAGGATACGATACGAGATGATTGGCCGCAAGATCTTTGAGGGTTTCAACCGCCTGGTCGAGGGCGCCGTCAAAAAGGCTGAGCTCGACATCCTGGATGTCGACGAGGTCATCATGTGCGGTGGCACCTCCCACACCCCTCGCGTCGCGAGCAACTTCCGCGCCATCTTCCCCCAGTCGACGCCGATCCTTGCGCCCGCGACGAGCACGACTGCCATTAACCCCTCGGAGCTGCAGGCCCGCGGCGCCGCGCTGCAGGCTTCGCTGATCCAGGAGTACGAGGCCTCGGACATTGAGCAGTCGACGCATCCCGCCGTGACCACGGTCAACCACATTTCCAACGCCATCGGCGTCGTCGCCGTCGGCCCGGATGGCGAGGACGTCTTCAAGCCCGTCATGCAAGCCGAGACGGCCGTTCCGGCTCGTCGCATCGTCCACCTCGCCTGCCCCAAGGAGGGCGGCGACTTTCTCATCAAGGTGGTCGAGGGCGGCACCCACATCAAGGTGACCAAGCCGGAGCCCAAGGCCAAGGAATCGAGCGCGAACGGCAAGGACGACGACTCCGACTTTGACGACTCGGAGGAGGAGGAGGAGGAGAAGCGCGAAAAGGTGTGGAAGATCGGCAAGCAGCTCGCCGAGGCCGCCGTCAAGGGCGTCAAGAAGGGCGGCAAGGTCGAGGTGACGATCAACGTGGCGGGCGACCTGGCCGTGACGATTACGGCGCGCGAAGTCGGCGGCAAGGGCGGCGTGCGAGGAAACCTGGCCGCTCCCTGAAATATCCCATTGGTGAAGCTGTGAAAGGGAGGGGACAAAGAGTGCGCTTGGCGAAGAAGGGGAAAAAAGGAAATAACAACGGCCTCCCTGTCCTGTGTGCCCCATTCCTTCTGCCTTTTCTCATCGTCTTGGGCACGTGCGTGTGCGGCGGTCATGTCTTGGTCGTAAGCCATGGGCACACAGGACTTGCCTCGGATATAGACAGCTGTGATGAACAACATCTTTGGGGATGGTGGGCGTGCTAGAGATTAGACCAGAGAGCAGCATGACGGGCGACATCCGGGCTTTGAACGTTTTCAACGTTGTTTCCTTTTCTTTCGAGAAATGAAGAAACACGAGAAAAAGGGAAGAAAGATTGGCAGCGCTACGCGTGATTTGGTGTGTGATTTTATCCTCAGGGGCAAGTCCCTGCCTGGCAATGCAGCCTGTAAGACGTCACTTGCGCGTTGAAGGTTGCCATGCGCATGCTCAACAACTCTCTTCTCTCCTGCCTCAGCATCTACGTAGCCACGCCCGGCAGCTTCCAGGCGACCAAGTCATCGCGCAGGTCAAACTCGTCCAGCTCGCGCACACGCCTCGGCGGCCCCGCATCGTCGCTCCTGCGGTCGCCGTCGCTGCTGCTACTGCCGCCGCCGCCCAGCGCCGGCGCGAGGCCGCCGGCGTCGTCGTCGTGCCACTCACGGCCATCGTCGGTGGCGGTGGGGAGACGCGCGATGCGCACGCCCCTCTTGGCAGCGGCGCCGCCGCGGCTCGTGACGGTCGAAGTGCTCCTGTCGCTCGAGGCGCTGTGCGTGCGGCGATGGTGGCTGTGGCTGTTGTGGCCGCCGCCGCCGCCGCCGGGGTGCTGGTGCTGGTGCTGGGCGGCGAGGCGGCGGAAGTCGCCAGGGCGGAGGGTGTTTTGGTTGGCGTCGGCGGCGTCGTCGTCGAGGTTGTTGTCGTCGTCGTCGGTGCCCGGGGGCGAGTGGGCGTCGCGCTTGGTGCGCCAGCCGTTGCCGCCCGAGAAAATGTCCTCGATGCACTCGTCAGCCGTGAGCTCGCTCGGCTGCCGCGACCACGACGCTGCGAGCGTGCGCCGGTACAGGTCTTGAATCTCGGCGACGTCGCGGCCCTTGGATATGCTAGGCAGCGCTGAGGTAGAGGGGGAAGGGCGGGTTAGCTTAGGCTGCTGGTTTTGAATCAAGGGGATAGAGGGCTTCCACGCACGTCCAATCTCGTCCTCGGCTTGTTCAGGGCCCATGAAGCTGGCGATGCCACCGAAAACGGGGGCCGTCCTCAGAGGCGGCGCGGCAAAGTTGCGCTCCCCGTCCACCTGGACCATGAGAATGCCAATCTTCAGGGTGCTGTTGACCTTGCTGTCTTGCATGAGGTACCTCCGCACGATGCCGTCCTCGGCCTTCTTCTGCTTGGGGCCGTCGGGCGGGCCGGTGCTGGTCGGACTGACGCCAAGGCTGTTGTTTGTGTGCCGGGGAGGCGATGCGACATCCTTTGCAAGCGCCTCGCTCTCCTCGACGTACTCGCTCAAGTTGAGCCTGATGTGGCCGAGGGTGATTTTCTCGGCGACGGGAAACTCTTGCAGCACCTCGAGCTCAAGGGGGCACTCGGCGAGGCTGTCGTTCCGGTCAATGGATATGCGCACCGAGGGGACGAGCTTGCTGAAGCTGTAGTCGACCTTGTGGTTTGAGATGGGGCACTTGGCAGTGCGGCCGCGATGCTCGGCGTGCATGGAGTGGGCGAGGTGCCATTTTATAAAGGAGTGGCCCGAGACGAGCGGGACATTGTTGAGGTCGTAGATCTGAGTGCGTGGTGAGCGTCATGCAGACAGAGTCTCGACCGAGGCTCACCTTGAGATGCAATTCAAACTTGGGCTAACAGGCTTTGGTTAGCAACTTTGAGATATGCGTAAAGGGCCTCTGCGGTCCTACTTTTCGAGCCTTGCCAACTGTCGGCAGGAAATGCATGTTAGCGGCGGCGGCGACTCATCGATTCAACGCGGCGGGTGACAAGTGAGAGGGGGAACGCGGAGACGGCTTTGTCCTCTTTTTGCAAGCCGGTGGAGTTGGTCAAGGGAAACGAGACAGTTGGTGGCTTGCCGCCTCATCAGCAGCCGAGGCGCGTTTACCGAGCGCCAAGGACAAGCAATTTGGCCGTCGCAAAAGGGGAGTCCTCGTCAAGGGGGCCAAGGCGACGCACAAGAAAATACACAACTCACTCAAGGAGGTCATGTCTGACTATCGACCGTTCCTCAGCCGCAAGGCCGGGGAGGGGTCGGGTCCTCGACACGGACAGCACGAGCGTCTGTGCAATGGATTGTGGGATATGACAGGGACGAGCCAAGGTGGGAGACGACGAGAGCGACGAGGGACGTGATGAGACGATGATTTGAGGGTGATGCCAAGCCGCACGGCCTCGTGTTGATGCTGATGCCGGGGAGGGGATGTTTCGTATGTCGAAGATGAGAGGCAGCCGAGAGAAGGGGTGCCGCTGTTTGTTGTGTAACTTATTGGAGGTGGAGGTGGAGGTGGAGGATGACTGTGATGGATCTCTAGGGGGCGAGCTGCAATACGTCAGGTGGTGAAGCTGCCCGCAACGTGAACACGTTCCAGCGGCCGGCTAGCTGCCGAGAGTAATTCCCCGGGGCGGCAGCCTGTAGAACCCGGGGGTGATATGGGACAACCACAAACGCCCTCGGTCCAGGCGCCGTGATCAAGGTACCGCCCTAACTGGCGGGACATGCACTGAGCCCAAGCACCAAGCACCTAACTTAGGCTAGGCGCCAGGCACGCAATCTAGGGGACAAATCGGGTGCCACCCGTAGGGCTTATCGATAAAGCCTCCGCCCGGCTTTCTCTCGGAGTTTTCTTTCTTCTCAACCTCTCCTTCTCCCCCCTCCTCCTATCCTGTGTCCCATCTCCGCGCCCTGCCATCCAGCAAGCTCCGGCTCACAATGGGCCCCAAAGCCCCGGCCGGCGGCCCAAACGCTCCGCCATCCAACAAGCGCAGCATCGCCTCCCACCCGACCAACGCCCGCAACGATGTCATGCGCCAGAAGCGAGCCAAGCTTCACGCCGCGCGCAATATCCCCGTCCAGCAAGCCGACGCCGCGCTCAAGGATGGCCAGCTGGACCTCCAGGCCTTCGTCGCCGCCCACGAGTTCGAGATCGAGTCGCTCGAGCAGAGCATGGCCACCTCAAAGGCCGTCGGTTCCAGCCGCGCCTTTCAAAAGGTGCCCCGCGGACTGCGCCGGCGAACCGCGAGCCATAACCCTAAGAGGGTCCCGCGCCGGCTGAAGGCACGCGCGAGGCGAGAGATGGTAGAAGACAACACCCCCCTGGTCGAGGCACGGAGGAGAAAACCGACCACCACGAGGGCGCGCATACGAGCCGAGACAGCCAAGAAGCTGCGTGTTCTCGCCGCCCGAAAGAAGAAGAGGCAGGCCGAGGCTTCCCAGCGCGACGGCAAGCAGGTCGAGGTCCAGGGCGTCGTCGGCAGGAAGCCGAGGCCCAAGATCCGGAGGAACCAACTCAACGAGCCGCCACAGCCCGCCGCCAAGTTCCGAAAGCGCCAGATCAACAAGACCTGGCTTCCCACGCACACTTGGCACGCCAAGAGGGCGCGCATGACTGACCCCCAAGAACCCCTCTGGCGCTTCGCAATTCCCTTGACGCCAAACGAAAAAATCTACCGGCCGACCCATCGCGCCCAGGGTGAGAGGGGCACCATGATTTGGGACATGAGCTACGTGAGCACCATTGGCGTGTACGGGTCTCCTGACGGCCTGGAGAAGGTATTGAAGAGGGTCGGAATATCTCAGCCCTCGTCATGGGGTGACTCTCTTTGGGGTGAAAAGGGGAGGAGATGGAGGTCGGGCACCAGAGTCTGGTCGGGCATGTTGAGCAGGGAGAGCGGCCGCCATCAACGTCTGATGTGTCCGGCCACCGTCTTGTGGAACCCTGACAAGCCGGGTCGCCACGACCACGAGAGGGACAAGATCGTGCTGAGACAGGTGTACCTGAGGGTGCACCCATCGGCCTTTCTCGAAGTCTTCAACGAGCTGCTCCGGCTGACCAAGATGACCAGACCACGAGTGTACATTGAGGACCTGCGTTTCGAGGTTGGCAGCATCGAACTCACGGGCCCGGCGTCGACGGAAGCGCTCCTTGCCGTCCTGACGCCATACGTCACAAAAGACTCACCCAGGTCGAGCCACGCAGCCCTCTTCGAGTCTTTGGAAGGCTTGACAAATCCGGCGACCCTTCCGGCGAATGCCGTCTTGAGTTTCTCCGTCCAGGATCCCCGTTTGCGACATCCGCCGCGCAAGAGGGGATTTCCGGCGGGCGTCGAGGCCCAGATGGCTCTTCTGAGCACCATGGCCAGGTGGCCAGCAGAGGAGGGCCGGGAGCCGTCCCTTTTGTTTGATCGCGACGCCCGTCACTGCGCCTCGTGTCTGCCGTCGCAAAAGTCCATCAACAGGAGGAGGGGAAACACGGCCGCAGGCTCGTTCCTAGCGCCTACCAAGGCCGATCCTCCTATTCCCGTCATCCTGATTGCGTCGCGCTCGGCGTCCGGGATGCAGACCCAAGGAACGTGGACGCTGCTCGCCCCCTGGAAGTGCATCCTGCCCGTCTGGTACAGCCTGGTGCATGTGCCTCTTGTTTCCGGCCTCAACCCCCGCTTCGGCGGCATGAACGAGGCCAGGCAAGTTGCCTTTGAGCGAGGGCTGCCATGGTTCCCGGGGGACCACCCAGCGACGGACGCCGGCGCAGAGTGGGAGCTGGAGCAGAGGCGCAAGAGGAGGCAGGAGTGGGAGCGGCGGCCCAAGAGCAAGAGGACCGAGTGGGCGGCCCTCGACCTGGGCGCTGGGAGAAAGGGGGAGGTGGGCGACGGACATGCATGCGACTTTGAGCTGCTCTTTGGTCTGCCCACGTCGCGGCAAGACGAGACTCCGGAGGAGGAAACAGACTCAAGGCCCGAGATCGCAGAGAATGGCCCCACGGACACGGGGCAGGGAGCCAAGAAGAGCCACGAACCGGCCAAGAAGGGCACCGACACGCCCTCACTGAAGAAGTTGAGCCTCGTCACAAGAACCGAGTTTGATAGCATCGTCGCTTTGGTCACGTTTCCGATTTCGACCCCACCCAACGCCCTCCTGCAGGTGCGGATCTCCCTCCTGAGCCGCGGCGTTGTCAGGCCGTGCGCCCGAATCTACAGGCTCCCCTCGCCGCCGCCGCCCTGTGCGACCTCGCCCGACGCCGAGGTTCCCGCCACTATGCCGCCGCCGCGGATGCGGGAGCAGCAAAAGGAGCAGCAACCGGTGCAGGCGGCGAATGGCACGTCCTGTCTTCCCCACGACCTCCGCGCCCAGTGGCTCGTGCGCATCCCGCCCACCACCGCGCCGCGCCCGGCCGACGGGCAGGCCAGGGGCTCCCCCGCCAGACCCGCGGGCGACGTGGAGGCCCGCAAGCGCCTCCTCGCGCGGGAGCTCGTCGCCGCGCCGCCCCCCGCGCCCAACCTGCTCGACGTCGGCGGCGGCGGCCACCACGCGCTCGTGCCCGACGCCGCGGACCTCGTCGGCTTCGTCTCGTCGGGCTCCTTCTGCCTCGCCGACGGCCGCGCCGCCGCCATTGGCTGCGTCGCGGTCGGCACGCCTCGCCGCCCCGGGGGGGGGGTCCTGGCCGACGTCAGGGCCGACGCCCGGGCCGGGCGGCTGTGCGTGGTGCGCAACGCCGGCGAGAACGTCGGTTGGCTTGCGCGCTGGGAGGCTGTTTGATGACGGGCGGAACGGGGCGACGAGGAAAAAAAAAGTTAACTTCTCTTTACTCTACTTCCCGTGACGGACTATGAATGTCACGATGTCACGGTTCGGGATGGGCAATTGCCAAAGTTTGTTCAGATACAAAGTAGCAGAGTGGTATTAAAGCAGCAACCAACCCTTTGCAAAAAACAAGACACATAATATTGGCAGACGATACATGTCGCCAATGTCGCAAATATTCAATCAGCCTCCACGTCGGGTTTTGAGACCGTCAAACGCCAATGATTGATACCCTCCCTTTCCACACGTTGTCCAAGCTGCAAAAACAATGACGACAAAAATAAACCACCAAACCAATCAAACAAAGCGCAGTTCAAAAGGCCGCCGCCCACCATCGTAAAAAAAAGCATCATGTCGTGTCACATGGGGGCCGAGCGCGCTAGTCCTCCTCGCTAATCTCGCTCTCGTCGCCGCCGTCGGGGCTTCCCTCCTGACTATTGGCCAAGTCCTCGAAGGCGATTTCCATTTCCTTTTCCAGGTCGTCCTCCATGTCGGCGGCGCTACCGGGCTCGTCGGCGGCGGCGAATGCGTCGTCGGCATGGCCGTCCGCCGCCGCCGGGGCCACCTGGATGTTGTGGTTGACGGGGCTGGGCAGCTTGAAGTCGAAGTCGACATCGCCGTCGCTCTCGCCGTCGGCATCGCCCTCTGAGTCGCGCTGGTCCATGAAGTCGTCGAAGCGGCGCGGCTGGGGAAAGGCGGGAAAGGCGGGCGAGAAGTCGGTCAGCTTGGCGGCCGCGTTGTTGCCGCCGGGATACTCGACGAGCAGGTCGCCGTCGCCGTCGTCCTCGTCCTCGTCATCCTCGTCCTTTTCGGCGCGATTCGAGCTCTTCTTGTCCTGCTTGGGCGGCTCGGGTTTGGGCAGAGAGAGAGCCACGTCCTTTGGCGGCTGAGGCTGCTTCTTTTCCGTCTTGCGCCTCGGCTGCCTTGTCTGCTGGGCGGGGTTCTTGGCAGGTGGCTTGGCAGCGGGCTTGGGCTTAGGCCTGTCCGTGGCGTTCTTTTTGGCGTCAGGCTTCTGGTTGTCGAGGTGAGGGTACTGTCGGGCGAGCCGAGCGGGGTCCGAGTTACTCGGGAGGCGGGTGATGTTCAAGTTGAAAGTCGAGTCGACTTTATCGAGAATAAAGACCTTGCGCTCAGGGTCAAAGTGCAGGACGTATTGGTTATCGTCAACGCTGCGCGTCCCGGTATAGGCGTACGAGGAGCCGCCATCGGTATAGGAGAGATCATACGAGGTCGTCTTGCCCGGCAGGGACGGCTTAAGGCGGGCGTGGGCGGGCGCATCGCTCGCGGATAAGTCCGGCTTGTGGTTGTCTATTTCGTGAGGCTCCAGTCAGCAGGTAGTTGGGGGAAGAAATGATGACGAGGCCTTACAGCGGATGCCGGTGAAGATGTCGTTAGACGTCTTGTCGAGCATGCCCTCGCCGAGGACGACGGGGTATCTGCCCTTGACGGTGGGATCGATCAATGCGGCCATGGCGTCTGCAAGCTGAGGGAGCGCGTTGGCCGCCTCGGAGGCGTGGGCTGGGTGTGAACGCTCAATGCCGTGGGGACGGGGGGCGTCGGCGTCGACGCAGCGGTCGTGATGGGCAGATGGGCAGATGGGCAGATGGACAGACAGGGGTGCGGACAGAAGAATCTGTTGTCAGGCTGTCGCGAGAAGCCAACCCGGAGGGTCGCGGGAGAGTCGGTGAGGCAGAGGAGGTAATGGGAGAGGGAGAGAAGAGTTTAGGGTATGCGAGTGAGGAGGAGGAGAGTGAGGCACTGCTAGAATGTGGACTCCGTAGAAAGTGGGGGCGGGCCGACGCTAATGCTGATCATGGCGGGCTGAAATACAGGCTTGGGCCGCGCCGCTGGGTCATCATCACTCAGGTACCTTACCGAGTGATAGTACCCCCAGACTCCAAAGTCGTATTCTATGGGCATGGGACCGAGTACTTTGTACCTGTTCAGCATCTTTCCCTCCTCCATCGACCAGTCTCGCTGCTGTTGGGTGATAAATAAGCCGCATGGGTTCCTGGGCACGGGGGCCAAGAGGTAACACGAGGCAAGCAAGCACACACATACAAGATTACCTTGCATGGCATGTGCAGCGATCGTGCCCCTGACGATTCACGAGCAGCGGAGCCAGGGCCGGCAGAGCGGCTACTACGTGTATCGGATACAGGGTAGGTAAGTGGTCGACGTGGCACGAGAAGAATAGACTGACGGGACTCGAGCCGACTCGAGTCGACTCGAACACAGTGGGATAGATACTATAAGACTCGGCGACTAGATCAATCAAGGGGCGAGGCGCGAGAGCGGCCAGCTGCCTAGAGTCCGCGCATGGTCGCAACGTCTCCAGCCACCTTGGACATCATCCAGCGCACACCAAATTTATGGGCAAAGGCAAGTATCGACAACGAAGAAACAACAAAGAACAGCAGGAGCAAAGTGGAGAGAAGTCGCAAAAAAAGGGGTACACCGGATCCCACGGCTCGGATCCGGTGGCGTCGAGTGCTGCAGGTGACAAAGAAGACGCCTGTGCTCTTTGTGCGCCCCCAACGGACGGACCTCCAACATCTCCCAACAAGAGCCTCTTCCTTTCATTCAAAAGAGTCCATTGCTCGCTCTTTCTGCCATCGGACATAAAGGCCCGCCGTTGGCTCATCACGACCGCCGCCAGCGCGCCACCTCGGACATGGCCAGCTGAGCAGCGCGAATCTTGTCGTCCTCGGTCGCGCCCTCCAGATGTCGCGGCAACCTTGTCTTCTTGTGCGGGTGGAAATAGGGCCGGTCACCGTCGCACACGGTGTGGTGGTCCGGCATGGTCCCGTGCTCGAGGTACGCCCGCAAGTGTCTGGCCATGCACAACGATGGCTGGGCCAGGGAGCAGTGCCCGTAGCCCTTGATCTCAATCAGGCGCGAGTCCTCAAACGCCTGCTGCGCTACCTTGGCCGACGCGATCGGGCAGATGGGGTCGTACGTCGTCGACACGATGAGCATCGGATGCACCATCCGCACTCGCCGCGGCGGCACGAAGTCGTGCGTTCGCGGAATCGCCCACTGCTGCTTGGCGTAATATTCCCGGTTCATCTGGAAGAAAAAGGGCGTCGAGTCATACCACGGCGTCAGATAGTCCACCAGGCCCTGCCTCCCCTTGGGCCAGTGCCCGGGTCCCGACGCGCCGTCGTTGAGGTCGATGATGTCGTTGATCTCATCGATGCGGTCCGGCTTGTCCTCACCATACTGGAAATACGTCTCGGTCGCATTACCGTCCATGACCTGCGACAGATGGCGCGCCAGCACGTGCCAAGTGGCCGGCGTGTAGAGCTGCGAGTAGATAACGGACTGGAGCACCGTGGCATAGGTCAAGACGCCCTGCCTTTCGGCGTCGACGTAGACGGGGATAGGGTGTGCTTCCAGGTGACGCAAAAACTCCAGCACCACCTTTCGCAGCTCCTCCTTGGTCCGGGCCCGGTGTGCTAGAGCGCAACGGTCGCCGGCCTTGACACACTCTTCGAAAAAGCCGTCAAAGACATTCATGGTGTCAAGAAAGTCGCCCCGCAGGATGGGCGACTCGTACCAGTCAAAGAAGTCGCTGACGCCATCAATCACGACGCGACCGGAGCGCTCTGGGAAGAGGGCGGCGTACGTCTGGCCCAGCAGAGTGCCGTAGCTGAAGCCCCAGAAGACCATGTCCTGCTGGCCGACGGCGTCGAGGATGCTGTTCATGTCGGCGGCCGTCTGGGGCGTGTTGATGTACTTGCCGTGCTCTCCCATGTTGTCGATGCAGCCCTGGATATAGTTTTGCGTCCAGGCGTAGCGTTCCTCGCTGCGGCTAAAGGCGTCTGGGTCCGACAGCTTAAACTTGCGCCTGCGCGTCTCTTTGTTGGGATAGCACCGGGCGGCCGGCCGCGACTTGTTGACGCCTCGCGGGTCAAAGGATAAGAGGTGGAAGCCGTCGCCGACCACGTCACGGAGATGAGCACCGTCGGTATACAGGAACGCCATGCCGCTCTCGCCGGGCCCGCCTGGGTTGAGCACGAGGTTTTGGGTCGCGTTGCGGCCGCGCATCCGGATCAACGGCAGGGTGAACGTCTTGTCGCCCGAGTTGCCCGCATCGAAGTGGTCCATGGGCACGTCAATGTCGCTGCATTCGAGATCATGGCCCTTGGCCAGCCCGCACGGCCTCCAGCCAATCTTCTCCCCGGGATAGGTCCGGAGAGAGTCGCTCTGTGGGAGCGCAACGGCTGAGGCCCATAAGAGAGCCATGACGGCCGTGACCAGCTTGGCTACGCGTCCATTGTGTCGAGAAGGCATCCCTGCGAGTGACCCAGTTGAGGCCGTCATGATGGAGGCCATGTCACGTTGTCCAAGCGATGCTCGCTCCGTGTGGGCCGTGGCCGGAGGGAAAACTCAGAAAGTAAAAGTATAGGCGGCGACTTATTGGAGCAAGATGTCAACTTATCAGTGCATCGTGGACGAGAAAGGGAGCTCTTCTGCCAAGCCCAGGTCCAGGCAAGGCAGGCCGGGCATTATATGGGAAATCGAGGCAAGGGCGCCTCTTGTGAGCGTTCAATAGCATCATGACGGAGCAATAGCACACGGCTCCAGCGCATCCCTTGACGGCCATGTCGAGCGGGCTGACAGAGTGGTCGGCCGGTGGCAGTGTCTGCAGGTCTTGGAAACTGGCAGTGAATTAGAAACACGGGTCGTGAGGGCGTATAGAGACACCGGGATGTGGCCCACAGCGGCGCACACCGAGACACCGTACAGATACGCGGTTGAAGACGGGCCTTGGTTGCCGAATGACCGGGAGGGTCACCCCATGCGCACGTCGAGGGTGGGTGCATGGCGCCGAGAGGAGAAAAGGGAGGGCCGTCTTCGGGATGAATCCGGCACCCCAAGCCCTTGGGGGCGGCAGCCCTAGACAGGGTCATGCGCACATGCTCGAAGGAAGAAATGGGCGATTGGAGTCCATCGACGGCAGCTCTCATCTCGGAACTCGACCGACGGGCCACGGCATCGGGATATAACTCGGGCTTGGGCCAATCAGGTGCTGCCAGACACAAGGGAGGGGAAAGCACCGCAATTCATCTGCGCCGGCTGTCCATTGGTCGGCGGTGCTTCACAGCCTCGTTGGAGCAGACGATAGTAGAAGGTGCGAAGGCATGAGCTCGCGATGCCGCGGCCGCGATAGTCGCTCTAGACCCGGCCCATGGACGAGGTGCGAAGCGAAGGTGTCTGTCGGCGGCGAGAGACGCTGCGCGGCGGCCGCAAGGGTCAGAATTTGATGGCATTGATGCTATCGTGATGCCGGCATATTGCCTATCGGGGCTTGCAAGGCTGCTGCGGGTAACCAGGTTGGTGCGACGCGGGCAAGTTGGTGGTCAGAACCTAATTGGCGCATGCAACAACCACCACCTAGGGAGGTACCTTACCCTATATGCGCCGAGTACTGTACGTACTGCACATGACGAGAACTCTCCCCTGTAAAAATTCTTCCCCCGTCAGAGCTGTTAGCGGCTCGCTAGCAGGGGGCCGGATTTGCAGGCCACCCGACCGCGCTTTTGCTGCCCGGGTCCATCGTGGCCCTAACAGCACAGAGGAAGACATTAGGAGAGTTCATATTCCTCTGCAAAGCCGGTCTCGACAACACGTCCACACGGACCTCACAGCTTCCTTCGGAACCAAGGAGCTGTGGGTATTGGAAGGCCCGCCCTTCTAAACAACGGTGGCTGGTTGCGCAGGTTTTTCTCCTGAAGGCAAGCTGCACGACAGCCTCTGATTCCTTCGAGGGTTTTCCTGCCGCCGCTCCTGCGCTATTTCCATCGCCTGGTTACCGAAGCATGGACTGCGACAGCAGCGTTAGCGAGAGAGCGAGAGAATTCTGACCGGACAAAACCAAGGGTTGACCATTGTGGCAATCGCCACGCGCCTGGACGACCCGCTGACGGGCACCAGGCTCCGACACTGAGCGCCTTAGAGCCGATGAAATGCTGGATGGACTTCGGGAAGGCTGGCTGCAGAGGATAGCCACGGACACTTGTATTGACGGGCTTAGCGACAACCTACCGGTGGAGGGGGAAAGCCGTCTCCGGGGATTGAGCCCGACAGCTCGCCCTTGCGAGGCCTTGCAAGAAGCGCTGGGTGAGGCCTACTGTGGCAGGATTTTCTCGATAGCCTAGCTCAGCACGTCCTGTGCCCCACCGGGACCTGAGCGGCCTTACGGCCGCTGGACGGAAAATACACACACACACACACATACTGCACATGACGATGCTGCGGGGCGTCTGGTCCGCACCTGGTCCGCACATGTCGAGGGTGAACTTCGCCCCCTTTTCTGTTTCTTATTGCGCCTTTCAACTCGCCCAGCTCTTCCCTACGGTCCCATATCGACGTCTCCCTCTCCTCTCCCTGCTTTGCATCCAGACGGTCAGTTACGGACGGTAACCTATCACGACAAGGAGGTGATCGGCCGCCCTCCTCCGCCTCCTCCCTCCTCCGCCTCCTCCCTCCTCCGCCTCCTCCTCTTCTTCGTCTTCTAAGTCGCAGCCACCGGCAGGGTTACCGTTACCGCGCCATTTTGCATGCCCTCTGATAAGCCGCACGGCATTCGCAACGAGGCAAGCAGACGTCAATCGTCCCCTGCATTGCCACGCCTCCTCTGGCCACACAGAGCCACCGATGGCCCTCCCTGCCCGTCTGCACCCTTGGCTCGACTTGGACAGAGCGTCTTGATTGCACATACCGTGTGATGAGAGTCGGTTGATCCGGTGCGTTATTCCTTAACCGGGAGGAGCATGTCCTTCCCGGCTGAGCAGGCTCCGGGACACGCTGCCTTAATCTGGGCTTTTGCTCGAGAAGTGTGTGGGCTCGACGACGTCAATGGCTCATGCACGACAGCGCATGAGCAAACTGGCCATGTGCAGTCTTGCCCAAACAAGTCGCATCCATGAGATATATCTCTCATGGCTGCCTTGGTTCTTGTATGCTCCCACATGGGACGTCCAGCACCGTCCGGGGCTGTGCAGAGGAAGCCCTCCCATGAGGACGCGGGCTGCTACTCTCGGCTAGAGCACGGTGATGCAACGACGACCCCATCTTCTCCTCGGAGCTCGTCGTCGCAAATTCCCGCACTTGTCGTCTAATCTCATCTTCCGAGTTATGCGCTCCAAGGTCCACGGGCGTCCGCCCCTGAGAGAGTAATGGCGTCCACCAACACCTGCCGACGCAGCCGATATTGCCTGCCCATTCGCCCCTGTGACCATGTCTGTCGTCGATCTGCTCTCTGTCGGGCGGTATGGCAATGGGTGTCCAACAAACTCCGCCTCGCTCGCCTGACCCTCACGAGGAAGTATTTTCTGGCACAGTTCACCGCTCGGGAGCATAGGAGAGGAGCAAGGGGCGGATGGACCGTAACCATGCATCATGGAAACATGGCCAGTAGGACTTGTTTTGCCCTGATGCCTACGCTTGCTGCGTTGCCCTGTCCAGTCGTCGAGGCAAATGTCAGAGGCAGGCTCCCTTCCATGGTCAGAATGCTGGGGCATCGCTTTTCTACGGGTCTTGACCACTCCAATGCAATGTGGCCTCGGGATGTCGAGTGCAGAGACTGAATAGAAAGAATACCGTCCCTGATCCTTCAAAAGACTGATAGGCATGCTCTATCTATGTAGTTAATTTGGCATTCTGGATCAATAGATGAACCTGTATGCCGTCTATGCATCATGATGAGCGTGATACACATGGACAAAACCCTTTTTATTCCACTGGGCATGATAGTGACACCCGACTTGAACAAGTAATGTAATGACCATTCAAGTCATCATGCCAAGATTGACTAACAGAGGCTGCTGACGGCAGGAAACGCTGGACAACGCAGACGGTCGAGCACGTATAACTGGGTCGGGCTCTCCTTAGTCTGCGTGCTTGCTGGCCCCAGATGGTAGAGAAGCAGCCCGTTTTGAACTCTTGCTCATCAACACGAGATAGTTGACTGCAGTATTCCATATGGCACACCATCTCTCCGAGCTCGAAACAGGAGCAAGACTGCCCTTCCGTTGCATGCGAGGCAAGCCATGGAGGGGAATAGGCGTATCGCCACAACCGGGTGAGGTTACCGAGCCCCGTGTCACGCAAGACCACGCAAGTCGAAGCACGGCGTGAGGTAGAATTCGACGTCTTACTTCCCTCAACGGATGGCGAGAACGGCCAGCCTACCGTGTAAAGTTGACGATCTGGCCCACTCCAGGTCTACGGACAGGCCGAAACCATCGGCCAGACGGTTCGCTTGACTCAACTGGATAGTCAATGAAGCTGCTTGCAACAGACCGCCTCCGGATGTACGGAGTAGGTTTGCACAGGAAGCATCTTTGACGACTGGACTAGCACATCTCGGGGGCAGGCCGTGAAGCACAATACTATGCCGCCGTGGGTACTGACCCCGTTCTTGCGGTTCAGCCTGGGAGAGAGCGGCGAGTGGGCTGCTTGGCACTGCAATCGCACCCCGGATAACGACTGTCTCCGAATGTGACGTCCATGGACGTGTCGGTCCCTCGCCGGCGAGAGCAACCAATAGGCGCAACGTGGCTAGCGAGAAGGTTCTTCGGAGCGCTTTGCAGAGACGTATTGCACGTATGTATACCGGATGGAGGATCAAGGCACCGAGAAGACTGGGCTGCCGTCGAGGACGATTCGCAAGGTCGGATCATCATCGTGCGTGACCTTGGGCGAATGGTGATGCAGCCTGCTGGCAAAACAGCGTCCATGAGAACAGGGGGTTGGCTTGAAGCATGAAAAACGCCGCCTACCCAGGACGCACGAGAGGGCAGGGAGTTTTGCGGCCATGTGCCATCACCTTGAGGGGATTCAGTCGAGCAACGAACTACGGGCCAATAGCGAGACGCGGCGGAAGAAAATACCGGAGACTGTCGGCAGAGCGGCAGCCGAAGTCGTGTCTTGGGCATCATCAACGGCCCAGCCGGGTGGCGCAATGTCGCCATTTCTGGCTTGAACAAAGCCAAAATACCTCGCTTTCTTGTTTATGCTTATTACCTAGCTCGGGAGACAGCACACGAATAAGCTTTAACACTCCTGAGCAGGGACGAGCAGAATGTGCGAGCAACAGCCGAGGGAAATAGAAAGGAGGCAAGACCAGCAAGTGCAAAAGAAAACAACGAGGCTCACACACAGGAACAAGACACCTGGACTCGCCTTTGGGCCAAACATTGGCCCGCGACGGTGATCGCGTAGCGACCCTTCTTTCAGCCTCATGCCGTTGCACGTCAGCCAACGACGGGAAACGTGGGCCCCCTTGGGAGCTTGGGAGGCGAGGCCGCACGGCCGTCTCCATGCCCGCAGAAAGTCGGGCTTGTCCGAGGGGTGGCTTGTGATTGTGTTTCTCCTTCCCCACCAAGTAGGTCACTGGATGTTTTGTAGCTGCGAGGTCTGATCCATGGGTCTGGCGACCGTGTACGGCGTGTGGGGTGTAACTGTCGACGACCCTGATATCGGGGTCCCAGGGACGAAGACCAGGGTATCATGGAGTCTTTTGATGAATGAAGTGACCGAGACATTGATGTAGAGAGAGCCGGTCATCGAGCGAAGACGAGATGAGCAGACGGGAGCCAAAGAATGGAGGGCAAATCGTCGACGGGATATGACAAGTCAGATGGAATCACGAGCCGAAAGGGCGTCCCAGCAATACTTCGTATGGCGCGGAGAAACCAGGGGCTGGTTGCTGTCAATGGCTGGGACCGATCGGGAGCGAAGCGAGGACTCGTCATCTCCAAGCAGGGTTTAGACTTTGACGAGGGCCCTCGAGAGCGTCTTGTTCGGTTGGCAGGGCGTCAGGTGCCATCTATGCATATCGTCCGATGACATCGGACTGCCTTGAGACGCTCCGCTCCGAATTGCTGGGTTGCAAGAAGCCTCCTTTCCTCTCCCCTTGTCGTCGTCGAAACGCAGATTGGACGATATTAGGATACCCGGGAAAATTTCCGTGCAGTTTTGCTTCTGGCTCCTTGCTTTCTTTTTCGTCTCCCGGGCAGCCCCCCTTTGTCGACGATCTGGTGGCGGCAATGGGGCAGCGCCTCTTTGGAGCGAAGCCGTCGCTTCGGAAACGTCGAGCCCCGAAGACTAGTAGGGTAACCCTGTTGGACGGGCCTTTGCCGAAAGGCGAGGGGAGATTTGTCTTCCTTTCTTTTCCTACAACGCGGTTGCACGCCAGTCATCTACGGAAACATACGTCCTGGGCCTAAGCGACGGATGGTGTCTTGCGGGGAGCCGGCAGCGGTGAGCCCTCCCACCCCATCTGACCAAAACGCCGGACCGGATAAGATGCCAGATGGCGCCTAGTCGCGGTTGGTGGCGGTGGCGGCGGCGGCAGGAGGAAGGATAACGTCAGGCAGGATATGAAGGCCACTGGCACTGATGATGGATGGATTATTGGCAGGGCAAGCATGGATAATAAAGGAAGGGGGGGTGTCCTTGTCAAGGACAACAGGCGTGGCCAAGGGAGGGCCAACGTATCTCATGGAGTACCAAGAGTCCCGAGCTGGTCGGCAGTGTGTATTCGTAGAATCTGGACGAAAGGGTGCTCGGTTGGGTGTGGCAGTGGTTTAGTGTGTGGTGTCTGTGTTGAAATACAGGCATAACGTCGGAAAACGCTAGGCAACCAAATAAGCACTGCTGCCAATGGCAGAGGAATCGAGGAGAGAGACAGGAGAGTTGGACGTTGAAAAGAGGGGCCACAGAGGGAGGAAGAACAGTCCCAGGGCTCACTATTGGTGCGGATCGGTGGCTTGAGGCTTGTTGGTGGTGATGGCAAAACAGTCTGTGATGAGCCAGGGCAAACAGGCCGGGGGAGAGAGACAGGTCGAGTGACACCGGAGCGCCTTGGATCCGAGTGCCGGCATTTTCTCCCCTCTCTGCAGGCAGTCGATGTTGAGCGTTTGCGGCGCTGCGACGTTGGGCACGGCTTTTTTTCGCTCGCTGTGTTGCAAGGGCCCCTGGTCAGCTGCCAGTCCCCACGGGCCCGAGGGCGATCAGGGCAAACGAGGCATTGTGAAGGTGATTTCCTGGGAAGCTATTAGAGGAAGATGTCAGAGAAGCGGTATCGTCCAGTCGGTTCGCCTACTTGTTTGAAAGCCCCCGGCGATTGGATGATGAAGTAAGAAAAAAAAAGGTTCGCTGGAGATGATGCCGCGGCTCCAGGATCCGAGGGCGATCTTGAATCACCGGCTTGACAAATAAGCGGAAAAAGAAAGCGCGCATGAGGTCGTTTGGGTCCTGCGAGCTGTGCTTGTGGCGTGGATAAAAGGGTGCATGCATGCCTCCCTGATTGCCATCAAGGCCGGCAAGCAAGAAACAAACGGTCAAGGAGGGAGTGTCGACTCCAGGGACTTGGCATTAGCCTTGTTGAAATGTTGAAGCATTTGTTGCGGTCAAGATTTCTGTCTCCCAGGTACGTACCCACTTGCCAATCTGCCTTGTGAATCTGTTCATGGGCGGTCGGCGATCTCTCCGGGCACTTGTACAGGGACTTGCATACCGTACTGGCACTACCCGGCCACGGCAGGGAACACGGGGTGTTCCTCGTCTCAACGGAGGGCATATACAGTGCTGAGAGTACTGACTAGGCTCAACTAGCACTGTGCTATGTATCTGTACTCTGGAGCACTCACTCCAACAGCTGTGTGGGGGATGTGCGGCAGTTGTCTTTGGGCAGCCAGGGAGGGAGGGAGTGGGAAATGTCTGACCAACTCGGCTGAATTTGCACTCGACTCCCGCCAGGGCCGCGAATGGCTCATTGAGTTGCCTCTTTTTTCCTCCTTTCCAAAGAAGACGGGGAGAGAGAGGGGGAGAGAGAGAGAGAGAGAGAGAGAGGTTTTGACAGAACTGGATTACCGTACCTGCGGATTAGTCCTTGTCAGTCTCCTTACTTTTTCCTCGTCCCTCTTGCTTTTGCTCACTGCTGGCGCACCAACAAAGGCCGTCGAGTAGGCCTATCCGTTTCCTGTCACCGCTGTGCCGAACAGCACATGCTTGGTCACGGCATGCTGGTCTCACCGTGCGCTCGCTCCGGCAGCAGAGGCGTTCGGATGAACACTCCAGCAGCATGTAGCAGTCCGTCCCCGTCCAAGCACAATCACAAACGGGGAAAAGCAAGCAAATGGGCATTGTCATTTGCTGTGGCTTTCCTCGAAGGTGTTGACGTGCATTGCTGGAGAGGTCGAGCAGACATCCTTGCGTGTAATTACTCGGTCTGTTGATGCTAGTCTCATCAGTGTCTCCGCGTCAGCAACTCAAGTAGCAAACAAGTCTGGCAGTCGGAAGACAGCGAATGCACTGTACTTACTAAGTCACATCACCCACATCACCCACACCATTGGCCCGTCGTACAGTGTTGGCAGGCCCCTGAGCTGCACAGTACTACGTGCAGCTGCCTTGTCTCGGAGGCTTGCTTGGCAGGGTTCTCCCTCGCTACTACCTACCTTAAGGTAGGTTAGTACCTAGGTTAGTACCTAGGTAGGTAGGTAGGTACTCTGTAGGTACCCAAGGTAAGGTACTCAAGATAAGGTACCCAAGATAAGGTAAGGTAGACGCTTCATGCTGGCTGCTGACAAACAACCGCCATTCCCCCTCGTCCTCGTCCTCGCTCGTCCTCGTCCCTCGCCATGCGGTTCAGCCTGCTCCCACTCCCCCCCCGGCTGAGAAACACCCTCGAGAGAGATGATGAGTGGGTGGCCGGCCTGTCGGTACCACAACCCCTCGAGTCGCAGCAGCCAGCGACGTTTTGCATCACACATCACAGCACAACTCGGCATCACCGACTCGCTCAGAGACGGAGCCGACAGAGCCTTTCAAGGCAAACAAAGAGGACCATGCGTCAACAGCCCCAACGGCTCCGCCTCTAATTATACCTATACCACCGTTGGCCCTACGTGGAGAAGAGGCCCTGCGTGGAGAAGAGGCCCTTGACCGGATGCTAGCGGCGCCACATGATAGGTCTATGGAACTGTCACCTGCATGCTGTCATCTCTCCCTCTCCTCTTCCTGCCTCCCTCGTCGACGGGACCAAAGGGCACCCTTCCGAGGTGCCGCTTCCGGTCGTCCGTGCTCGCCCGTCTTCTCTGTCTTTCATCTTCCTTTGTCTCTCTCCTTCTCTCTCCATCTCTGAACAGTCGCAGCTTCGTAACCCGCCTGTCTCCATACTTACACGCGCCTCTCGCACCCAACAGGACAAGTGTCCAACGTCACACGCCACCTCAGATCTAAGCAAAGGAGACGAGGAAGAAGAAAAGCGCCCGCTTATTCGTGCGTGCGCCCTCAAAGCCGCGTCACTAGCAATGGATTCAAGTCTTGATCGGTGCTTTTTCATTACCCTTTTTGCTTCTGCTTGAATTTGCCCACCCGTCCTCCCGCGCCCAACCCTTGGACCGTGTCCCGCGCCTCGCCGGCTGCTTTTGCCCAGGGCTACTCCCTTCTGAGACCCTGTTTAGCTCTGCTGCCTCCAAGACATCCGCACAACTGAGCCCTCGTACTGTAGATGGATGCTTAACGACGACGTCCGGCGCATCGCAACCTGGACCATCAAGTCTTGGATCTGGTACCTGTCTCAATAGCGCACAGCCCGTCTTCACCCCCCACCGTCCGGATCGGAGGGCCAACACCATCGTCACATCTCTGTCGCCACGCCCCCCCTTGCCCTACCCTTCCTTGCTCCATCTTTGCCGACCCTTATCTTCCCGCCCATCCCCCCTCTAGTTTCCTCTCGGGCGACAATCGTCGTCTTGACACTCCTCCGATTCCTTCCTCTTCCACCTCCAGGCCCGAGACGAGACACGTCGACTGGGCTCGCCAACAGATATCATAGTATTTGCTCTCGACCATACGCCCGCCCGGTTTGTCCGCACTCTCGCAGGCGAGCACCAAGGAAAAGAGGAGAGGAGAATGGACGAAGCATGCCAGCCACCCGAACTCAGCGATGCGCTGTACAGCGCAACCGTCCTCCAGCTACCAGCCGACAAGTCCGAAGATCACCTCGACCTCGAACTGCTGGCCAGGGCCCACGCTCTCGGCATCCGGGCTTCTCTGTCCTCCGTCTCCCACTACAGGCGCCCCGCCTCGGTCGCCCTGTCTGAATCTTGCGCCTCGTCCTCGCAGGAGCAGCTTTTCTCTACGGCTTCTGATGGCTCCGCCAGCACATATCTCACTCCGCACTCCTCCATCATCGGGCCCCCTAGCCCTGATGTGGCGACGGCCGACCAGGCCAGCTCCAGGCACCCAAAGCTCCCGAGCTTTTCTCCCTACGAAAAGTTCCTGGCGCATCGAAACCCCGCCCCTGACTCGACCAAGTCGACGTCGGGCAAATCGTTCACCACCGACAGCTCGGCCCAGAGCATCTTCAGTGTCAGCACCCGAAAAGGACTGTCAGGGTTTCGGAGCCGGATGACGTTGAGGAAAAAGTCTACCCGGTCTTTTGAGCCCAGCTTGTAAGCCATGTTCTCTCTCCGCACGGCATTTTTCGGCCTCTCAATGAGCATGCTCCGTCGCCTTCTTTGGGCATACCTGCTAACTAGCCCTTTCCTTGCGCACAGGATCTGTTATGGCTGCCGAACCGAGTTCCGCACATCGGCCTCGCTGCACATTCTCCCCTGTGGTCATAGTATATGCAACGACTGTCTCAAACTCAAGATCTCCGAGGCCTCTGGAGACGAGTCCAAAATGCCGCCACGTTGCTGTTTGCCGGTGCCAGCTGCCGCCATCCAAAGGCTTCTCGAGCCTGCAGCGCAAGAAACGTTTCTTCGCGCGGTTGTTCAGTTCAGCACACCGATGGAGTCGAGAATATTCTGCACCGGTGCCTCGTGCGGCGAGTTTATCCCCCGGCGGAAGCATGTGGACCCCAAAGCTCCATTCACCGCGACCTGCCACAAGTGTCACACCCGAGTTTGCACCATTTGCAAACGCGACGCCCACCCGATTGGCAAGGACTGTCCCGAGGACCTGGAGGTGGCTGCGTCTCCCGAGGTTGGTGATAGACCGAGTCGGAAGAGATGCTACAAGTGCCGCAGTCTCGTCGAGAACACGCGAGATTGGAGCCACTTGACTTGCGCCTGCAAAGCCCAGTTCTGCTCTCTGTGTGGAGGGGTTTGGGACTCGACTGTTGGCTGCCCCAACATCTGTAGCAGTGAGGAGGAGGGCGTCAGGCGACGCGACTCGGACGATGGTGGTTCGACGACTCAGGACGTCCTTCGCGATGCGGCGGAAGCGGAGAGGCGCTCGGCACAGCACCCCGACGTGAAGAAATTGCAACTTTCACTACAGCAGGAGTTGCAGCGGTCCTGCGACTTCATGGCGGAGACACGGAGCTCCATACTCACGCGGCATTCGCTGCAGCGTGTCAACCTGTTGAGCAATCAGACGGATCAAAGCTCCCAGATCAAGGAGAAGCACGTCGCGACAGCAGCTCAGCTCGAAGATCGCCAAATCACCGAAGAGATGGAACTGCGAGCCTCCCTCGAACAGAGCGAGCGCACCATCAAGGTGCGCATCAAGCATATGGAAGCATACTGCGAGGGCTTGGGCCGGAACCCGAGCGGCCACGAGATGCCTCCACGTGTGGTAACGGAGCAGAATCTTCGAGACCTGGGGCACCAGTATAACCTCCGTGACGACATGGAGCGCCAGCATCAGTCCAAGATTAACATGATGCGAGACCGACAAGCCAACCGAATGGAGGAGCTGCTCCAACGCCAGGCAGAAGAGCTTCAGCAGCTCACGGAAACGCATCAGGCCGAAAAGAGGGAACTTGACGAGACTATGGCGCGCGATGAGGAGGCGTTGAACCGCTTATTCGACGTGCGCAACGCTCGACTAGCGGCGCGGTGGAACCTCGCCATCGAAGTGCTATGCAAGGAGCTCGAAGATAAGGACGGGGTCAGATATGCCCCGGTATCCCCACCGAGCTGGCCCGACGCAGAGAAGACTCACGAATCAATGGTTCCCCAGGAGACCGTGGCACTCATATCATAAAGACGGCGTTCTGCTCGGCATCTCTGGTTGATGCCGGGCTGATGAGAACCCACCTGCACATTCGCAAACTTTTCCTTTCCCATTTACATTTTCCTCTAATGTCGATACCTCGGGTCATTGAGTCTACGTCACGAGGGACATTGTATACCCGCAACTGATTCTGGAATTACTCGTCTCCTAGGATTCTACGCGGGGCGTTTTGAAAACCGAACCGTCATTGAAGCCGAGGAGAGACAGTCGTGCCGCGTTGTCTAAATACGCCCCAAGATATCCGTTTTTTTTCTTGTACCTCTTTCCCTACATCTTTAATGGGCAATGGGTTTGCTTTATGCATCGGACCGAAGCGTCACAAGAGGTGAATGCTGCCGCCTGTGTTGATAGTGTGGGCGGTGAGCGTCCTCGTCCTCCCCTTGCGTTGGGATGCATGTTTAGGGGCATGGCATGGCGGGCGAGAAGAAACGACGCCGTCAGTCTACCCCTGCCCTCCATGTACTATAAACGGTGCGCCATTGCATCTCGTTCAACGTTGGGATCCAAGAGCTGAAATGGCACAGCACGGGGTATACGATGTGCATGACGAGCAGCACCTCACCTCTGGCGTAGCCGCAACGCAATAAAAAACTTACGCCAGTTGGTCCTTCTGCCTCTGCCAAATCGCCATGCCCTGCCCAACGAAAGCTTTCTGCTGTGACGAAGGGGACAAAACGTTTCGGCGGGCCGTCTCCCCAGAGAGCGACGGCAGCGAGCGCAAATTGCCTCGGATGTGGCCGTGTCTGTCGTTCTGTGCAGGGGTTGACTCTGCGTGAAGCCGTAGGGGGTAGTACAAGACATGGGATCGTGACTTCGGCAAACATGACAACGATGACGCTGCTGAGACACGTGCATACATACAGCCTCGGTGTGTTACGGAAGAGGAGTCAACTTGTGTTCCCCCGTTTCCTCACCGCCTCCCAACGTGTGGCTCTAGAGGTCCTTGCCCTCGGGCGCTTCCCACATGGCGGGGGGGGAGCGGGCTGTTGTGTGATGCGGGAGAAAGTGGCTCTCGGACGCCTACCGTATGGGAAACGCCCTTCCGGCTTGGAGGTTGCATCGTCTACCAGGGAATTTGCGCAAGGGCTGTGTACAGTACACACGTTGCATCGTCACACGGGGATAGGGGGAGGTTATGTGCGACTCGATTCTCGGGACGATTGATAACGGGATGGACCATGTAACACAGCATCATGTATGGACAAATGGACTCTTGGTGGGTAAGTACATACTGTACCTAGGCAAGGGGCTTCTGGGCGGTTGTGCAACGTGATGCAGCGCTCGCATGTATGTTTGCACGGGCAATGTTCGTACCGTTCAGAGACCAAGGCCAAGGCCGGCGACTGCTTCATTCACCCCCTCCAGGTTCTGGGGCGGGCAGCATCGGCTACGGCGCACAGCAGATAGGGAGCAGATAGGGACAGGGAAAGCGCAACGGCGAGGGTCGGTGGGCTCGCCAACGGAAGCCACACCAGATGCGGTCACCATATCACGGGGCACCTTGTGGAAATGAGTATTGAGGCCATGGCCATGTGCGCGCGCCGTCGTGTGCGTGTAGCTCTGTCGACCCCTTTCGAGAAATGAGAGGCCAGTGGAAAGCTATTGACGGGTTCAGAGTCGTTGGTCGACAGTCGACACATTCTCAGCCGCCGCGGGAGGTAAGCCCCTTCATGGTCGTAGGTGAGGTGCAGCGCATCACCAACCCAAGCTGAGGGCTTTACCGTAGTCGTTGCTGTGGCTTGACGGAAATACCATCTTCCGCAGGAGTGCTCTCGTTTCCCGCACGTGACTTGGCTGCTCGGAGGGCCTCGCGCTGCACCAACCGGCTCGGGCTGTGGGCGGGAAAAACCCTGTCCGAAAAGGCACAAATCCGCCGTCCACTTTTTTTCCGACCACAGCAAGCGAATCTATTCAATTTTTCGCCCATCAGCCCGCCCGCCCGTCTCGCCGCCTCATACACTCGACGCTGAATACGAAAAAGCAGGTCTTCACAATGGAAACCTCAAAGGTCCCCGTCAAGCTGGTCAAGGTGACCCGAGTCCTCGGCCGAACCGGTACGATAACCCAAGTCAAACTCATGCTTGCGGAAAGACGTGCCAATACTTGTTTCGTCGCGCCCCCGGGGGAAGACCGACGAGGACATCAGTCCGGGCTGGGATGAGTAGCAGACGGCTAACCCGGGATTATAGGCTCTCGTGGTGGTGTCACGCAGGTGCGCGTTGAGTTCATGGACGACCAGACCCGATCCATCATCCGGAACGTCAAGGGCGCTGGTATGACTGCCGAGTCCCCCCTCCAAACTCTCCTTCTCCCCCAGCCTCACGCGAGGAAACGGTTGACGACGGAGAGACTGACATGGCCATTCTGCTGCAGTTCGCGAGGACGATATCCTGTGCCTGCTCGAGTCTGAACGTGAGGCCAGACGCCTGCGATAAACAACCATGGTGGGGGGTGTCGGTGCTGGCCACGATGGCTGTATGAGGAAAACCTGAGAGCATGGGTTGGAGGAGCACACAGGTCTCTGATTCTGGGGGTCTTTTGAGGCGTTGAGCTTATGGTCCCTTGACGGACGATAAAGTGTCAAGTAGAGGATCGACAGGCTGCCACCTGGTCGGAAGACGACCAGGCTCATTTATGCCTTCCTTAGGGTTCTGGAATCCGCATAATGGTTCATTGGTCATGGGAAACCACAGCTTCCTATCAGTGCACTCGCAGTCTCGTGATGCATGGGCTGCATTATTGATGGGCGGGCTGACGGTGACGATACCCACTGCATCAGGGCGCAGGGCGTGCGAGCAACAAGGGAAGAAGGCGCGTGTGGAGGGAGAAGCATTCTGTTGAGATGCTGGGAGCGCGAGCAGGTCCGAGAGGTGCTGTTTCCGACAGGGCGAGGATGATGTGCAACAAGAACATGCCTCTACTCTGTTGGAGGTTTGCGCGGGAGGCTGTTTGTTGCCTTTGGCGACGAGTAAAGGACTGGTGTCATGGTGCCGCACAGGAATGAAGCTATAGTAGGTGTTCGTAGGAGCGTTTTTGACGTGCAGCCATCAATGAGGCGAACTTTGGCTTCAATGGTTTTGAGGAAACCCCAAGCTACGTCACCTCCGGGAGGCAACGAATGGGGCCCGTACGGAGAGAGCCCACAGCAAACAAATGTGCCACGACGGTTGGCCATGGTCTGGAGTCTAGCCTTTTCTATTTTTGTCTTTCTTGCTTTCCATCGGATGGGCCAGGACATCTGTGCCGTGTTTTGAACCATCTTCCGGCGCCCGTCCAGAGGCCCCACGGCCCTCTCCCCGTGTCTCCCCGTGCCAACATGGGATGGACGACAGCTTGCGAGCGGTCGTGTGATAAGCTTTGGGCCTGTAACCGGTTTCGCGGGAGTGTTGGAGAAGTTGCTTGCCTGTCTGTGCTACGGGAAAAGCCCCTTAATCCCGGAAGAGGTGAGAGCGAGATGGATGGGGGAGAGAAAGAGGCTTACAACGGGGCTTGGGCGTGGGTGGGTGTGGTAGGCAGGTACCTGGAGCTTGTACCTTTTACTGCAGAGAGAACGGGCTTCGTCATCTGGCCCACTCCGGCAGGGCCGTCCAGGGGTACCTAACGAAGCAGGTACTGTACCTTCAACCAGCGCCTTTGCATCAGCCACAGTTAGCTTGCCTCTTGCCTTCACCTCGTCAAAACCTCGTCAAAACCTCGACGTAGCAGCCGCGACACGACACCTCTTGTCCATTGCGACCAAGAGGCCGCCTCGCGCCCTTTGCTTGTCTCTTCTGCGCGGGCCCGTCGGCAGCAAACCAGCCCCTCGTCGCAGCTTTTCTTGGTTCGGGGAGCTGCCGCTTTTGGGCCGCCGCGCGGCGACCATCTTCAACCACCCCCCTCTCCCCCCTCTCTCCTCTCGTTGCTTTCCTCCTCCCCCACTCACTTTCCCCTTGACTCCGCATCAGCAAGCTTGCCCATTTGGCAACCGGACGCCAGCGCATTGCCGCAGGCTCCTCAGATCACCACCCCGGCCTTTTGCGAACCGATCCCCGGCCACTGCGCAACGGCCCAAGGGACGACAACGACGACGAACACGCCGGACTGAGGACCAGTCGCGAGGTCTCGTAACGTCCTGAAAAGTCGGACATCGAACTGAAGAGCCAATAAGCATCCTTCCGCACTCGTTCATCCTCCCGCTTCCAGCATGGCCGACCGGCGCGGTTCGGGGGCCGACGACGAGGCCCCCCGGCCACCGCCCCAACCGCCGCGCGAAAGGGCTGGAAGTATGCCAGTCCTAGACTCGGCGCCCAAGCAGAAGCAGGATATCGAGCCGGATCGCGATGCCGTCCTGAGCCCCAAGCAGATCGCTGACGGAGCAAACACTGTCCAATGGGACCCGCCCCAGCCAGGCGTTGATCCGGCGCTGGCCAAGCAAGTCGAAGAAGTCATGGCTTCCGAGGTACCCTCGATCACATTTCCCTTCGAGACTACAATCATGCAGGCGCTGACATCGAGGCAGCTAGGTATCTCGACTCTCTTAAATCGCTTAAAGCAGAGTGTGGCCTCAGCAAAGGTACCCGTGACCCTCCCTAAGTTGGCGTCTCGGGCACACAAGACTCACACACATCCAGGAGTTTGCCATCTTCCTCAAGAGACGGTCAGTGCTCGAAGATGACCACGCCCAGGGCCTCAAGAAGCTCTGCCGTTTGAATCAGGAGAGCGCGCGCCGTCCTGAGCACAGACAGGGCTCCTTTGCCCAGTCTTACGACGAGATGATCTTCATCCACGACCGCATGGCCGAAAACGGCTCGCAGTTTGCCGCCTCTCTCCACCAGATGCACGAAGACTTACTCGAGCTGGCTGCCACTGCAGAGCGCGGCCGCAAGAGCTGGAAAACCAACGGCATGGCTGCCGAGCAAAAGGTGGTCGACCTCGAGCAAGCCATGCGCAAAAGCAAGGCCAAGTACGACTCTCTCGCCGACGAGTACGACCGAGCCCGCACGGGCGAGGCGAGACAGAGCGGCAAGATGCTAGGCGCCTTCAAGGCGCACAAGTCGGCCGCCCAGCAGGAAGAGGACCTGCTGAAGAAGGTGCAGGCAGCGGACCAGGCTTATCACGGCCACGTCAACGCGCTGCAGACGGAAAAGTCCCATCTCGTGACGATGGCCCGCCCCGAGGCTGTTCAGGCGCTGCAGGACCTCATCGTCGAGACCGACTCGGCTGTGACGCTGCAGATGCAAAAGTTTGGTAGGCTACCCCCTGCGCGCCCCAGATCGTTGAGCACTTTTCTGACATGTCTTTCTGAACTCACCTACAGCCGCTTTCAGCGAGAAGCTGCTGCTCGGCAACGGCCTGATCGTCAGCCCGTTCAAGGGCCAAGCGCCAAGCAGCCCATCTCAGCCTCGGAGTTTGCGCGAGGCTGTCGCAGCTATAGACAACACCAAAGACTTGAATGACTTTGTCGCGGCGCAACACGCTAAGATTCAGCCCAAGTCTGAGGTCAAATACGAGCGCAACCCTGTTCGTCACCACGCAGGCCCGCCGCATCATTCCAAGCTGAGCCCCTTGCTGACCATTCGCCAGATCCTTAACCCCCCGTCCTCTGCGGCAGCCAACCAGCCCACTCCGCTGAACATGCACCCGCCCCAGACCAGTGGCCAGACTTCAGGTCCGCAGGGGCCATTCTCTCCGTCGATGTCAATGGGTTCGCACAGCAGCACCGCTAACTTTGGGCCTGGGAACCCAGGGGCGACTCAGGAAGCGCCACGGGAGTTCCCGATGCCTCACACACGCAGCTTTAGCCAGGGCGCCATGCTGAACCAACAGGGTGGCCCGCCGCAGCAGTTTGCACCGAGAAACTCAGCCCAGGCCGCTCCACGGTACGGCACCGGGGGCACGATAACCTCCCAAGGACCCCCGCGGCTGGGTGCCCTGCCCTTCCAGGCTTCACAGTCGTCGGGTCAGCAGCCTCAGCAGTCTGGTTCTCCGCCGCTGCCGTCGCAGGACAAGCAGAACAGCGGCGGTGCTCCGCCCGGGTACGGCCCTCCCGGGCAAGGCTCGGCCTCGAAGCCCATCTTTGGAGTGCCGCTTGCTCGCCTTTACGAGAGAGACGGGCTGGCCGTGCCCATGGTCGTGCACCAGTGCATCCAGGCGGTCGACTTGTTCGGTCTTGGCGTCGAGGGCATCTACCGGCAGTCAGGTTCCTTCAACCACATCAGCAAGCTCAAGGGCATGTTTGATGCAGGTATGTCATGCTCCGTCCGCAGCCTCAAGAAGTTCGTTGGCAGCTGACTGAAGCCGTCTTGTAGAGTCCCAAAACCCGGCGCTCGACTTCCGCAACCCCGAGAACTTTTACCACGACGTCAACAGCGTGACGGGCCTGCTGAAACAGTTCTTTCGCGATCTGCCGGACCCCATCTTGACGATGGAGCATCACGATGCCTTCATCGCTGCCGCCAGTAAGTGTCGACGGCTCTAGTCTCGCCATGGTCATGTTCTGACGTACGCTCCCTGTCCAGAAAAAGACGACGACGTTGTCCGCCGCGACTCTCTCCACGCCATCATCAACGCCCTGCCCGATCCCAACTACGCCACGTTGCGCGCCCTCGCGCTGCACCTGTACCGCGTCATGGACAACTCGCACGTCAACCGGATGAACTCGCACAACCTGGCCGTCATCTTTGGCCCCACGCTCATGGGCTCGGACCCGAGCACGGCCATTACCGATGCTGGGTGGCAAATCAAGGTTATTGACACCATCCTGCAGAACACGTACCAGATTTTCGATGAGGACTAAAGCTGCTGTAATGTCTTTTTTTATCTATTCTCCCAATCTTGCCATGTGGCCTTGACCCACCTCTCCACCCTCCTCCCCCTTCGGCCGCTTGTATGGTGCATCCTCACCGGCCGGCTTAGGACAAGGGGAGGAATAGGTAGGGGAGCGCGGTGAAGGAACTACCGTTTCTCGTCGCATCGGGCACGTCGCCTCGTTTCATGACCGCTGCGGCGTGTATGAGTACTGTACGGCTCAATTTAGGGGAGGGTTTCTTGCTCGCTTGCCTCAATCATATGGTACCAGCCTTCACGGCCTCGGTATGTGGGTGCGGGCGGGCGGGGGTTGGGGGTTAGGGGTTGGAATCCGAGTGCCACATCCCATCTTATCTCTCTTTTTGTCTTCAACGAAACCGTCCTGTCAGTCCCTTCGCCTCTTGTGGCGGCTGTTTATATCTGCATATATATATATATATATATATATATGTAGCCAGCGTGGCGAGAAGCGAGCTTTGGTAGGATACTACTTGTCATTTTCTGGCGGTGGCAATGCATCCGAACAATACGGCTCGACCATTGTGTCTTTCATCCCTTCTTCGTCTCACTGTTCGCCCTCCCTCATAGATCCTTCTCCTCGAGGCTCCAAGCCTTGTCTCTCTCTCTGCGCGCAATGGAGGGTGCGGTATGGTGTCTAGGTCGCACTCGTACTGATGTAGGTGATCCCCGTCTTCGAAATGCAAAACTTGGCGAAACTAAACCCCACGCTGGAAGATGATGGGGGACAACATGGATGATGGAGACTAGAAGTAGCGGTTTCCCTCGCGAACCGTGTTCCCTCCCTCTCCGACCCAGTAGAGTGAGGGACGTCACTGGGTCATGAAAGAGGGAGACGGAAGAACGCACAAGGCATGCTTAGTGGTGCTGGACAACAAACATAGCCGCCTATCGTTCTGCGGCAACGGCCCCCTACGATGATCAACTGCCCTTCAGCCACCGATCCCAAGATGAAAAAACCAAGAAGAAAAGAAGCAGAAAGCTACGCATATATGTATACGTAGATGAATACAAGTGTATAAGCCACAAGAAGGGGCGGGGGAGATCCCAAGCCCGAGAAACGCCCGCCCCCCCCCCTTCTTCCGTTTCCGTCTCTTTCCCCAGGATAAAACGAATCGGAAAGCAGGCACCGTGCTATGCATAATCGTCAACCCAGAATAAAAAATCTTCCATGGCTGACCCATCCGCCGTCCCTCGTGTCAATGCTCCCCCCCTCCTCGTAAACGTCATGCTCGGGGTATCCCGGGATGTAGCGATGCGTACCAGAACAGTGACGAGGAAAATAAACAAGGACTCCCGATCTATAGATGTAGCAGCAACCCGTCCAAGAAAGACCTAGAAAAAAAGAAAAGAAGAGGAAAATACAATATAGGGACAATGTCCGGCCGGACAGTTGGTGAAATCACGGGCATCCACGCCAGAGTCATGCAGTTGTTGTAGACGCTCTTGCGAACTCGCCGAACCTGGTGAGCTCACGGAGCCCGGCCACGAACCCATCACCGCCTTTTAATGGCCTCAAACAGCCCAAGGCTCAAGCTGGTGTCGTTCTCACCAACATTCGGCGTCGGTTCGCTCAGCACCTCCCACCGGCGAAGCACATACGGGCTGAGCCGCTCGTGAGACGCAGGTCCGATCCCATACAAGGCGCTCATGCCCCGGGCCGCGGCGCTGTAGGCAATCGACGCCCTCTCCTTGTGCGCGAGCTTCAGATTCTCCGCCCACGTGGGTTGCTGTATGCTGAACAGGTAGTAGAGTCGCGGGTCCGACGACGTGCTCGTGTTTGACGCGCCGCCCGGCAGATGGAGTATGCTTTTGGCGCACTGAACTCGGAGGTCGTCGGGAAGGGCGTCGACTAGGAAAACTGCTACATCAAAGACCTGCTGAGAGAGCGTGCTTTGCGTGGTTTGGGGTCGAGAATCGAGCTCGAGAAGGAGCCCACAGAGAGCCAGGATGATGCGGGCCCTGGCATCGTGGTGAGGCGGTATGGAAATCTTGGTGGGGCCTGGTTGGTTGGGGTTCGGTGCCTGCGGCGGCTCGGAAGAGATGCTGTGAAGGACGATGAACCGCAAAAGCGCGGGAAGCCAGTGGCTCAAGACCTTCTTCTGTGCCTGTACTCGATCCTGGTCCTGTGACGCAGCAATTTCGCACAGATCGCACAGCTTCTCCACCAGGTTCGAGTTAAGATGTGCGGACTTTGATGGCGGCTGGCCAGATATGATGGCCTCGATCACTCCAAGTAAGTTCTCGGCCAGATGGATGCGATGGTCGTTGGTCGCTTCGTCCTCAAACCCTGTCGACTTCAGAGACGGGAGGAGATCCAGAAATCTTGCGTGTGCCTGAGTGCTCAGATTGCGAGTGATGTCCGGGCTCAAGCACGGGAGCATGCTTGTCCACATGATGTTCCTAGCTTCAATCGCGCGGGCCATTGCCTTTGCGAAAGCCTCGAATCGCGAAGACTTTTCTTCCTCAGCCTCGCCAGCGCCAAGCTGGGTCTCGGACAGGTCTAGGGTGAGCTTGAGCTGGCAGAATGGCATGGTCAGCTCGTTTGTGAGGCCCAAGAGTTGATCAAAAGACGTCTGGGAGCTCTCATCGCCATCCGGCACTAGAAGCCTGGTTATGATGCGGTCGACAAATCTAACAGCGCTTGGCGGTAAGCTCCCAATATGCAGAACGCTCGTCACGGCCGTCGAGTCTGCCACGACAAGGTATCTCAGCGTCTCGACAAGTCCGTCCTTGCAGGCGGCATCGTCGAGCAGGGAATCGCGCTCGGGAGTGAGAGCCCGTATGGCGGCGTACTCGGCCAGAGCGTTGCGTATCAGCAAGAGTAGGGCCTTGGGATGTTCCGACCGGGCCGACCTCTGTTGAATCTCAAATCGATAGGCCTCGACACTGTCGAGACAGCCAGCTTTGGGTAGCTTCATGATAAGCAGACGCAGAAGCTCCTGCATATAGACGGCCGCTCCGGATGGAGGCGAATCCGGGTTTGCCGATGCCTGTTCCATAGAAGGACATACCGCATTCGCTGTGTGCAGCATGATGGATACCGACAGACAGCCGAGGTTGACGAGGAGGGGGTATAGCTCCGATAGCATTGGCCGATCCTTGAGCGTCCCGATGTGGCTGACCCAGTCGGCCATGAGCTTGTCGAAATGCTGGGCATCAAAGACCCGAAGCCTGGCTAGTAGCGATGCGAAAACCCTACGCCTGCCGTCAGCTTTGGCCCATCCGGCCTCGACTTTTGGTATGATGTTTCGAAATAGGCGATTCATTGTCGGTGGATCCACGGTATTACCACTCGCGAGCAGCTTGTCGATCTGCTCCGACACCTCGCTCTCTCCATTCTGTGTCTGCATGGCCATGCTATCAGACACTGGTGAGCACGCGTCGATTGCACTGCTCCGATCGCTTTGCGCAAGCTCCCGCGACAGTTGCTTGGCAATTCCCTCGCGGTGAGGCAATCGCCGAGCGAGACTGGACAGCGCTGCTAGCAGGGGCCGAGCAACGACGCCTTGCTCCCGATTGATCGACTTTAGCCTAGCAGTGAGTGCGTCGAACAAGGCGTCCGCAGACTCGAGAGACAGGAAAATCTCCATGTGAGAATTGATGGTGTCGGCACTGGCGGCCAGGACATCGATGTCTGAAGTAGCGGAGCAGCATTCCAGTATCTGGGAAAGGGTGGAAAAGTCTTGGGCAGTTTCCAGCATGGCGCGGACCGAGTTGAATATGGACAGAGCGACAGCCGAGTCGACTTTGCCGAGGAGGTTGGAGGTGAAAACGTCACGCAAGTGCGCGCCGATGGAAGTCTGCACTGCCTTGCTGCTGTTGGAGACTCTTCGAAGGAGCTTTCGCAGAGTTAGGCATTTCCTGTGCGGGTCAGCGTTGCCGAGGTGCGGCGCGAGGCCCAGTGTATCATCGACACATCTCAAGGCGTTCGAGATGTCGCTGGCTTCATCCGATACTGAGTAGTGTCCAGCGCGACGCAGAAGATTGCCCCTCTGAGCCTTTTGGCTCTCGGAAAGGCAGTGAATGGGCAGCTCCACCAGCAGCCTCGAGGCACAGGGCCCGTCGTCTGGGTCTATGTCGGCAGCATCGTGCAGTCCGCCCCGTCCGATGAGCCATTGCATGTACTTGGCGACCGAGAAGAGGCCGGACCGAACGAGTTCTGCGACGAGGTGAAAGACGGCCTTCTTGCGAAGCTTGTCTCTGGGAGGTATGTCGCTCAGCGTGTCAACGATGACTGACGTGGCGCTCACGTTGAGAGTGTTCCACGCTTTGACGAGCCTCGCTGCAACATATGTCTTGGCCAGGCCTGGTCGGTGGACAGATATGGCCCACTCGACCACAGCCTTGACGAGTTCAGCCTTGTCGTCGACGGCTGCCAGACATTTGGCTGAGAGATCCCGGTCGTTCTGACCTTGAATAGTCGAGTCAAGTAGCATGACGAGGTATTGTCGCCCTGCCGGCGGGGAAGTGGTGTTGGCCACCAGCAGCCTTGCGTTTCTTCCGTTGACCCTTTGAAATGCGCCTTGAGAGGCGACGTCATCGGGTGGCAAGAAAGCTTTCAACGCGTCTTGATGCCGCGGCCAGAGGCTCGGGGAAAGGAAGCTCTCTGGATTATCGGTTAGAAGGGTCCCCAAGAGGCTGTTGAGCTGGCTGGATAACTGTATAAGGATGTCGCGATCAGGGTCGTTGTAAATCTTCAGCCATCAGATTAGCTTCGGCCTCAATAGTGTCCCAGTCGGTTGAGTAAACGGCTACGTACAGCATTGAGATGGCCCAGTAGCGTGTAGACCAGGCGGCGCCCGTGCTTTCTTGAACGGACCAGGTCAGCCCAGGTGATCTGCGCAATCAATATCCACATGGGCACTCTCGATTGCGGGCTGTTTTCCAGGCCGGACGCAATCCAGTCCAGGTAGTGGTCTCGATCTAGAAGATGCTCGGAATAGAGGTTTGTTGCGAGTCGTATTCTGAAATCCACAATTAGCCACATGTCGTCTATCTGACTCGAGAGCAGGAGACAAGGCGCGTACGCGTAAGTCATTCGAACTTTCCAATCTGGCTCGCCAAAAGCGGACACGGTAGCCTCGACGAATTGCTCGACAAAGATGGTCCAGTCTCTCACCCACTTTGACTCGCCGCCCATGACGAAGGCCCCTCCGGCTCCCTTTCTCTTAAAGGCTCGGATCTCATTGGCGCCGACGCATTTGGCAAGCCAAACTGCTCGTTCGGTGGGCACATTTTTATTCAGGCACTGGTCCAAGAGCGTCCTCCCACGTATGCCATGGGGAATTGTGCGGCTGAGGCGTCGGAGCGAAATCGTGGGATTGGCCAGGTCCTTGAGCCAGACCTCGCGCTTGGTATCAGTCAAGGTAACCCTCGGCGGCGGCTTAAAGGTCGAAGGCGCAAGGATTTGGCCACGAAATCTCCGTTGATTCATGACGCCCATGAATATTGTCGACAGCGCATTGAGGCCGCTCTTCTGCCTCAGGGCGGGAAGCACGGCCAGGCGAGCCGAGGCCGTCTCGTTCTGAGTCCCTCGATCCCATGTTCCCTTCTGGATCGCGTCGGGGCTCCATTCGTCTTCGTGGTGTTGACCCGACCAGGGAAAGAAGTCGGCATGGCCCATATGTAGACCCTTGCTAAAGGGATCCCTATTGGGGATATCGTGCTTGTGTATTGAGATGAAGCGGGGCGCGTCGGCGGGAACCTCGACAGTGTACGGCCTTGGCCTCGAGTCTTTTTTAGGCGGCGCGGGGGGGGCAGGCGAGGGCCGCGGAGTCGACTTGGGCCTTTCCGAAGGCCGAGGGCGGCGCTTTGGCATCGGCACCGGGGGGTTGCTTTCTTGCGGCGAGGCGCGGGAGAGAGCCGGGCTCGGCTTGTCGGTGTCCATAGCGTCAGGCATGGACAGGGGCGCGCCACGCGAGGGCGTGAGGATCTGGGGCGACTCTGTGGCAGGCGGCAGGTCGTTTGTCCAGTCATTGGACAGCTCGAGCCGCAGCTTGGAGCCGCCGCGGCGCGGGGTGGCGGCCTGGTGACGGCCTTGGGCAGCGGCGGGAGAAACATCGGCAGGATCGTTGGGCGCGACGGGGGAAGCGGACGTGGAGAGGTATTGCTGCGACAGGGAGTGCGGGGGATGCGATGGCCGCTGGACCGCCAGCGTCGAACCAGGCCCTCGTTGAGGTTGTCGCGGCGGGACGCCCATGGGGGGCCTCGAGGTCATGATTCGGACGGGCGACGGGCAGCCATCCCGCCCAAGCCACGAAGATGGAGGGCCAACAGATACGAGGGGGTTCCGAGCGAGGTGCTAGGGCCCGACGCTGGGTGGCGCCAGGCGAAGAAGGGGCCGGCCTCGAGGCAGGTCGTCGGGCTCCCAGGAGAGTGGGCGTCGGCGTCGGGGCGACTCGAAAGAGACGAAGACGAGGGCCCGCGGGAGCGACGATGTGCGAATGTGGGCCCCAGTTAGGTATGTAGGTGATTCCGTGCAACTACGACGATGCAAAAGCGAGGAGCGGAGAGAAGCCGGGACTATGATTGTGGAATTGGCAGAAAGTTGGAGGCTCAAAAAGCAGAAGTGGTCAGGCACGCGATGAGAGGAGGTTCCCAAGTGGGACGGCGAGATGGCCAAGATGCCTTAACTTGCCTTAGCGGAGGGTACATGCAGGTGAGCCAAGCCGGGAGACAATCAGGGAGGACTTGATACCGCTTGTTAGTCCAAGGCTGGGTGGGTAGTACGACACCAATGGGCAGGGGGTGTTACCTAGATGAGGTACCTGCCGACACCGCCATGAATGCATGAGACCGAGTACCTCGCTGTATGTACTGACCGGTTATGCGATCGATCTGAGGACAGCAGCTCGGAAAGGGGGATGAGATACCTCGGACAGTACGAGCCTGGACTGTGCGCGACTCAGCGCCGAGGGACGTCGGCTGCGCCGAATCGAGGTGATGTTGCTCGACATTTGCGGCGAGACATTTTTCGACGATTCCGACCTGGGCGCCAGTGCATGCTGCGCCTTGGACAGTGGGCGCGCCAACATTGCCTTGTTGTCAGCCCGTCTCGGCCCTGATCTGCTCATGCTTCCCTTCGCCCTCCCGCACTGCTTTTTGCTGGAGAAAAGAACCTCTCTGATCCGTGTCTTTGGACTCATTCGTACTGTACGATACCAGGTACTTGCTGCAGGTAGTGGTGCCCCGGGCCTGCCGGCTGCCGACGCCGCCCTTCTGTGTTTGTTGTTATTCTGCACGCCGCACCCCTTTTCTGCGCTCGCATGTGCCTTCATCAGGTGCGACCCAACTGGCACACGTCGAAGAGGGATGCCGTGAGAGGTTGCTGTAGGTACCATGGTTTCGTCCCGATCTTGAGCACCCTTGAGCACCCTCGGGCACCCTTGGGCACCCTCGGGCGCCCGCCGTGAACGCATCTCGGAACCTTGAAGCCGTCTCACGATCCAGAACACAAGCTTTTACCCGGCGGCGAATGCCCCCAACATCTACAAGGAAATCATCTGAGACCCGTGACCCAAAGGATGCTGCGACACACACATGTCTCGCGACCCTGACCCCGTGGACCGTCCAATGCACACTCCTCTTCCCCTCGCGCGGGCCCGAGGCCGTCAAGACGTGCCCTCTCCCGGCCAAAGAGAGGCTTTTTTGGCGTCCGGCTCGCACTCGTCTCTCGCCTCGACGTGCACTCTAGGCCCCAGGTGGAATCAGAAAGAAAACGGGGGCGAAGAGAGAGACTTTTTTTTTTACCGATTCTACTGCTGGGACTCGCCTAGCTGGCTCTGCCCCCTTTTCCCGTCCTTTTTGCTAGGCGCGTGACTCATCCTGGCTACGTAAATTCTCTACGACGGGTAAAGTGACACTCACGGAGAATCGTCCTTAAGCTGTAGCATCAAATCGTAAAATATTACTCCGTCTGTCCCAGATCAGGCAACCAATAGACGCAGACAAAGAAAACATGCATCACACGATGACTACGGAGTAATTACGCGCGGAGAACCTTCGACCGACTTGCCCCTCCCTCCCCAGCGTCTAACCACTTCAGTAGATGTGAATACGAAATGTCTCCCCAAGGGCTCTGGTGAGCACCACGGCAGCAGCGTAAGGACCATACTCGGCTCAGGCAGCGGCCTTCCCGCCTCCCCTACGTTCGTCGGACTTGGATACCGACGCTACGGTACCGGCATTCCCTGGCATTCGAGGCTGGTTTCTGTCTCTCTTGGCTGGAAGGGATAAATAACAGGGTCTTTTGATATTTGAGTTTGCGCCACTCGGCGACCCTGAGCGCTTCCGTAGCTGCCTGGAGGGGGCACAACGCCCGAGCAACGTTGGAGGGCCAAAGTTTCCGATAGCCGTCGCCAAATTCGAGCAAAGACGGACGGGCCAAACATGTGCAACAAGATTCGTCGGCCCCTGGGTGAGAGGTGCGCACGCCGAGTGGTTTGGTTGCTCAGGCAGTCAGGCGAGAGGGGAAGAGGTGAAACATGCCCAACCACATATCGTCGACAACGATGGGACGTCCGTTGGTGGCCAGTTAGACCTTATACGGTACTAGAATAGGGATCAGAGTTGTTTGTTGGTCGAACATGGCACCTAAACATCCCAACGCTCGCAGTGTCAAGGATCCGCGTCCTGACCAGTCCGGTCGCGACGTAGGGCAGAGCACCCCTCCCAAGCAGGGAAACGATACTTCAAAGCTCGCCGGCCATGTCGACGCTCCATTCGCTCCAGCCTTTCTTCTCTCCAGGTAGCTTGATCGACTGCCACTGCTCCCTTGTCACGTTCCGCCACTCCTCGGCGGGGATCCAGCCGATGTATGCCCTATTGCCAAACCCGCCGATCCAGTACACATCCGTCACCACATACCTCATCCACTGGCTGGTGTGTATCCTGTTGCCTGGCAGCCATATTCTGGCGTCCTGGTGCTTCCTGACATAGCACTCGGATATGTTTTTGGCCTTTAGCTGTAAAGCGGTGATGGGGTCCAAATGTCCGAACAAGGAGAAACGGGGAAGATTGGCAGCCGAGTAAGGCACCGTGTCGGGGACATGCGGATGCTTTGATTCGTCGTGGCGCGCGAGGAAGGGTATGTAGGCGGAGAGCCTGGAAAAGAAGGAGATGCGCTTGGCTGGCGGATGCGGAGGAGTCCACCTCATGGAAAGTGTGAGGTTGGACCCGGCGCGGACGTTCTGGAAGCTGGTCCCGATGGTGATGGCCAGGACGGTCGGGTTGCCGTGGTCCTCGCAATCGGCAACGTAGTCCATGAGTCCGACGGGCACGCCGGCCAGCCTCTCTGGCCGACTTTCCAACGTCTCGGGACTGTCATAGTAGTCGAGGCTGTTGGGAGAGGCATGGGGGAAGACGGTCGAGAAGGTGGCGAGCTTGGACAAGGCGAGGATGCGGCGGCCCATGACGGCCGACTCGGAGCTGTTTGGGATTCGACTTGTCTCGACCAAGTCTCCAAGAGGCACCTGGGGCGTTGCGGCAGCGCCGGCGAGCCCAAAGAGGCCTGCGGCGACGTTGAGGGCTTTCATGGCGTCGCGACGCTTGGTGCGCAGATTCGGAACGTGACGGCAAAGGCTGCAAATAGGACAGCAATGGAGCAACGGGGGCGGATGCGAGGTAAGGAAAGGGAGATGAAGATACTAGTTGTTGAGGCCGGAGGTTGATGTAGGTGGGACGATGAGAAGAGGATCGAGGCCAGAGCACGCGGGACGAGGGATGAGACGAGTTTGGCGAGCTTAATTCAATGGCGAAACCGCTCCTGCCTTGGACATTGACCAAGTGATCAGGAGCGGATATGGGTGCGGGGAGATTGATAAGATTAGATTGGAAAGTCACGCGCAAACAAACATGGAGGACCAATAGGCTGCGCAGAGGTGGCCACAGGACGGTGGGCCTCTCTTGCAGGTTGCGAAAACAAGGGTTCGGCAGCAGGTGCAGAAGACGGGCCAATTGGCGGCATCGTGGAAGCCACCCCACCCCGAGCGAGATGAAGAGAGGAGGACGGCAGACGGGGCAGACAGACGGGGAAGACAGGACCCGAGGGGGCGATGACGTATCGTATGTGACCTGGGTAGGTACTGTAGGTACAGTAGAGGTAGGTACAGTATCCGTAGGTACGTGCATGATCAGGGACGTTCTTAATAATTGTGCAAGTTGTTAAACATCTTTACAGTACTGCACCCCCGTCGTTTCCTGTGACCGGTGCTCAGGGCAACTACGGGGTTTGAGCCGGCTGAAGAGAGACGGAGTACAGACGGATGGGGAAAGCGAGGGACGCAAGGGGGACTGTGTAGAATTTGCCTCGGCCTCCCATGACAAACAAGCGAGTGCCGGGCCCCAAGGTCTGCGGTTGGTGGTAGACCAAGTAGACCAAGTGGGCGGGCCATAACAAACGACCTCTCCAGCGAGCGTCCTGCCCTATGCATGCTGTAATTATCAGCATTGACATGCCATCAGGCAGGAGGATCTGACGGTTGGCCATTTACTAGGTACCTACCTAGTTATGAGTGCTCGAGACTTTGTACAACAGTTGTTGCGCTTCATATTTGTTGCCATTAAGAATAATGTGCAGAGCAGGAGCGAGGAGCAAGAAGCCGAAAACCGGCTGGAACGCAACGAGAATGACGAGAATTCCAGGGATGCAGCTGCCCTGGCCAACTGCACCGGGTGAGTCGTCATGCCTGCCCAATCGTTGCCCCTGCAACCGTGTTGACGTTGGCGGACGCCCCACCCAATGACATGCCGCCAAACAATCGGGTACTTGAAGCTCGTGCAGCCTGACCTGCATCGCCTTTGCCTGCACCCCTCGGCTGCCTGCCTGCCAGTCTGCACCCCGCCGCAGCCTCACTGGACCTCTTTCTCCCCCCGGCTGTGCCTCGCCCTCTCCATCTCTCCATTTCTTCTCCCTCCAGCTCCTCCATTTCTTCCCCCTCCATCTCCTCCATTTCTTCCCCCTCCCTCTCTCCCGCTTCCCCGTCTCTCACTCTCCCCCAAAACAATATCTTTTCTCGGGCGCCAACCTCCAGCTTGAGCGCGCCCAGACCCTCGCAAACAGTCTTCCCCCCCATTGGCCTCCCCACGGCTGCTGCCCGCCGCCCCAATCATGGCCAGCTTCATGGCCAACTTCTTCCCCGGCGCAAAGGACAAGCCCTCGACCGACGCCGATGCTCGCCCCTGCACACCCATCAAAAAGGGCGGCGCCAGCAACAACAACTTCATCAACCCCCCCAGCACGCCCCAGGGCAGCCCCAGCAAGAAGACGGCCCCCCCCGGCGCACACGACCTGCCCTCGGCTTTCGAGAACGCACTCACGCTCAACAGCTCCACCGCCGACGCCCCCTTCCGACTGTCGCGGCCCCAGAGCGTCGTGACGCCTCTGTCCCCGGCCAGAACCAACCCACAACCCCTCGACGAGACGTCGCTCAATGTCGACGACAGCGTCATCCACAAGGCGGCATCGTCGGGGACTCCCCTCAGGAAGCGCGGCCAAGAGAATACCCCGCCGCCCTCACGCCTCTTGGGCACCGACTCACCCCATCAGCACAACCACGCAGCCCTGTCTCGCCAGCAGCTCTACGAGCCCAGAGAGCGCCCCCTCACTCCCGCCCCCAAAAAGTTCAATACCTCCCGAGGCTTGACGGCCGAAGAGCGAGAGATCCTCACCAAGCCCAATGTCAAGAGAATGGTCAACGTGACCCAGCTTTGTAGGCGCCCTCCCCTCTCTTGATGCACGACGTCCTTTTTCTGACAGCAGCCCAGACTTCCTCGACTACTACTTTGATCTCCTGACATACGTCAGCGCCAGGCAGAATCGCCTCGCCGCCTTCAAGGCCGAATACCCGCCACCTCCCGCGACCGACGAACAGAGCCATGGCCAGATGTGGTCCAAATACACGGGCCGCGAACGCGCCAACCTCCGCAAGCGGCGTGTGCGGCTCCGACAGGGCGACTTCCAGATCTTGACCCAGGTCGGCCAGGGCGGCTACGGCCAAGTCTTCCTCGCCCAGAAAAAGGACACTCGCGAAGTGTGCGCCCTCAAGGTCATGAGCAAGAAGCTGCTCTTCAAGCTCGACGAGGTTCGCCACGTCCTCACCGAGCGGGACATCCTCACCTCGGCCCAGAGCGACTGGCTTGTCCGCCTGCTCTACTCCTTCCAAGACGACAAGAGTATCTATCTTGCCATGGAATACGTGCCGGGCGGCGATTTCCGTACCCTGCTTAACAACACGGGTGTCTTGTCCAACCGACATGCCCGCTTCTACATCGCCGAGATGTTTTGCTCCGTCAACGCCCTGCATCAGCTTGGATATATTCACCGCGACCTGAAGCCCGAGAACTTCCTGGTCGACTCGACTGGTCATGTCAAGCTGACCGACTTTGGGCTTGCCGCCGGCGTGCTCGCCCCTGCCAGGATCGAGTCCATGCGCATCAAGCTGGAAGAGGCGTCGGAGACGTCGGTGCCCTTTGGAAAGCCCATGGATCAGCGGACCGTGGCCGAACGCCGAGAAAGCTACCGTAACATGCGCGAAAACGACGTCAACTACGCCAAGTCGATTGTGGGCTCGCCCGACTACATGGCCCCCGAGGTCCTTAGAGGGGAGGAATACGACTTCACGGTGGACTACTGGAGCTTGGGATGCATGCTGTTCGAGGCCTTGACCGGCTTCCCTCCCTTCGCCGGTGCTTCACCCGACGAAACTTGGCGTAACCTCAAGCACTGGAAGGATGTGCTCAAGAGACCGGTGTGGGAAGACCCCAACTATTTCTTGAGCAACCGCACCTGGAGCTTTGTCACAACGTGAGTTTCGGCCGCTTCCGCCCCGACCCGAAGACTTGATCTACTTGCTGACACCGATGCCTTAGATGCATCAATTCACGCGCGCGACGCTTCTCCAACATCCAAGACATCTACAGCCATCTGTACTTTGCCGAGGTGGATTGGGAGACTCTGCGCCAGACGCGGGCGCCCTTTGTCCCTGAGCTGGACTCGGAGACGGATGCTGGCTATTTCGACGACTTTAGCAACGAAGCTGACATGGCCAAGTACAAGGAGGTGCACGACAAACAGGCGGCGCTCGAGTCGATGGCCGACCGCGAGGAAGAAATGAGCAAGAGCCTCTTTGTTGGTTTCACGTTCAGGCATCGCAAGCCCGCTGGGGAGGACGGCAGCAGCCCGCGAAAGAAAATCCCGACATCGGACGCGGAGCCTTTTGGCACGATGCTATAGAACGAGCAGTGGAGCCCGGCAAAGCTTTGGCGGGAATGCGCCATTCGCAGAGCGATGCTGTGATGCGTCTGGCGGCCCGGCTGCGGCGGACATATCCGTCTGCCTTTTGCCTCCTCTTTTGTCTGTTCGCATTTTGGTCCTGGCCACGCTTAGGCATTCCTCCCGGGCGTCGGCCTGGCGGCGCGAAGGGGGCGCTACGCGGATTCCATTTCGCGCCCCGTGACCCCCCCCCCCCTCATGCTATGCGGGGGACTTATATGCGCCTGAGGTGTTACTCCTTTTTCTTCTTTTTTTCCTGTATTCCTTTTGAGTGCGCCGGGAATCTGGCTAAGATGACGGGATACAGGACTGGAATGGTGGCCGTCCGCAGGGCCCAAGCTGGTCATGCTTAATGGTAGCGGGATCGAGGGAACACGGCCGCCTTTGACTGTTTACAGTTGTTGGTGTCGAACTACATTGTGTGTGTGTATGAGTGCGATAGAACCAATGCGACTGATATGTCATGACGGCTATCTGTGAAAACCCTTTCTCGCCCGCTGCCCCACGATGAAGATTCGTAGCCTGCTGCTACTGGCATTACCGCCACCAAAATCAAGGCGCGATTAAAAGGAAAAAGTCAAGTCAAGGAAAGGTGAAAGAAGCTCCGCGCAGCAAGCAATGGCCAAAGTCCAGGAAGTGAGGAGGAGAAGCCGAGAAACCAACCCACGCGTCGTCGGCTGTCAAGCCTTCTCAGCCAACATCCATCCATCCACTTCCGCGGCGCTTCCCCAAGCGGTGTCCTCTTGCGCTGGTGCAAGCCTGTTAGGTTCCCGTTTGTTCGCACCAACGGGCTTCTCCTTTGCGATTACCCTGCAGAAGGCATTGATGGAAAAAAAAGGAAACATGTCCAAAAAAAGTAGCAGGATGTGACTCCCGATTCCCCGTCTACACGCCGCTGGATCAAGTATCCTGAATTAAATGGCGGAAGGTCACACAAAGGTAGCCGAGGTAGTCCGTCCGAAGGGAAAAATCGGGGCGGAGCGGATGGGAAGCAATGCATGATGCGCCAAGACATGCCAACATATCCCGAAGCCGTTAGAGACTCATCGTCAGCCACTCCCATTCCTGCGCGCCGGGCGGGCTTGCCCTGGTGGCCTGATGCGGAGCCATGGGTATCATGCTGCCGGGCGCAGTCGGCGTCCGTTGGCTGACGCCAAAGGGGCTCGCCATCATGGAGCCGGGAATGGGACCCATGGCGGAGACGTGACCCAGGGACCGAGCAACGTCGTTGGGAGAAGGCGTCTCGTCAGGGCTGTCGACATCCATGCCCGTGGACGACTCGGAGCCGACACTCTTGCTGTGCCTGCGCTGGCGCTTCGACGACGCGGCAGGGGGGCGAGACGCCGTCGAGGCACCAGGACCGGGCGTCGCCTTGGGGGGCGCAGCTGCGATTGGCACGGCGCCCTTGATGCCCACGACCATGACTCCAGCGGCAGGGCCCGCGTTTCCGAAATGGCTCGTTGGGGTGCTGCCGGCCGAGTTGAGTCCAGAGCCGGGGCCACCGCTGGCCGGGCTCTCGCTTCCCTTGGCGGGGACCGAGGATCGACTGGCCGGGGGTGACGCCGTGCTCGGCCGAGGGTTGCTCTTGGCGGCCGTCGTCGACATCGATAGGGTCGAGCTCTTGCGCGAGGCGGCAGCGGGACCGTTTGCGTTTGCGTTCTTTCTCGCTCGCCCGCCCGAGCCAACAGCGCCGGTGCCTCCAGAACCCCGGTTCCTCTTCTTGATGACGTCAGTCTTCAGGCTCAGCGGTCGCACCACGCCGTGCAGCTTGAGGAAGAGGCCGCAAGCGTTGCAGAGGGGTTGACCGTCCGGGTTGCGCCGCCACAGTGGGGTGGTTTGGGTGAAGCAGTTGGTGCATGTTGTTGGTTGGCTTCCGTCGCTCTGGCTCCCGCCTGCTGCCTGCAGGTTGGTCGAGGAATCGCGCCTCAGACCCGGCGGCGAGGGCGGCTGGCTAGGCGCGGCCGAGGAAAAGCCCGACATGGCCCCATTGACTTCCCCCCCGGGCGAGGTGGGCACCGACTGAGTGGCCTGATCAAAGGCGCTGTGCTTTGTCGCCAGGTGGGAGGGAGTCGACGCATTGCGAGGGATCCTCTGCTGACGCACGTCACCCCCGTGTCTAAACGACTGCGACTGAGATCGGGCTAGCCCGCTGTGATCCCATTCGCCACTGGTGTCGACGTACTCGGTAGTCGTGCCTCCTATCATGACTTGCTTCCGAGGCGGACCACCAGGGAAACGAGCGGCCTGCGTACTGAACTGGCCGGGGAGCGACGCATCCCACCCCAAGGATCCTGCCTCGTCGACGGCCGACGAGAAATCGCCGCGCATGGCCACGCCGCCGTCGCCCATCCCGTTGCCATCTTCGTCATCCGAGTCCCCGCCGAAGGAGAACATGTGGTCTTGGCGCATCGGGATGGCATGGGAGGCGCCTTGGCTATCGGGCTGAAAGACCCGATTCGGATCGACGTGGCCAAAGGAGCTCTGGGGTGTGCCAAAAGCCGTCATAACCTCGGGCCCGGGGCCGGGAGGGTACATGACGGCGCTGCTGCTGAGATTGCTAGTGCTGCCGCCATTGGGGCCGTTGTACAGGTAGTGCTGGCCTGGACCCATGCTGCTGCTCATGCTGTGAGAAGTAGGCTGTCGGAAGCTCTGCGAACGCTGGGGACGCAAGTCATGGGCTCCCAAGTAGAAGCCATCGTTTTCGGCAATGGGAATCGGAGTGGACACGGCCGACTGGTAGGCGGAGCCAGTTGGAGAATAGAGGTCTGTGGTGTGAAGTGACGAGGGGACGGAAGAGGTGCCATTGTTAATGTACATTGCAGAAAACGGTCCGTTGGGTATCATTGGAGAAGTCGAGGGAGAGAAGGAGAAGGATTGCGGGAAATGGGGCGCCGAGTTGATGACGGGGTCGCTGTCCATAAAAGAGTCTAGGTTGAAGGGAATAGCCGAGCTGGCGCCCGGCAGTTGCTGCTGATGCTGATGCATGGCGGCTGGGTTGGAGTTGTCGAGAGAATATCCTTGGAGGTCGGCGTCCGGGTCCAGACTATGAGCACCGCCGGCGGCGCTACTGCTGACGGCAGACACATGGGGGGAGAAGTTTGCGGGGCGCTTTCGGTTCTGTGCATGGTGAGATTCAGCATGTGATGATGCACCAAAGTGCCACGGTAAGATTGGGGGACTTTTTTTCTTTCTTTTTTGGGGAGCAGAGATGGGGCGGGAAGCAATGTGGGTGGGGGAATGTGGGAAAAAGGGTAGTATGAGAGCATGGAATCAAGGGAGAAGTCGACGGCAATGAGCAAGGCAACGTAGCGAGGCGGGAGGCGAGGCGGGCCGCAGGGCCGTAAGCCAGAAAGGGGGGCACTCACGCGGCGATCGTCAATGCTCGTCTTGCGATGATGACGCGTGACATAGTCGAACTCGTCGTCTGGAGGGCGCTGGTGATGGGGCAGCGACTGGGGGACGAATTGGGTGGCCGAGTCCCGGCGCAGCTTGATGGGGATGGCGGCAGCAGTGTCTGTCGCTCTGCACGGAAGCGGAGGCGGGGACATGAGGCCAGCCGGGGGGGTGTCTGACCCGTCGAAGAAGTCATCGATGTTCATGGGATCGGCGCCGGTGTTCTCGGACGTCTTGCGCAGCTGGGCGATGCCGCTGGGGACATTAGTCGGGGCAGCGGCGGGCCTGAGAGGCTCTCGAGTCAGTTCTGAAGCGGGCTGGCGATGGGCGGTGCCGTACTGGTGGCTCGGCTCTTGGTCGCGGTGGGCGTTGTTGCGCATGCCGAGGGCCATCATGCGCCAGGTGAGGTTTTCCATGCGCTGCTGGTTGGGCAGCTGCTGCTTGGTCGACTTGAAGAACTTCCAGACCTGGGTGGCGAGCGGGTCGTCGCGCTGCATCTGATCGAGGCTGTCGGGCGAGTCGAGGGCGGCGCTCTGCAGCGAGGGGAAGAGGGCATCGCCCAGCAGGCCGTCGGGCGAGGGGCGATTGAGGTGGGCGCTGAAGCGGTCGAAGCAGGTGCGGGCGTCGTCGGGCGCGCAGAGGCCATGCGGAGGATCAGGGTCTGGCCGGCGGGGGAAGCGAAAGTCGTGCTCGGTCGAGGTGGGATCCATGGTGACGATAGGCCTCGAGGTGGCTGTTGAGGAGGACGCGGTGCTGGCGGGCATGTCGCTGTCGATGAAGAAGATGGCGAAGAGGAGAAGGAAAAGAGGACGCGTGCGTGCAGATGGGGAGGAGATGGATGAGGAGGAATGGATGGAAATGAAATAAAAAGCGTCTGCTGCGAAACGGAGCGAGTCGGCTTAGCCTAAGAGGAGGAGGACTAGTTAGTAGGTGGAGGCTTGGCCCCGTTGGGTGCGTGGTTTCTCTCTCTTGCTTCCTTCCTCTCCCCCTCCCCACCTCTTTCTTGCCTGCGGGCGAAGCATGTGCCGCGCCTGCTGGAGATGAAGATGATCCACGGTACGGAGTACTTTGCTCCTTGGCATGGATCTTCAGGTACCTCGAGGCTCCGGGGGCGAACTGAGCACATGGCGGTGTCGTCCGCTAGCGAGGTACGTGCCGCGAAAGTCGATACCTCGGGAGCCACGCCGCACCACCGCAGATACCACGAGGTACTTGTGTCCCTAGCAGCCCGTTGGCGGCATGCAGTTGCTACGGTTGGGTGTGCCGACGGATGACTGCTTTGGGAAACTCGGCTGAGGACTCGACGCATCCCCTTGTACGACGTTTACGGCGCAGTACCGAGGTAGCGAGCACGTACAGCAACAAAGCCGCTGCCGTCGGCGAGGAGTACTACTTTACTGCCTGGGTATCTATAGTATGTATATCCGTAGGCCGGCCTCGGGACAGCCAGGAGCCCTCTGGAGTTATGGGATTAGTAGATTAGGTAGTGCCTTAACCTACCTAAGGTACCTACCTACCTAGGTACTTACTTATCTAGGTACTTACTCTCCTACCTACCTAGGTAGGTACTACTACTAGACAGTGCCATCTACAGGCCTGCTAGCCCCCGCGGGACGATGGCGGGAGGGGCACTGCCGGCCTGGTCAACAGCCGCCAACAGGGGGCTGCCTTTGTGTTCCCCCATGCGCCGCCCGTCCTCTCGTGTACCGCCTCCCCCCCGGGACCCAGAGGTACATGTACCCCGTCTTCCCGCTGCCGCATTCCGACGGCGAGGAGACATGACGACGAAAAGAAGGGAAGACGCCCTGGATGCTCTTTGCGCCTGATCCAGTTGTCCGATGCAAGGAGCGATACGAGTTGACTGCTTGAATCATCGACACACTCCCCAGACCCAGCACGGACCTACAGTTCCTCTAGCCAGCCGACCAAGCAATGCTTCTCGAAGCCGACGACCCGCCTCGTTCTCGCAAAGCTGCCCAACGCGCCAGCCCAAGAACAGCCCAAGAACAAGAGCCAGGCAGAATGGAGGGCAGCAGCAAAGCATGAGCGACAGTAATTGGCATGTGCTCTCGGCCGCCGTTGGGAAGGGGGGGGGAGACGGACCACCAGTCATGACAAGGCGGGAGGAGAGGGAATAATGGAGCGGGAAGCTCACCAACCCATGCCGCAACCCATGCCGCGCACCGTCCATCAGCACTTGTCGAAAGGCTTCCTAGCTCCGTGACGAAGTGGTGTCACGGCGGACCGATGGCGTGCGAGCGCTCATATGCAAAGGGCATGCAGTGAGGTCGCAGCGCATGGCCCGAGCCTGACACTTGACGGGGCCAGGGAAGATGTAGTCACCGGAAACGGCTGGGGAGAGAGCAAGATAAAAAAAACCGGAAATATATAAAAAGAAGAAGCCGGTGGTGTTGTGTGTGCCCAGGCTATGAGTTACCCAAGCCGTCCCTCCTCCTCGTCGTCCAAGGAAAGGATGCATACATATTACAACCTAGGTAGGTAGGTAGGTAGGTAGGTAGCTGATAGACGGTACCTCGAGCTACATCCACACTAGGTACCTAGGTAGTCTCCTTCTTCTCTCTCCTCGGCCCGAGAACGGGGCGTCGGAGCTTGTCGGTACTCGGTAGCGACTTCATCCGATGCCAATTCTCAGTCAATACCAAGAACAAGAAGCGGTTCCGCGTCGAGTCTGCCGCCATCGGCTTCATGCCTGGTAACCGTGCACGACATGCCCCCTGTAGTGCCGGCCGTAAAAACAAGAACTTGCACCCTGGTCAGCACCAGACACATGGGCCCTCTGTTCGCCCAGCGACGGGGCGATGCCACCATTCCGGGCACGCGATTCTGCAGGACGGCTCTTGAAGCAGAGGACTGCACAATATAGGTAGCACATGCATGCCATGGCGGTACAGCAGAGAGGATATGACATGGTGGCGGTTCTCTCGCACAACAATCCTGAGCCTCGAATGATGCGTCCGCCCTGCGCCAGACCATCTTCCCGCTCCTTTCCAGTTGCATGCGCAGGCCTACCTTGCAATACTTCCTCGGTGAGGCTGCGCGCCTCCTCCATCTCCGCCCCCGCAGTCTTATGTGAGCTGTCACCCTTCCTTGCAGCTTCGTACGGAGTGCATATATGCTGTGATATCATCCTCGGCTTGCGCTGTGCCGTACATATGGGGAGTCAACGTTACAAGACCGGTGCAGATATAGTTACCAAGTATACTTCTGTAACTGGGAGAGTCTGTCTCAGCGAGCACATTTGGTCGGAAAGCTTAAAAGAGGGGGAAAAACAAACGCAAGGGGAAATGGCCGGCTCTCTTTTACACTATTGCTTGTGGATATATATCACGGCGCACGGGTTATATTGGACTTGGACGCTGAATAAAGATACTCGAACCAAGTCATCGGGACGATATCGGCGACTTGCCCGCGTAATGCGTGTCTTGGCGGCGGACGCCGGCGCCGGCGTCCGTGGGGTCCGGGGTCCGGGGTCCGGAATCGGCGCCTCATTTCCCGCCCGCCACTGTCCAATGCTCCCTCGGCCTCCTTCGTATACGGAAGCAATACGAAGTACTGTACGAGGACACACGCAGGATACGCCAGTTGCACCGCAGGGCTCAACAGCAACGCGGACTCGCCAGCCCCCAGACGCCGTGCTTCCTGAAGGCGCTGCCTTGTGCCGTGATTTCATCGGGCTGGACCGCGTTGGGCTCTCTCTCTCTCCAGAGACGTAGGATCGGTCGATTGATTGTTGCGCCCCCCTGCTGGCCGGATCGGCAGTCTGCAAGCAATGTCAAAGACCCAACCACCTCTTCAGTGTCACCCAGCCACCAACGCACGCACGTTGGGACTTTGACAGCTTTCCAGCCGCACGCAGCGACTCGAAATGACACGGGGGGACAAATTGAGAGAGGGAAAAATGAGAAATGGCCAGCTTCTCATTGGTTACTGCTTCCCCAGTGGCGCGTGGCGCATCAAGACACGGGCCATTGGAAACCTGGGGTTCTTTGGACCGGACTTGACAACAGCATTGCAGATAGACTGTCATACCGTATGTCCTGCACAAGTACGGACCCGTGCATGCACATTTCCCGGAGCAGCCAAGACTCGCTTCTTTTAAAGTTGAGACCATCGTTCCCGTTGTTGGCTGTAACCGCATGACGGCTGTAGGCTGAGGACCCCAGTCCTTGCATTGTACTGGATGGTTCCCGCTGTCGTGGCCGAGAAGCTTAAGCAGTGGCCAAGGATCAATGATACAAGGTAGTCTGTATGCGTGAAAAGTAATCCGCCACCAACATCCAGAGGCAACATCAAGATGAATGCAAATGGCAACGCAGGTGATATCCATCCATCAGCCCATTGGCGTGTCGAGTTGGTCTGCACTTGGCAATCGATGAAGTCATGGCTACGCAAAGAAAGCACCTTCATCAAGTCCAGTTCACTGCCATTGGTTGGGTGTACCGAATCATGTCAAGCCCAGCCGGCTGAACGGAAGCAAAAGGCAGCAGCAGTGCTTGTTTGCGGCGATGCTTACCAGGCCAAACAGGCTCCAAGGTGGCGTGATTTTCCCAACACCTTCAACATGCAAGAGTACGCTCTCAGACAATTTGACGACTTCCTTGATCGTAGCGAGAGCGGTGAAACGGTCGATACTCCCCGTATGTACATCATCCCTAACCAACCTGCAATGGAGGATGAGGATGACGAGGCGTAGATGAAGAACTGAGCTTAGAGCAACCTCGACCTGAGTAGTGGCGGCCAAGGCAGCTAGCCGAGGCAGCCAGTCGAGCAGTCAGTCAGAAGGATAAATAACTCGTAAATTTTACTACTCTAGTGGTGCCATGTTAGGACACCGCACACGAGGTCGTGCCTCTGTTACGAAGAGGAATGTATGCATTCTGTTACCACGGGATAGGCTTTCTGCCGTTTCTCTCTCGCGTAGACAGTTGCATGGCGCAAGAAGTAGTCTTTTATCGTGTCGTTCAAGTCTACAGGCAAGAAAGTAAGCATCTAGGCAGAATATTGAGGTTGGGAGAGCTACCACGAAGCCTCATCGCTCTGGCTGGTTGAAGCGAGTAGTGATCCGGGCGCTCATGAACGAGGAGCAGATCTTCCGGCAGGCCGCTCCTCTGAAAAGCAAACGTTGTTGGCGAATTCCATGGGCAAGGACCGCAAAAGTAGACCTACCCGCCAAAGCAGCATAGGCGATGACGTCTCGGCCCCTGAACAGACGAGAAGCGAGGTGTTGTTGATACGGTGAGTTGGGCCGCATCGAGGCGCCATTCGGTGCTTGGATCGTGTTGGTTGAAGAGGACCAACGAGTGAAGGCCGCTGCCCACCTTGATACATCAAAGGGTCGAATGCCAGTGGCTTCACCCATCCATCGTTGCTGGCTACGATGTCAAAGACATGGCGCCGACCCCGGTCAGACCGATCTCTGAGATGCACCTACATGCCATCGTTGGCTTGGAATATATTTCTAGGGAATCTCCTGAGCACGCTGATCAGATTGGGCATTACGCAGCCAGATGTGTGATGGTGATCAGTCGGTGGTATGGATGGATGGACCAAGATGGGGGACGGACCAGCCGACCGTACGAGGCTTTTGTTGGCTAAGTATGTTCCTATAGAGCGCAAAGCCCAGAAAAGCACAGGCAAAATTCACGCCAAATGCGAAGGGCAATGTTCTCACGGGTGCGGGCTCGGAGGTAGGGTTTGTGCTGGTAGAGCAAGGCAGGTGGATGGCACGAGTGCGAGTTGATTGGCGCTGTGGCTGAGGAAGAAGACACAGTTTCAAAGAATCCTTTGCTAGTCACATGTACCGACGTCGACAGTGCTGGACCAGTGGGCTCTGATATAAGTAACAAGAACCCTGGCACATCCATCAAGTGCCTGCTTGCTAGGACAACCAACGGGGCTCGACGTACAGTATGATTGGGCGAGAAGGGGTTCGAGTCCAGGCTGGTCGTCGTTTGGTCCCAGGCAGAGGAAGCTCTTGCATTCACCTCATGTCCCCCCGGCTCCGGACCGGAGGCGCCCGGATGGCTCGACGTCGGCCGGCCCGGCCGACAGGAATCCAAGACCTTCCGGCCGACTGTCTCGGCACTGGGCGACTACTGTACCCGACGCTTGCCGATCATGACCGGAAGAGGGAGTTGTGTCCAAAGCTCTCGGCCGATGGGCCCCGGTCATACATGAATGTCTGACGCAGATGCAACCGTCAGCATATCACACCCATGATGAGTGCCTGCACCCGCCGCTGGCATGAATGTGGAACTTCTGCAGGCCTGAGTATCTGGCGGCATGCATCGCTATCTTTGGTGTTTCCTTCTTTGGACACCGTGTTCCGTATGCCTGCGCGTGTATGTGCAGGGCATGACCCCAGCTCGGATCGTCTGTATACAAGGCGCTGTCAGAAACTTTAACAGATACTACCCATCAACTTGATCTTCCGGTTCCCCTCCGCGAGAGCCTGACCATGTAGGATCTTCGGGAACCCTCTTCAGATCAATGTCATCGATCCTAACTCGCTCTATGGTGACGCGGCCTCCTTGCTGCGGCTTACCGTTTCCTTCCTAACAGATTAAAGCCTTTACTCTCTAGGCAGACTGCCGGCCTTCCTTAACTTGTCTTAAGCCTGGTGCGCACCATGCCACCTACATTGTCCTTTGCAAGTGCCTCATAAATAGTATCAAGAACTCGCTAAGGGTCTATATGGATCAGCTCCGTCATATGCGGGCTCACAATAGGTGCCCACTAAAGCTTCTACGCAGCCAAAATAGGCATATGCGTCGAGTACAACCAGACTGATGGTGCCGCGTTAAATTCTCTAGATACATTAATATAGACACGATGCCGAAGTCTGACGCAATTATTCCAACAGTTCTATAGCCCTGGTGATCTATCGGGACGCCGTGGGAGCCTGTGAAAGCCACCCAGTACTTCCTTTAAAGATCCTTCCTGATTTCGTTTACCTAACTTCCGCGTGGCTGCGTTTATTCCCTTCCTAAAAGAGGCAACCTATCCTGGGGTTTACATGATGGCCCTCCCTAAGGCTTAATCAGTAGCTCTATTTTCCCCTGCTAATTAGAAGTTCAGGATCGAACAATCATAAGCAGGTGGCTCCTTAATGAATGCACTCTTGGTATCAACATGTTGATATGCTGGCCTGGCCTGACGCTCAGCGGCGTGGAAGTGTCGATTACAGCATGAATGGCACTGTCTATTCTCTTGATTTTTGCGGTTGGCTAGGGCCGTCCGATCGCTTTATTTCGGTAAATAGAGTACAGCGCGTATATCCCGTGTGTGAAGCAAACTGGAATAGCGCAGACAAATACCGGACGTAAGTCGAAACTTAACAGTAATAGCAGGTGATTGGCCATACACAATGCCAATATAATAGCTAGGCTCCGATGGAGCCGAAGGAACTTTAGGAGCTCCACCGACGAGTAGGCCTTTACCATTATCCCCCTCGAAATCGAAAAGATAGCAAAACATTAGGACGGGAAAAAGTTGCCAATCTCAGGAGGTCCATACTTCTCCCGTAGCTCCTGCAAGGCCGAGTTCACGCCGGGCCAGGGCCGCCGCATGGTTCAGCTATTATGTAACGAGTTCCGCGCACTGCACCGTGCCCTTACGATACCTTTCCTAGCGCCCATCGAGCCCGTAATTAAAGAGGGCAAGCTGCCATACTGCCCGCGGCCTGTGAGCATGATGGCCGCGCTGGTGCATTACCTGCCGCACAAGGCTAACATAACGTGCGAGTTGCGCCAGAACTACTATAACACTCGGGTCTACTGCTATTTTTGGTACCTAGAAGGTAGCTGGCCTTAAGAAGTACAAGGGCAGCGGCACGAGGCAGAGCTGCAAGAAGGCCCAGGACACACGTCCGGACGAAGAGGAGGGCGATAGTGCTCATAAAAGTGTAATCAGTCAGTCTAGAAGCCTGAGACAGCCCATTTAGTCAGTCTGACTCGGCCAGACCAGACCAGCAGTCCGTCTGGCTTGGCCAGGCTGAACTAGCATTCTGCCTGAGATGGGCAGACTAATATATTAGTTCGTCTGTTACCCTCAGGCTGGACTACAGTGCAAACTGCGCTCTAGGCTAGTAGACCAAATATAAAAGACTACTTTGGCCCTTCCTCGAACTGCCTCTAAGTTTCCTAATGCTATCGCCGAGTTGTCTCTCTCGCCGCCTTCCTTATCACGTTACTAGATTATAAGCATCGATGGTCCCCGTGGCTGCCGGACCGACGTGGCAACACTAAAATCTATAATTAGACAACCGTACACCGCGCGAAGTAGCAAACTCACTTCTAAAGGGACTACCAAAGCGCTTTTGTCCTAGGATTATAGACTATCTAAAAGATAGCGTAAGTTTAGCTTTCACGAAGAGTCGGTCTGCCTTAGTAGACATAGGTATAATTAATAGATTATCGATCGCTATTAAAGATAAGTTAGGGAATCGTCTTTACTGCGCTCGCTCTAACTACTATTTTAATAGATTTAATATTATTATTATAGGTTCCCGGCAATATATATTATACTTATTATTATTTATAATAAAAACCATAGCCTTTTACTCTTTTAATTATATTATTATTATTAAGATTACGCTAGGGACCTAGCTAGAGGTATCTAGAACTTTAATATTAAATAGGAGGGAAAAACTAGAGTGCCTAGGGGAAAACCCTCCCCTCTTTTAGTGCGGGTCCGCCTCGAACGAGGTCGTGGTAGCAGTACGTAGGAAATTTGCGCCGGCTACCGCGGGCTCCTCCCGCGAAATCGCGTCTCGGCGCGGGCCCTCTTAGGCCGTGGCCGCTACTATCCTAAGCGGCCGCGGCCCGGGCTCGCTAGCCCGGGCCTAGGGTTATGGGCAGTAGTCTCTCTCCGGGGGCCCGACTCGCGGGCGCCTCTATTTACCCTAGCTCCCGCGTCGCAGCCGCGTAGCCGCGGTTGCGTCGGCTTATCGGTCCGTTAGTTAGTAGGGCAGGTAATATCCGGTTGCCGGGCCGGGCGCTAGTATAGGTCGCTCCTAGGTAGGGCCGGCTAATCGAAATTCGGTCGGCCGGCTCCGCTAATCGTAAATCGGTTCCCGTCTAGCTACGCGACTTCCTAATCGGGGGCGCGGCGGCCTATATTTACCCTCTATCTCGTAGTTACTAATTACGCGCGCCTAGCTCGCGCCTATATATACCTGCCCTCCCCCCTTAGTTCCGTACGTGCCTCCTCCTATCCCTCTATTATCTATTTCTTTCGTAGGCCTAACTACTACCTCGCCCGCCTCGTTTCTATAACTCTAGGTCTCTTTAATACCGTATCTAGTTCGCTCGTTGTCGCGTCGTAATATCTAACTAAGAAGCCGACTTAGGTAGTAGCGGCTCGCCTCCTCTAAAACCCCCTCCTTATAAGAAAGTCGCTATAGTAGCGGGATCGGAGCGCTCTATCCTATATTTTACGTATATCGGGCGTCTTACTAGTAAGCTTACCTATAAGTCCTTCGCCGGCTATTAGAACTAGTCTTATACGTATTAATCCTAGCTTTATCTTAGGTCGGTCTTACCTTTAGTATTTTTACTAACTTTAATAGCCATAAAAGCTAAAGCGTATATTACTTACGCCGACTCTAACTAGTCTTATTACCGAGTAAGTAACCCCTTCCCGCTATAGTGCTATCCGAGTTCGGTGCTAATCTAAGTTCTAGATTACCTCCGAAGGCGAGGAGGCCGCTAGTGCCCTCTACTAAGTATAGTCCGAGGTCGATAGCCCTTCCCTTATTAAGGGTTCGGTATAGGAGCGCCTTTATCGTGCTACTCTAGAAACTCGTATTCGCGCTAGTCGGAAGGCCCCCGCCGCTAAGGGTAAGGGCGCGTTAGGCGAGTCCGCCCCCGGTCTAGCTACGGTCGCTAAGAATATAGAGACGCTCGCGTTGGCCTTTACCTATTTCGTAGATAATACCCGCTATATATACGAGTCCCTAGAGAAGTACCTAGGTAAGTTTAGCGACGCTATTAAGACCTTAGCCTAGGTCGGGCCTAAGTCGCTCTTAGTCGCCTAGAAGACTCTTATAGCGGTTAACGATCTCGCCGACTATTTCTATCCTATTACTAGCGATAGCCCCGACGCGGAGGATAGCGGCTTTAATCTTACTAGTCTTACTAGGCCCGTTCCGGCCTTAATCCCCGTTAATAAGGGGAAGGGCAAAGGCAAGGGCAAGGCGGTAGCCGCGTCTAAGGCCCTATCTAAGGCTAAGGCTAAGGTATCTATGCCCGCGGCCGTCGCGGAGCCGGCTCAGGAGCTAACCGCGTCTCCCTCCGACGCCGAGCCGTAGCCCGGTAGTTCTCCTAGCGCCGAGCCCGCCCTAAAGCGTCCCCGTCTTACGTCGCCTACCGATCCTGCTAACGCTCCCGACTTCGTCTAGTAGCGTCTTTATAGCCGTCGCGGTTCGGTCCCGGCCGAGATTATTACTAGTCTTAACCTCGATTAGATCTATAGTTATAGTATAGGCCGTGGCGAACGCCTCCGTGCCGCCGCCGGTATAGGTCCTACCCTAGTAGAGACCCCGGTCGTTACTCTATCTCGTAAGCTAGCCGTCTAGGCTGGCTCCGGTTCGGGTTCGGGGTCGGGTCCGTTCGGTCGTCGTTAGGGTTCTCGTGGCGGTGGTGGTCCCCGTACTCCTCGCAAGCCTTAGGTCACTCCCTCTTATGCTCCGCGTGCCACCCTAGGGGGGTCTCGTCGTTCCCGCCGCGATAACGAGGCGGATATTGCTGCCGACGAGCTAGGCTAGGGTCGTAGTTTAGGGGGGGCTAGTTATTAGCTCCGTCTTAGTTCGGTTCTAGGTCGGGTCTTATTCGGTTGCGGTCTTTCGGTAATAGGTCTTATTCTATAGCTATTAAGGTCGGTTTAGTTAGGTTATATTAGTTCTATTCGGTCTATAGTTTAATCGGCGAGGTTTACGCCTAGTCTAGGTCCGGTTCGGTCGAAGCTATAGTCCTATAATCGTAAGTCCTCTCCCTTTCTAGGTCGCCCTAGTAGGGGAGGTAGTTAGCTAGGGTGGTCCTAGTCGGGGCCGCTCCGTCCCTAGCGCGACCCCGGTTCTATTATCCGGCATATCTACGTGTAGCCTCCGAGCTAGGTCGAACTGGCGGAGCCTGCCTAAGCGGAGGAACTATTGCGCTAGCGGCGCCGCAGTCCTTTTCCCTTAGAGGCCCGCTCTTACGTCACCTACGTCCCGGGCCCGTATTAGGAGGGACTCCCTCGCCCCTACCGTTAGTAGATAGTCGATCATCGTATAGTAGATGGTGTCCCGTCTTTGTCCGTAGGTGCATATTAGCGAAACTACGCCGGGGACCCGTCGGTCGAAGAGGAAGTCGTTAAGCCCGATCTTTCCCGTGCGCATCTAGGTGATTGCCGCTCTTTTAATTATATTTTATACGTATTTGGTCGTCTTATATTTGCCTTTTATATAAAGCCTTATTAAAGAATAGGGCAAGAGGTGGTTAATTTATACGTCTTCTACTATAGCTGCCCTATACGATCCTTGGCTCTCTCTAAGTATTATCCTCCTAAGTCTTCTCTATATATGCCTACTTTAGAAAGAGGTTTAATACTATCGCAGCTAAATATGCCGGCGTATCTTCTATCAACTTATAGTAGTCGGCCAGTTTGGCTAAGGCAGTCTCTATTATTGTAGCCAAGTTAGGGACGGTAGTAATCTTCTTGGCGGCCTCGATATAATATAAGAGATAATTCATGGTAGGTAGAGCATCGGAGATAGTATCTCGCATACCTTTATTGGCCATTGTGGCATCGTGAAATAACTTAAGAAATTTGTAAGTCTCAGCTAGGATTACCCAGGCAGAGGGAGTTAGGACATCCTCTTGCAGAACTGGCTCTTGCGCACAAAATATAATAACAACTTGCCGGACGTTAGGCCTGAAGACGCATTTAACAATAACATACCATGAATTCTAACGAGAATCGTTGCTACGTATAGGGTGGTTGTCGATAACGATATCGATTTTATCGTCGAACAATATCGTATTAACCCTTATTGATATTGCTATTAAGATAGTTATCCTTTCATCTGGCATGACTAGCCAGTTGAAACTCTAGCATCGTGGCAAATCCTGCCCCATCATGAATAATCAGGCCATCCTGGTTTCCTGCGGCTATTACTCTCTATACCATCAAACATGTTTCCTCTTCAGCCTCGATGTGTCTTTACAAGTTAGCCCTATTATATGTAAATGTCACGGGCTGTGCCCGGCTGGTGGACCCGGTTGTACCGGGTCCGGTGGGTCGTGCTCCGGTGGCAACACCGGCCCCGCTCCGCGGACCCAGAAGCTGCGAGAACATTCCGAGAAGGGCAATATAAGCTCGCACTCGAGGCTACGCCTCGAGTTCAGCTTCTTTCCTCCTTAGCTCTAGATAGACAACACCTAGGCACCTGCTTGTTGAATAAACTCCGGGCCAGCCTTTCACATATCTAGAGCTCCTTCTAAATACCGCAAGCTGCAGACTGCTCGTCAGGATGGACCAGCAGAGTGAGCCCAAGTCTCCAGCAGCAATGGATTGACCAACGCATTCAAGAAGCGGTCAATGCGACTCTCAGCCCTCTACAGGACCAACTTTCCTTGCTGATGGAGCAACTCGGGCGAGCGCAGCCGCAGAGCGCCGACTTGCAATCGCCGCCAGTGGCACGAGGATTGGGCGAGCACGCCTGGCTTGGGCACGCCCTCCCAAAACCTGCGGTACTGGAATGCGGAAACCGTTGCCCAACCCACCCAAGTATGACGGCTCACGGAAGAGCTACTCCTCCTGGGCCAGGCAGATGCGAGACAAGCTGGACCTTGATGCACACTACTACAGTGGAAATCGCGAACTTTGGTACCTCATCAACTCATGTTTGGACGAGCGACCACAGCAAGTGGTCGCTACCTTTTACGCCGCGGGAGGCCCTGGGGGTAGCTACGACCCCCAAGAGTTCATGCGATACCTCGACCGAACCTACCAGGACAGCAACATCCAATCCTGCGCTGCTGCCACGCTGAGAACTATGCGGCAGCGCGAAGACCAACCTCTCGCGTCCTTCCTTCCCCGATTCGAACAGGCATTAGCTGAAGCCGGGGGAGCAGACTGGCCGGACAGTGCAAAGATCGTATTTCTAGAGAACGCAATAAATGCACGCCTCCAAGAGAGTTTGGTCACAGCCGTCCTACCCGACGACTACCAGGGATGGCTTGCGAGAGTTCAGGAAATTGCGGGCAGATTGGAGAGACTGAAACCCGGTAGGCAGCCGACGTCGACTGAGCGGACGCCTCAACAGCTACCAAGGCAACGACCCAAGGAGGAACCGGAGGACCCCGACGGAGATGTTAAGATGACGGACATCAACCGTATTGGCCACGAGTCGAAGGGTCGTCGACATGTCGATAAGAAGCCGAAGGATGAGCGCCGCTGCTATCGCTGTGGTCGGACGGATCATCTTATCGTGGACTGCCCAGCCCAGGTGGTCTTTCCTGGCGAAGGAAGCAACAGCGACCTAAAGCTGCGCGCATGAAGAAGCCCGATGCCGCAGATGATTCGGAATCAACCGCAGCATCCAGTGAGGACGAGTCGGCGGAAAAGACTAGCCCCGGGGCGAAAGCGGGCGCCGGGGCCTGCAAAGGCAGACATCCGGGACTGGGAAGCGTTCAAGCCACGAATGAATAGTCGGACTGTATTAGTCAACGCGCGGGTAAACCGAGGCTATCGAATACGCGCCCTTGTCGACTGTGGATGTGACTGCTATGCCGTGATCGACGAAGCCCTTGTTCGGAAGCTGCGGATACCCTTCGTCGACTCGAAACCACGAGAAATTGGGGATTCTCAGAGTCAGCGAAGAGTGTCATATCCCCAGGGTCGTGGCTGTTGTGGTCGAGACAGCTGGATTTGACGAACGTGTCTTTGCATACGTGATCCCAAGCCTGGGCCAGGACATGTTCCTCGGCCGGCCTTGGATGGAGAGAAATCACGTCGTGTACGATGCTGCCAAGCAGCGAATGTACCATGGGAGGGCAGGTGTGACGATACGCCTCATTGGGCAGGAAGAGCCCGCCAAGATACGCGCGATTCGAAGCGCAAGACTCGTGTCGGCAGCCGTATTCACGGCGGAGTGTCGACGCGCAAAGAGACGCAAGAAGTGCAACGCGATCTCGATTCATGCAATCAGTTTGTCGGATATAGAGGGCGCTTCAGCCGAAGCCGCCAGTCGATCCGAGCGAGAAGGTCCCGGCAGAAGTGCTGAAAGAATTCCGCGACCTATTCTCACCAGAAGAGGCAATGAAGCTGCCGCCACATCGACCGGGTGTGGATCATGAAGTCAACCTGCAGCCTGACAAGAACGGCAACGAGCCACCCCTTCCGTGGGGCCCACTCTACAACATGTCACGAGAAGAGCTGTTGGTCTTGCGAAAGACCCTGAAAGACCTGCTGGACAGAGGATTCATCCGAGCGAGTAGCTCAGCGGCTGCCGCGCCGGTGCTGTTCGTGCGGAAGCCGAATGGAGGGCTGCGATTTTGTTGCGACTACCGAGCGCTGAATGCAATCACCAAGCGCGACCGATACCCACTGCCCTCATCGCGGAGACCCTGCAGAATCTGGCCAAGGCTAAGTGGTTCACCAAGTTGGACGTGGTGGCCGCTTTCCATAAGATCCGCATGGCTCCGGGACATGAGGAAAGACTGCATTTCGCACGAGGTTTGGGCTCTACGAGTGGCTCGTGTGCCCTTTCGGCCTGAGCGGCGCCCCGGCATCATTCCAACGATACATGAACAGTGTATTGCGCGAATGGCTGGACGACTTTGTCACAGCGTACCTGGATGATGTACTGATCTACTCGAGCGGTTCGAAGGCGGATCATGAGGCTAAGGTGCGACGAGTTCTCCAAGCACTCGCCGACGCTGGGCTGCACCTAGACCCAGCGAAGTGCGAGTTTTCGGTACAAGAGGTCAAATACCTTGGGTTCATCGTCAACGCAGGAAAGGAATCGCCTGCGACCCCGAAAAGCAGCGCGCCATCCGCGAATGGGAGGCCCCGACCACGGTGAAGGGTGTCAGAAGCTTTCTGGGCTTCGCCAACTATTACCGGATCTTCATCCCCGACTATGCCAAGATCACGCAGTCTCTGGATGCCCTGCTTAAGAAAGGAACTGCCTTTCATTGGGGACGAGCGGAGAACGAGGCGTTTCAGGAGCTGAAGCGACGATTTTGCGAGTCACCGGTGCTCAAGCAGTGGGACCCGAGCCTCCCGACCTTTTTGGAGACGGATTGCTCAGGCTACGCATTGGGAGGCGTCCTGTCGCAGGAAGGCCCAGATGGACGTCGACACGCATGCGCCTTCTTCTCGAAGCGACTTTCGCCAGCGGAGTACAACTATCCCATTCACGACAAGGAGATGCTTGCCATCATGAGATGTCTCGACAACTGGAACGCCGAACTTAGGAGCTGCGGCCCATTTACAATCCTTACCGATCACCGCAACCTGGGTATTTCGCGACACGCCAGAAGCTCACGGAACGGCAGAGCGGTGGGGCAGCCAATTTGCCCCAGTTCGACTTCAAGCTCGAGTATCGCCGGGGAAGGGGGGCTGTCGTGCCTGATGCTTTGTCCCGCCGTGAACAAGACAAGCCACAGGGCATTGACGACGAGCGGGAACAAGGAAGAATGATACAGTTGATACCGGATAGTGCCATTCCATCATCGACAAGAGCATGTATCAACGCGATGAGTTCTGACTGTTCAGAGGCATCCACCCTGCCGAAGATGAAGGTCTTCGAGGTAGCGGACCTGCAGCAACTCTGGGACGAAACGGTGGCGAAGGACTCGATATTCCGGGCAGCCTATAAGGCAGTCCGCGATCGCGAGCGTGCCTTCCCGCCCTCGCTGGGCCTGAAGATCCAGATTTCAGAATGTGCGATCGACGCAGGCAAAGGCTGACATTCAGAGACCGTATTTGGGTGCCGGGTGGATCCGGAGAGGAGGGTAACCAGGAGGAAGCTGAGAAAGACCAGTTGAGAACCCGCATTGTGCAGCAGTCGCATGACTCTGTTGCGACCGGTCATCCCGGCAGGGAAGGTACGCTGGCTATTGTGGCTCGGCGATTCTACTGGCCTGGGCAGTCCCAGCTGGTTCGCCGGTACGTAGCCAATTGCGACACCTGCGGCAGAGCACACATCTGGCGCCAGTCGAAGGGGATTTCTCAAGCCTCTGCCGATTCCAGATCGACCCCGAAGCCATTTGTCCATGGACTTCATCACAGATCTGCCGCCTACTGGACTGAGCAAGGCAAGGTACCTGTGGGTGATTGTGGACAGACTGACAAAGGCTGTGACCCTCGAGGTGATGGACAACATGGAAGCTGAGCCGTGTGCAAACCGTTTTCTCCAGTGTCATTACCGATTTCACGGAATGCCACGGTCCATCGTCAGCGACCGCGGGAGCAACTGGCTAAGTAGGTTCTGGAAGAGGTTCTGCCGTCTTGCAGGTGTCACGCAGAAATTGAGCACGGCCTATCATCCTCAGACGGACGGAGGCCAGAGAGAATGAACCAGGAGATCGAGGCCTACCTGAGAGCCTACGTGTCGTACGTGCAGGACGACTGGGAGAACTGCTCCCTGCCGCGCAGCTGGCACTCAACAATCGTGAATCCGCAGCGACCAAGATCAGCCCCTTTTTCGCTGAGCATGGTTACCACGTCGATCCCATCAGCGTCGAGGAATCGGAAGAGCCACCGAGGCATAGAGAGGAAAGCAGAGCTGATAGCCTACTCAGTCGCCTGCAGGAGGTCAATGAGTACATGCAAGCAGTGATGGCCTCCTCACAGCAACAACAAGAAGAGGCTGCCAACGCAAAGCGACAGCCTGCGGAGCGATTTGAAGTTGGTGACAAGGTGTGGCTCTCGATGGCAAACTACAGATCGCCACGACCGTGCAAGAAGCTCGACTGGCTGCATCACAAGTACACAGTCACGAAGGTAATTAGTTCGCACGTTGTTGAGCTCGATGTTCGTGGCTCAATTTACCCGCGATTTCATGTTGACCTTTGCGGCGGGCGCATCAAGATCCGGCTCCTGGCCAAAGGTAGATGACGCACAGCCACCACCGGTACAAGATGAGTCCGGCACGGATCTGTGGGATGTCGACGAGATCCTCTGCGCGAGATGGAAGAAGCGCGGACGAGGAATTCAGGCAAGCACTAGTGCGATGGACGGGCTACGCAGAGCCGACTTGGGAGCCAGTTGAGTGGTTGCAAGGAACAATTGCGATGAAGGCATTCGAGGACAAGTACGGGCCAATCAAGACCAATGATGGCCCTAGGGAGAGGTACGAGACGCTGGCAGGAACGCAAGAACCCCGCAGACGCCGACCTGGTCGGAGGGGACAAGGGGGGTAATGTCACGGGCTGTGCCCGGCTGGTGAACCCGGTTGTACCGGGTCCGGTGGGTCGTGCTCGGTGGCAACACCGGCCGCTCCGCGGACCCAGAAGCTGCGAGAACATTCCGAGAAGGGCAATATAAGCTCGCACTCGAGGCTACGCCTCGAGTTCAGCTTCTTTTCCTCCTTAGCTCTAGATAGACAACACCTAGGCACCTGCTTGTTGAATAAACTCCGGGCCAGCCTTTCACAGTAAAGCACTAATAGCGAAGGCAAAATAAAGTATAGGGACTTGCGAAGTAGGCCAAAGGTGGCCGAACCTAAGCTATCGTGCTGCAGATGGATGGCTGCAACATGCACCTCTGCTCTGTCTCCAGACCTGCCTTGGTTGTAGTTGCCTAGCTTGAAGGAGCAGTCTTGAGCTGGCCAGGCGGTGAAATTAAGCGGCGCTTCTATGCCGTCGACGGCAACCGATAGGATGTCGCTAGAGTAAGATAGCTTATAGGTGAACTGCTTGCCCAATGGCACCTGACTCATTCTGAACCTCTGGGTGTCTTGCTGCGGCCCCGGCTTGATATCGAAGGTAATGTTGCCCTGCTGACTATAGTAGATGGCCGCAAGGGGCTTCGCCTGAGCAAAGACTTGGCCGATAGCCGTGCCGTAGGTGCCGTCGTCGGCTTTGGTGACGGCCATTGTCACCTCGAGAACGTTTGTATCTCTCGAGTTCCAGGCGGCATTGCGACCGTCGTTCTTATTCACCTCGCGCAGCTCGGTGCGGCAATGGCTGCTGCCGGGCGTTGTCACGCATCCCGTTAGACGAGGGTTGCCAGGAGCCACGAACACCATTGTGCCCGACGACGAGTCGGTGGAAAAGTATTGGTCGGAATAGCCTTCACAGCCTTGCAAGTCCTTACTTCTGACCACATCGAACCCGTTGCTGCCGGTCGGTAGCTGCAGGTTCCAGGCTCCCAAGTCGAAATTGCCACCCGGGGCGCAGTTCATACGTAGGGCGTTGGACCGGGACAACAAGAAGGTGCAGAGAGCCGAGCGGAGGATAAACCGCATCGCAGAAACAATGCGTTTTGCGCGATGGAATCGTGGGCGAATAGTCGGTGATATGTGTCAAGTATTATTTCAGTTGGGGGCATCGATGTTTACTTATAGTTAAAAGGCAGTTCCGTGCCATCCCTGTTATATTACTGGGCCCCCAAAAAAGTCGCCCTTGATTTATTAGAGTTTCAAGGGGCCCGAGTTAGGGGAATTGGCACTGCTTCTACTTCGTGAATTCCGGCGCATAAAAAAATAAAGCAAGGGTGGCGCCGCAAGGTACTTTAAGTATGACGCAGTAGATAGATGCTTTGGAAAAGAGATTTTATCGGAATACCTCTATAATTGAGTCACCATGTACTGAAGCATAGACGACCGCTTCCATAATGGTTTGATTTTCGCCGCAACGTTCAACATTTATTCCCAGGTACATACATAAATTTTACCTGTATTCAATCGGCCCGTTTGCTCGAGGTACATTCCGATAAATACCAGATAGGCCTTTAAGGCTCTTTTCATATTCAAAGATGTAGACCAAAGGGTTTTTTTAAAAGATATCTCGTCCGGAATGGGCTGCTATACCGACGTGATAATAACGTACGATTTAATGTTTAATAAAATGCGCAATAACGTCGCTGTCGCATAACTAAGAGCCAAGCGATTCTATTGCCACGAAAACCGGTGGACGATCTGGGCGTGGTTGGTAAGCCGACCATCCCCCCCCCACTCTGGTAACCCGCCCGTTGCCTCCCGTTCCATAGTGGTCCGACCATAAATCTATAGCCAGCTTGACTTTTAGGTGTCTTTGTATCTAACCTAACGATCTTACATAGGTAAGCTGCTACCTTTTTAAATAACTCTAATTCCTAACTTAACCTAATGAATGCTATAAAGGAATCACGTGGTGATGGCTTACTGGTCAGGTTGACTTTTAGGTGCCTTTACCTATACCTGACAGAACTATAAATTTATGGCCAGCTTGACTACTACGCACAGTCGGGTTACCAGGGGGCGGGGGTGGGATGCCGGCTTGACCATATACTCGAGGGGAAAGAGGCCTATAAGCGGCCTAGGTGGCGACATCTTTAGACAGACAGCCAACTATCAACTTGGTCAGTCACTCAATCGACTCATCAGTTGCTGCCCTGGTCACACTCCAACCTTCATGCCCAATTGCATTCTCTCTTCGCGAGAAGCATATGTAGCCAAATTCATACCGCCGTTTGGATGGAGAGAGAAATCATCTTTTTATCTACCATGACCAGCCAGGTATTCCTTGACGAGGACGTGAACCGACTTAAATTTACCCAGTTATGTTTTACTATAGCGATAGACTTTCAGTTTTGTATGCATCTAAATTGGGTATAATTCCTCAGTACGTCAAAATACGTAAAACCGATTAGTGAAGGATAACCCGTGATCCGAGAGTTTCTGTATGTCGGTGTTCTGTGAGTTGAACGATATTCATGCGCCCAGGGAAGGTTAAATCTCAAGTACTTTGTAAAACTAGAGCTAGTGTAAACACGGCAGTCCTTTTTGTCCATCAGTGCCACGGATACAGCACCAAAACAAGCGTGACAGAGATGAAGTGGAATTTCCAAGAAATGTGGAGTTCAGGAAATAGTGCGCAGGCATGACCATTGCGGGGATACCTGTCGAGTGGTCGATTCCAATAGGAAACCTGCCATGAATTATACCAAGTGAATCGCCATTAAACCCTTGGTCGCAAAAAGTGTTGCCGAGAAGCTCAGTCTATAGGTCTTCTACCATGTCCTTTGGGAGAAGAAAGAGCAGGAAAGAAAATGAGGGGAAGAAAAAGAAAGCCGCCGGGTGCTAGAGCTCAACGCGGCAGCGGCGGCTGTTGAGTGGTAGAAGAAGAGGCTTGCGTCGAAGGCCTTTGCGAGTCGCCAGAAGAAGAAGCCGTGATGCCACTCATTCCCCAGACAGCGTTGCCCAAATTTGTTACCACGGCGGCAAAGACTATAGAGGACATGATGGGCGAGACCAGTTTGTTGATGAGGAAGCCAACAATGAGCTTGTGTATCCTTACCCGCAGAGCGCGTTGTATCACCATGCAGACGCAGAACCAAAGTGCCGGGAATTGACCGACAACCAGCAGGGGTAAGATGTCCATAAAGCTAAATTCGATGACCAAGGCGCGGATAAAGAGAATGGTGTTGAGAATGCGATAGTAGACGCACGTTTGGCGCATGATGTGTAGAAAGGCGAGAAAGCGAGTGTAAAGGATCATGTTACGGCCACCACAGTAGAAGAAGTTGTTGAAGTAAGCGTTGGAGCCCCAGCGGCGACGCTGGTGTAGGTAATGCTTAAACGACTGGGGCGCCACCGTCTCCGACACGGCATCGGGGACGAAGAGTGTACGCAGCCCCTTAGACTGGCTGAGCATACAGTACGTCAGCCGACGGTCGGTGCCCAGGTTCTGGACTTGATGGTGGAGCACCCAATTCTCCTTGACGGGACGAGCGAACATGGCTATGGCGCCGGCCATTTCTTTCCGGACGGCGATCATGGTCACGCATCCAGGGAGGCAGGTGACCTTGCCGACGAAGCCCTCGGCCCAGCGGCGGACGGATTGACCGTAAGCATATTGCAGCAATTGGAAGAAGTTCCAGGGCGACCACTCGTATCCCGGCTCAAACTCAACGAGGACAAGTCCGCAGGCGGCGATGGCTTTTTCGTCGCGGGCGAGACGGTCGATGAGCTTTATCATGCAGCCCTCGTGGATGAGGGAGTCGGCGTCGGTACAGAAAATCATATCGAAGGAGCGGAAGTCGGTCTCGGCCGTGAGGGCTGGGAGGACCGTGGTCCAGATCTCCTCGCGCAGAAGCCGAGTGTACTCGGGCATGTTGTCGCGCGGGTGGTTAAAGAGATCGTGCGTCAGCACCAAGCTGTCCTTCTTGCCGCTGTTCTGTACTTTTTCAATCAGGATGACGGGGAGGTCCTGGAAGAAGAAGCCGGCCGTGACCTTGAGAATTCCAGACTTCTGCTTGAGCGAGAGGTAGGGGCGCTGAAATTCGGCAACGACTCTCGAGAACTCGCCCCTGATATCTTTGGGCTGGCCGTCGAGGACGATGGCAATGACTTGCTTGTGCGGGTCGCCAACATTCTCTCGGAGACCGCGGATCGACTTGAGCATCTGCTCCTCGGACTCGTTGTATGCCGGGAGAAGAGACAGAACCCATTGACGGGATACGGGCTCCGATTTGTGGAAGAGACTGGCCACCGAGGTCCACGAGAGGCAGAGGATAGTTATAATCGCCGACAGGCAGTCTTGGAGCTTGAAAAGGAGGACGAAGACGAGCGTCGCCACTCCGATTTTGGCGAACAGGGTCACGGCGGCTAGGCCGAGATTAACGACGAGGACAAAGATGATGAAGACGGCCCGTTGGGTTCGCAACTCGGTTCGCGTCAGCTTCCTAGCTGGATTGAGAGGCTGGGGGAGGATGGGATAGCCGCACGCGGCCCGGCAAGCATCTGACTTTTCGCCATCGGAGTCATGACGCTTGTGGTGAAGAATTGAGCTGTCGCTGAAGCTCGAGCACTTCTCCCGAGCCCACTCGGTACTCGGGCTCGTTGCCCGGCCGTTGGATGCGGAAGGGGTACACTGTTGAAACTTGGGCCATGGCCTCGTCAGAGCTTTTGGTGGCAAGTCTTGACTTGACGGCCACTGTATCGGTAACTTCCAAGTCTGCTCCTTTTTTGTGACGGCTGTGACGGGCCGGGGAAGCGTGTCGAAGGACATGGCCAAGAGGCGCTGACCAGCCTCAAGGATGGGACAAGGGAAAGATGATGAACGAATGTAGAGGAGTCGGGGAGAATTAGGGGAAAAGTATTAAAGCCATAAAGAAAAAAGAGGCAAATGATGGTGATGGAACAATGTGCAGAAGGCAAAATATGGCTAGGGGTACACCTCTTCGTATCTAGGCAGGAAAATAAAATCAAAATGCCTGGTGGCGAGGAAAGAAGTTGAGTCCCGGCATCAAAATCATTGAAGACAAAGACATGAATATGACTCGGTCAAACATCGAATGCTCATCTCCCGGGTGCGGTATTCAAAGCTGGAGACTTAATCGTGAACAGCAAGACTTGATTCCTGTATTCCTGGATCTGAATGTCGGCCCGAAGCCGGTGGCCTGTGGGGAGGCCTCGTATTCGATGCGCGGGCTTCAGAACACTGCTCCCTGTTCTAGAAGCCCTCCTGCATCCCATACGCGCAGCGGGCCTGGCATGGCTCTCATGCCATCACGAGAGAGGTCAGATTACTCTTACTCCCGGCTCTTGCCAGACTCCACTGAAAAATCTGCTGGTTTCCGAGGAGTGGTTGGTATGGATCTTTGTCGTTGCGTTATATTGGCCAGGTACCAACCGGGGGCATCATGTGGGAGTTCAATCTCCCCTTTTAGCCCCTGTGCTCCTGGCATGATGAGGTTTGGAATCGAGGGCTTTTAAGCCCTGACTCATGGCGCACGGCTCGGGTTGGGTCCATTGTTGGGCGTCAAAGTTGTGCTTGAACAGGGAGGGAGGTATTCTTGAGTGTCTGAATCGTGAGGAAAGGGGAAGTGGGTGTGTGGATTTGTGCGGTTATGCACTCGTAAGCCAGAGTTTGGGGAAGCCAGAAGGACGGTTGTCTATATGCCTTGGATACAAACTGGGCTGGAGTTCTCGGGATAGCTTGGACGCCATACTCGCTGTTGAAAACGCCTGGCCGCGCGTAAGAAGGCGGAGGCGGGGAGGCGGAGGTAGCACAGGTGCCGGCGAGCCACTTGGGTTTGTTGCTTGTCTTGGTATAAACGGCGTGCATTACGCCAAGTTCTCAGTGGCTGTACTGGCTGTAAATTGAGGTTGTGCTTGGCATGACAGGCGGCCACGTGCAGCCATTGGTAGGGCTGATGAGCGTCCTTGTAGTATCTCGGCTGTTCGGGGAGCCGGATTAATAAGAGAACCTTGGCTATTGGACGTATAAGCCAATCGATCGGTTGCATGTTCGCAGAAGAAAGCCCATGCGGTGATGAATAGGTGGCAAACTCGTGTACCGTATGCTTCCTAGTGGTCGAGATCCCTGAATGCTACCAGTTTGCAGCCTTAAGACCTTTAAAGGGGTAATCAATCCATTCGACATACAGTAGGCTCCACAAAGGAGTCGATCACGCACGCGCGGTATTTTTGTGCAACTACTACTTAACTGCAGCCTGCCAGATGGATTCGAGGGCAACAATAGGCGAGTTCTGCCAAGCCCAACATGCCACGCCCTCGCCAAGGCCCTTGTCGACGCCAAATCACGCCAAGTCATGCGCCTCAAGTCTTGTCCTCTCCACTCGTGCAATAATGGCGAGGCCGAATCAGGAACCGAGGCCTTGCTATTCCCGTCATAATTGCATTAAGCATCGTCGATGACTGTCAAACTCAATTCCACTATTTACTAGTCTGAACGAGGAAACAGACAGGGAAAACGTCCTTGGACTGGAGCCGATTTCACAAGACAAGGTGGAGGCTGGCGAGTCTTGCTGGGCGATTTCCCTCAAGGAGCAGGTTGCGCCGCACAAACTCCGTGCATGGAACAAACTCGACGATGATTGCAAAATCAAGGAGGGCCTCGACCTTTGCGTCTCCAAGACGCAGCCAGTCAAGTGCAGAAAGCGTCCCTATACGGCGCAGAGGGGCGACAGTTGTGCCAAAATTGGTCGGAAATTTGGCGTCACGCTCGACGACATGAGCAGATGGAACCCTCCCCTGCTCGGCACCAGGTGCAGCATTTTCCCCGGCCATAAGATTTGTCTTGATGGGGGCGACGCGTTGGGGAAGGACGCCGTGCCGGCCCAGAAGGACAACGTGGTCGAGCCGCCAACGAGGCTCACCAAGGGCTTCAATACAACCAGCACGGTCCAGCCCGCCCCATCTAACACGGCGACGATTGGCGATGTCGTGCTTGGGCCCGACATGAAGTCTGAAATCAGGACGCTGATGATCCGCTACGTCGGTAATGTCACGGAAGAAGAGGCTGAGCCGAGTGACGAGGTCGTGATGCCAGCGCCGGCCCGGGCGCAGACGATAGCGAAGGCGATAGAGTCGGCGGAACGGGAGCCGACCACCTCAACCACGGCATCGAGCGTTCGGATCCAGTTGCTATTGTCGGCTTACATGATCAGCAAGCAGGAGATGAACAGCGGTTGCTCAACCTGCCTTCCTGGCGCAGTGAACAGCCAGGGCAGCGCGCACGCCACTCACCCTCAGAATGGTGGCCTGCACGTTAGCCACAAACCGGACGAGAACGAGCTCCCGGCGTCGGCACCGACAGTCAACTACCAAGAGCGGGTGCACATGGCGGCAGAACTACATGTAGGCAACGGCCACGGCCAAGGGGACTCCAAGCCCCCGGCTTCTGGAGGGGGAAAGACAGCGTGTTAAACCGGTGCCAATTCTCATATATCCTTGCGAAGGAGCAGGCGAGGGGCAGCAACCGATGGAAACCAATTTTTTGTCTTCTACCTTTCTCTTCAATTTGCTTCTTTAATACATCACCGGTAATGCTCTCCGATTTCTCACGCCTTTTCCTCGGGCAATGTCTCGGATTCGCTGCCTTTTACCCAACACAAGTGATAATGTCTGTTAGGTCGTAACTGCCGTACAAAGGTACAAGTAACTCGCAGCGGAACTCCACCCCCCCCCCCCCGCATGGCGCCCCCGCATGGCGCCCGAGTGCCCGAGTTCAGCCCACAGACAAGGTGGGATCCACTTCGGGCCTCGCTTAACTTAATCTCATTTCATCTCGCGGGGTTTTTTTCGTTGCTACATTAACGTGGCTAGCGTACTGTACGTAGCCAATTCGCATTTTATAGTGGAGCTACCAATCTTAACTACTGCCGGTACCTCCTTGGCAGCTGTCACGTGTCAAAAACAGTTCTAATAATTATAAACAGTCACTTGCAGCGTTATCTGCTGGAGTGTGCACTCTATGTACTCTTTGCCTAGCACAATGACGTGACAGCGGCACTCGTGGTGGGGGGGAGGCGTGAGGTGGAGGCGGTGGTGGCAGACGTCTCAACAAGCAGTGCACCCCTGCGGCGGCCGAGGTTGAACTTGTCAAAACATAGCAAATACCACTTGACCACTAGCAAAATAGGGGCACCCCCAGTGGAGGTTTTATTGTATAGTTTATAAGTCTTGGTCCTGCTGACAGAACCATATCGCATCATCGATACACCGGCGGTGCTGCCGAGAAATGTTTAGAGGACAACAGGTGGGCACAACAGGGCCGAACCCGAGGCCGTGTGTTTTGCACGCTCCTCGACGCGACAACCCCAGCCAGTCTGGATTGCCCGCCCGGACCGGGCTGCTCTTCTAATTACACGGGGCCACGGGCCACTGATTGCGCACAACAGAGGCGACCTGACGGATGTCGTCACCTTTGGCTCCGTCTAGTATCTACCAATCAATGCTGGAAACGGTCCGCAGAGCATCCCTCCCATGCCAGGCAAGAAAAGGAGCCAGGTGCCAGCCAAGGGCCATGCTCCCGACCATCCAATCTTCGAGAAGGGCGATTGTGCACATCCAGCTGGTCACCCTGGGAATGACACGGAACTGCCCGGTGCTGGCGACAACAATCCCCGCGCCGGCCAGGTCAGCACGTCAGTAGCAACTCCGGAAGCGAAGACAGAACCAGTGCAATCCTGACCGTCGACCGACACTAAGGCAAGCATTGCATCTGCATCGGAAAGAGGTCATGGCAAAACTCCGGCTGGATCACGTGCCTCCGCCGCTGTGGCCACGCGTCTTTCATCCTCAACGCCACCGTCTCCAACTTCGCCTCCATCTCTGTTGCGCTCTGGTGTCACATACCGCAAGCTTCCCCGCATGAATCCCCACGATCGTATCCCCAAAGCCGACCCAGCGGCCGCCGACTCGGCCGAACAGCTTTATAGCTCCATCAATAATGCATATCCCGGCGCCCTAGTCGACTTTGAGGCCAAATGGCAGGCTTGGCAGAAGACTTGGTTCCCAGCCAACAGTCCTTCTTCATCCAGGTACGTTCCATGCAGCTGATAAAGCCAAGACGCATTTCGGTAATATCAGCGCTCCCGATAGCTGTTGTATGGTACCCGAGTTTGATAACCTCGTCGTGCTCGGGCCAAAGATCGTACCCCTCGTCGTATAAGCTGGCGAGCAGGTCCGACAACTTTAGAGGCGTTGATCTATGTATGAGCACGCCAGCTTGCCCGCTTGATATAAATGGAGCTAACTGATGTAGATAATGAACTCGAGAAAAATAAAGGCTACCTAGTGGACCCCAGTGATCCCCTCAACTATAACGTCCTACAGCGCCAGGCCAATCTGATCGTCGATATAAACTACGAGCGTAATAAACTCGTCCAGGCGCGCATAGAGGCCTTGAAAGCGCACTGCAAGCGAAGCCATGTCCATAGCAACTCGAGCATGGATACTGAATGCGAAGACTACGACGGGCTACGCGAGCTAGGTGGCAGCATCATCTCCCACCTGATGCTCGCGTCCAAGGAACCCTCAGGCTTCTGGTTCGAGTTGCTACACGAGATGGTACATGGTTTCGATAGCAAAACGGGCCTGCGGATTATCAATTTCAAGGAGCAGTACGCCGCGTGGAACGAGTGGTTCCAGAAAGGAGAACACGGCCAGGCACCCCGGTGGAGCAACGGTATTCGAGCTATCGCTGGGTGGCCTAGGCTATTCCAGGCTCCAGTATCGGCATTAGATGGCCAGAGGTAGGGTTCACCAACAAACGACCTCTGTCCAGTTGCACAAGCACCAACTCTACTAAGCAAAGCCAAGAGTTATAAACAAGGCTAGATGGGAGCCTCACATGTGTTTAAGGCAGAGATAATTAATGCCAAAAACTATGATCGTGCTCAGGGGAGAGTGAGGGAGTCTGGCCAGTAGATGCCGGGGTAGGTAGCTAGGTGATAGGTGGGTACATGTAGGCACGGGCATCTCTATTACTGACTGCTAGGTATGACGGTGACCTTAACTAAATGTTGCCCTGCTCTGTAGGCCCAGGTATATCCTATGGCCCGTAGGACCGTAAGCTTCATAAGCCCCGTGACATCACAGTGGCCTAGGTGTGTGTGCTCAATCCAGCCGGTATGTCTCCTGACAGTCCCCTGACAGAGCCTTGCGCTTTTATTGAAGAGAGATTGGAGTTAATAATAACATATCGACTCAGCGTTTCTAAATTGGGTATATTAATGGCGCTACAAAGTACATGTATAGAGCACCCCAATGACGCTTCATGCTGAGAGAGTCCACAGAAGGCATTCCGGCGCAGCCCCGGAGGTACTGGACGCATTGCCTCATACCATCTACAGAAGGAAAAATCATGCATCGCATGTTTTCAAGGGCCCCAGCTCTGGCAATAATGGCGGTGTTTAACTTATGGACACATGCGTGTTGACAGAACCTGCCGGAAGTGTTAACTGCTTTACAGAGTTCCCAAAAAGGATAAAAGAGATGCGTGCCATGCTTTGGATAGTAGCATTGAAATTGCTCATGAATTCCTTCGTCGCCCACCATATAACGTACTATACTGTCCGAAGTTGGGAGGGAGACGCTCAGGGCCTACGAAGATGAATGAGCTCGACGTTCGGCGCCGCATCCAGCATTACTTACGTGAATGTCTTGGGAGGTAGGGATTCCCCGAGCGGAAGAGACTGAGGCCCTAATGGGGTCATAGTTGCTCTTTGAAAGCCCGGGAGGGTCAACCAAACGTGAGGACATTACGGCCAAAAACACGCAATCAAGGAGAAGCACATGTATGTAGGGAGATTAAGCCCTCAGGTTTCACTTTAATTTTGAGAAAACATTACCTTACGGCAAGTCGTCGTAGCACGTACAAAATATTCTATAATTATAGGCATTTTGGGCTATACAAGGTCCCATTTCTAGAAGCCGTTTCTTGTACCGCTAACCTCGGTCCCCTAACGCCCGCTGCTCCCATCAGCGCTTCCAAGCAACCGTCCAGCATGCGCCAGAAGCCCCAGAAATTTGCTCGTCGGGCGGCAGTTTCACTTATTGGGAGCTTGATAAGCAACGGTCTGGTGCCCTACACAAACAGGCCTGAAAGCCGACAGCTCTTCGAACAATATTGGCAGCGGCCTTGCAGCATTGCTCTGGATCACAAGAAGCACCAGTCACAGCCGACTTTGCCCAATTGGATGCATCGGTGAGCTGCTTATAGAAGGCCTAGTGCTCGCTAGGGGCTACCTAGATGCTGAGCAGACAAAACCGTCCTTTATCGAGAATCCAAGATGGGCCGAGGTACAGCCCGGTCAGTGCCGACGGTGCTATAAGACCGGAGACTTGGTGAGATATAATGCGAATGGGACTGAACTTTATCGGTCGCAAGGATACACAGGTCAAGTTTCACAGTCGCCATATCGAGATGAGAGAGATCGAATACCACTTATCCTCGCACGACCGCCTCAGGCAATCGATGGTGACACTATCCGCTGGTGGGATATACGCGCAATGCATTACGGCAATTTTAGTGTTAAAAACGATAAAAAGAACTGAAGCATAGCGACGGCGAGCTTACGGCAGTCACCGGTCTTGCTCAGGAGAAATCTAACTCAGAACTGCCACAGAGTGGTATATTCTTGGAGCTAAATTCCAGGGAAGCCTTTTATAGGTTCTAGAAGATAGAACGGCCTAGCAGAACAGCCCTTATCTTGTAAAATGTGATATGCAACCTCGATGGTGATATCTCTCCGGGTTTCGATCGTGACACGGGCGGCCCGTAAGGCGGGTACATGCATCGTTGACGCCGTCGCCGGCAACTGCGACGACATTGTCTCCTTTGTGAAACTGGTTTACCATGCGCAGCCGGCCATCGCGCGGTCAAAGAAAAATATTGCTACATTTGACACGGTACTCCAACTTAAGCAGCAAACCAAGTCGGTTACCGGTGGATGGTGCCTAGCGCATGGCCTCGGCCGACATCTCCGACTTCTACTTGTGTTCGTCTCGCAAAATAATGTTGGCGCGCTCGTCATTCTTCGACAGCGTTGCTTTCGGCCTCTGGGCCATTGGATACAATCAACACCGCCAGGCCCGCCTGTCAATGGACCCATGCGCAGGCTGTGTAACTTGACCAAGGGTTCAGGGAAGATACGTGAAACCCCTCCCAAGTTTCACGAGCCCGAGGCCCAAGGGCTTAGGCGAGGGAGGGGAAGCCGGAGGTCAGCCAGGAGCAAGGCGACTCCACGACAGAAACACCGTCTGCCTCAACAAGTCTTGACGCAGATGGGTGGATAAGTTATTAATATTAGCCAGTAATCCGTAATCATGACGGATTACGTACTAGGGACCCAGAACTAACCGTATCCGGGATCGATTCATCGCGGCACACAAGTTTATTTCCAGGATCATTGAGGGTGCTTGTTGACCCGCACGGTTGCGGAACTTCCGGCGTCAAGCCGCCATCGCCATCGCCATCGCGGCCGCCCTCGACGCCTCCTGCCAATGAGGGCCAATTCTTGCCCTGCTCAACTCATGTGTTCGGCATGGCGCGCAATATCTGGGCGATCCCTTTGGAGCTGTCCAACTTCAACATCATCCTGGCCCTGCTAGGTGGCTTTATCTCGCTCTTTGGCCTGGTTTCATTTCTTCTTAAAGAGAATTTTTATCTCTCCGAAGCCCGTGAGTCGCCCATGGCATTGGCTGTCTTGACTACAGCATAACGAGTGCTAATAAGCTTTGCGCCCAACAGTCATATCGCTCCTCGTGGGCGTCGCGTTTGGACCAAATGCCGCCAACTTCATCCGGCCCAAGGCATATGCCGAATGCTACCAGAGCGGCGTGTCCGAGATTGAGTGTCAGAGCAACCTAGACAGCATCACGCTCAACTTCTCTCGGCTGGTGCTCGGAGTGCAGCTTGTTCTGGCTGGTATTCAGTTACCCAGTAAATATCTTCAGAAGGAATTGAAGCCCACCCTCCTACTCATCGGGCCCGGCATGGTATGCATGTGGCTGGCCACCAGTCTGCTTATCTGGGCCCTCGTAGGGACACCCAGCGTTCTGCATGCCCTCGCCGTCGGCGCGTGTGTAACGCCTACGGATCCGATTCTCTCGGCCGTAATAGTCAAAGGGAAATTTGCCGACAAAAACATTCCCAAGGATCTTCAAGACCTCATCGTCGCCGAATCGGGTGCCAACGATGGACTTGGCTACCCGTTTTTATTCTTTGCCCTTTACCTCATCAAGTACGTGGGCTCGGGGGCCACGTCTGGCAGTGCCAAGGACGCCATGGGTCTCTGGTTTGCGTTTACCTGGGGGTATACAATCATATTTAGCATCGTCTACGGGGCCGTGGTAGGCTGGATAGGCAAAGAGCTGCTACACTGGGCGGAGGAGCGCAATTACGTGGACCGCGAAAGCTTCCTCGTTTTCGCAGTCGCCCTCGCCTTATTCATATTAGGCACCTGCGGCCTGATTGGGACCGATGATGTCCTCGCCTGCTTCATTGCCGGGAATACCTTTACATGGGACGACTGGTTTCGGCTGGAGACCGAGGACGACTCTCTGCAGCCGACTATCGATATGCTGCTCAACGTTACTGTCTTCCTGTGGTTCGGCGCGTCCCTTCCTTGGGAGCTTTTTGGCAGCAACGCTGTTGTCCCAACCTGGCGCCTTGTCATTCTCGGCCTGCTTGTCCTCATCTTCAGGCGGTTGCCGTGGGTATACGGCATGCACAGGTGGATTCATCAAGTCGAGGAGGTAAAGCAGGCAATCTTCGTGGGCTTCTTCGGTCCCATCGGAGTTTCCGCCATCTTCTACCTGTTTATCAGCCTCAATTTCATCGACGAGCACCTGAGCGACGAAAAGGGAGTGCCGCGAGGTGATGTCAAGAACCTCGGTGAAACCTTTCAGGTCGTCGTCTGGTTCCTTGCCGTGTGCAGCACTGTAAGCAACCCCCATCTTTCTCAACCGTGCCGCACTGACGCCGTGGCAGGTGGTCCACGGACTTAGCATTCCGCTTGGAAGGATGGGCTATCTCGCGCCGAAGAGGATTGGCCGCGTCCTGAGTGAGAGCTTGAGTGACGAACCGCAAGCGATTGAGGCCCGACGCAGGATTCCCGTCATCGGCAGGTATCTTACCGGCAAGATTGGCGACATGGAGCCCACTCAGCCCAGGCACATCCAAGGACCTATAGTGTCAGCCGACCCCCGTCCGCTTTATTCGGCGGTTGAAGTTCCGACCCGGGACCGAGCCGGTATCGCACCCGGCGCTGCTGGCCATGCGGAAAGTGATTCGGGGACCGAAATCCCCGTTCGGCGGGAAAGGGAGATTCGATTCCCCGATGAGGCTCATGTTACACTCGAAGACACACGAGATTGATTACGCCCGGTGGTTGTCAATACGGGCGCTCAATGCTATGGTACATGTTCGCTCGGTATTATAAACGCCGCTTTTGCCTCCTCCTTTTTCGTCTCTTTGCGGGGACTCATGGGCTTGAATTATTAGCAAGCTAGTTCGAAGGCTACTGTGTTCCCATACTGTCCAGTGTCACATCTACGGCGACTGAAGCGGCGCCTGCTGTTAGTGGCACGAGGTGTTCGGTGGGGGATGAATCGTGGGTCGCATCATTGTGCGTCCGGACGGCTTCCATGCTTGGCATCCCTTTCTGCGTCTTCCTCCGAAGTGTAATGTCGGACAGGAGCCGTCGGAGCTTTAACACCTTAGTGCGAGGACAAGTGAAGGTAGCGAGCCACTCTCCGTACAGGCAAGCACGAGTGAATTCTGAGGCTCTCACTTCATGCCAAATGACTTCGCGATGCGGCCCTCATCGTTGATGCTTCCGTCTTATCCATATCTTTGGCCGATAATCTATACGTCAATCAAATAGCTCGTCTTCATTGCCGAGAACGACTTCTTGTTGCCCCACCGCACTGGACCAACAGGCAGCTCCAGTTGCTCCAGTGTTCCTTCAAGGCTCCTCTCCAGCGCCTCACATAGCTCTACACGGCCCGCATATCCTCATCGTTCCTTAACAAGCTTTATTTTCCTGCCGTCCCGCCTTTGGCACCGACATCGATGACGATTCGCATCACCGCCATTCCCTACAAGCCGTAACCCTTTCTTCGCCGCCGTCTGTTGGTTCCAGACCCATGAACTAGGCTGGACAACTGGCATCAAACTGGGCGAGATACGGGTGGAGCAATAGCAATCAATTGCATTCCTTGGTCAGAAAGGTGGCTTGCTACCAACGGCGTGGACTATCGCCTTTGTTTACGCCCTGGACATGACTGTTGCTTCGCGGCGCTCCGGAGTGACGGCAATGTGAGCCGGATAGCCTCACTGCCCGAGTTTATTGGTATTTCCCATATGAAAGCCATGCCTGCCATGTTCAGCGAGGGAGCCACGACTTAGAATTGCCTTACTGGCCTTCGACAATGCTCATCTAAGCCGACTCACTCGGAAGTCACGACTCAGTTCCCGTCTCAAGGAACAGCAGGCACTCGAGCAGAGTTCGTGTTCTAGACCCCAGAAGATGGTCTTATTATGACCACCATAGGTTGCGAGAGTGTATGCACTCATGAACGCGCGTCTTTGGTAGCGTGGGGCGCACATGCACGGGCATTCATGATTCGCTTGAACAACCAGTCCGGGGCACACCGGAGCGGCACGTCACCGTGCAGGTACAAAAACACAGTTTCTATCTGACCAACAGCATCATGCCGTTGCAGTTGCTAGGTCCTGGCGGGTCGATTGGAGGACATGGCTGGAGGAACAGGACAGCGGTTATGGCTCATTGCGAGACTTCATGATAACCGGCATGTACTTGGAGGAGAGGTCGCCTATCCGGAATATTCCCGACTGCGCAGGCTGTTGCGTTACGTGGAGGAGGCTCCATGGTGTGTTCAGTCGGATTCCCTATCCTCTGGTGCCGATGTTCCTATGTCATTGAACAGATATGTGCCGCTCTTCACCAACAACGAAATAATCTTCCAGAGGAAGTGTCGTTGTATGCGTCGACGCAGGCATCGCCATCCACAGCTTGGCTTACCTGCATGTCTCTGACTGGCGACTTGCGCAATTGCAGCCGTCGGGGTTTTTAAGCTATATACTGCCTCTGCCTCGTCTATATCCAACAGGCTTGACGCCTTTGCAGCCATATTTTCTACAGTCAACGTCGCCATTGTTTTTGCCCGATCTCAAGCTACATACTGCCTCTCTTCATCATGCCGAACTACGATACATTCTATGACGCCTAAAGGGGTATATTACGGACCAGAGAGCATTATAGGCAAATATATAGAAGTTGGCCATAGGCTTAGCATCATAGGGTGCGCCTACCAGTAATAAATGCAAGTATACGAGAATGTTGATGCACTATGGTCACGCTATAGAAAGGTGCCAGTGCGCGTCGTGCGAGCGTTGTAACTCGCCTCGGACATCTCCGCTAGAAAGAGGTTTGGAACCAAGTTTGTGAGGTACGAAAGAGTATACAAGGCATGTTCATTGCAGCCATTAGATGAACGGTTCCTCTTCACTGCCAAATTGATAGCACTGAGCCCACTCCAATCTATCGATCCTCTTAATAAGGTAGCAATGTTAATTCTCTAATTACTTGCAACTGTTAATCAATCCATAGATACGCAATCATGGCCTGCACCAATGAAGGTTTCGTCCGATCTCATTTCGGGTGAACTGTCTGCGGCGACAAACGGGTCCATACTCGTTGCTCAAAGTGGGAGAAATACCACGGTTATTGCACCTGTTGAGCCAAGGAAGAAATAGTAATAGAACAGATTCAAGGCCTGGCATACACTACACTTACCAACGGTAGTTGAAGAGGACAGATCAATTCGCGAGGGCTTCGGATCTTCAAATTCTACTTTGAAACAAAAGAAATTGTATTTAAACCTAAGAACGTACTATCTCTGTAGTCAATACCTCAATTCCACACCCCCCTATCTTGAATCACGTTTTTCTCTCCCCATATTAGATTTCATTCGACCAAGACTGATCCTCATCTTGGAAGGTTTCAAGGCCAAGTTGATTACCTACAGACTCTTGATTAAATTACTGAGCTCCGTACCTTCTTCACAAGAATGTCTTCCGAGGGAACCATCTAGATTTGCTCGCGTTCGGTGGGCTGCCAGAGCAAGTCACCCCATCAGTTTGACCGCTAGGGGTGGAAGGATAACATGGCATGGGCTCGATTAAATAATGTATCGCCATATTTGATAGCAACAGCCATGCTGGATAAAGATATCAATTACGCGACGCCTTCAATAACATTCTAGAGGATATGGACAAAGCAAAACCCCCCATGTTCCCATCGCACTACATCGGCCGGGAACCTTTTCTGATCATTTGTACCATCTTCCACGCGTGCTCGAAAAGAGTTAACTTCTGGCCGAAATCTCTTGGTCGAAAGCCCAGGCGCCGCACAACGTTGAATCCGCCAGTACCAACATTCATGGTCTGCCCCAGAATGATGCATTCAGAGACTCCCTCGATCTGGTCAGTTTTCATACCAGCGACGGCATCAAACAAATGATCAGCCGTTTTCTCAAACGAAGCAAGGTGCAGCACACTATCCCTGGTTTTGGCCAAGCCGAAGCGCGTGATGCCAAGGACCTCCCCCTTATAAGTCATCACGTCTGCTAACAACTGCATGTGCCGGGGATCGATACCCATGTATCCCATAACTTCGGCGATCTCGTTCGCAATGGTCGTCCTGGCTGCCTCAATGCCTAGCACCTGAGCACACTCCATCACACTATTCGTCCGAGTGCGTGTACCGGCTACACCTTCTGTTGTCATGCACGCCCGAAAACCATAGCCCTCCACTAAGACTCTGTGCGTGTTGTCCTCAGAAGTCTCAATCAGAGCTCTCGTAGCTTCAGGGTAACCAGAGATCGGCACGGTTGGAAGCTTTCGACGAAGAGCGTTGGCCCTGAGCAGCATATCGCCAGATTCCTCTGCTGCTGAATTGCTCTGGTTCCTTCTTCTTACCGGCGTGTCGGTCGCGTTTCTGATGCGAATAATGATCCTTTATTTATCAATAGTCAGGTCTTCCAGCAGGATCTTTAGGTTTCGTTGTTGGCAGATAGCTTGAGCGATATCGCTTGTACCGATACCCAAATGCATGTCTGTCAACGCATTGCAGTCCATCTGGAGGATAATGTGCCCTTCATCGGGGTGCCATTCAAGCTCGATGAAGTGAAGGACATCAGCCAAATGTGTCTTCTCGATGCGTGCTTTGACGACCCGTGCAGCCTCAATTTGCCAGTCATTAAGCAGCGGACATGTGATGACCGGCGTACTGATGGCTTTCGACGCATTGATGATCTCATTGATGCGAGGCACGCCCTGGGTAATGCTCATGCCAGCTACACCAGCAAAGTGAAAGGTTTTCAACGTCATCTGGGTTCCAGGCTCGCCGATCGATTGGGCTCCAACGGCGCCGACGGGGTGACCGGGTTCGACATGAGCTCTCTGGTACTTTTCGAGACAGAGCTTGATGAAGAGTCTAAGTGCTGTGGCCGATACCTTGGCTGTCCGGTTGACATGGTCCTGAGATGTCTTCGCCATGTACTCGTTGGTAAACCCAGCGACCTTCCGTACTTTGCACAGCTTTGAAGCCAAGCCATCAACGTAACCTTCGATCGATCGGAGGAAGTTCCGTCCACTGTCGTGTTCATCAACTGCGTAATCGCTGGTATCTTCGTATTGAAGATCTTCGTGTAGAAGACCTTTGCGTGGAAAGCGCCGACGTTCCATCTCGAGCATAGAGTCGCAGAGTGCGCGAACCTCGCTAGGGCTTAAAGAAGGTTCGCAATTATCCAGAGTCAAGCTCTCGGCATGGGTCCAAGTCCGTTGGAACTGAACTGGTGTGCCAGAGCCTTCCATATCCACGGGATCAAGATTATCAGCGCCGAAGCGAAACTGCACAATCTTACCGCCAGATGTCCGCACCGTATTATCGTACTGAGTTGAGAGATCTTCAAGAGACTTCATAAGTCTCCGTGACATGTACCCAGTTTCTGCAGTCTTAACCGCTGTATCAACTAGACCCTCTCGTCCAGAGACAGCGTGAAAAAGAAATTCGGTGGGGAGAAGCCCTGAGTAGAAGCTATTTCTCACAAATCCTTTAGAAGGGGGTTGGCGAGCGTTTTTATGGAAATGTGGTAAACTTCGATCTTGGAAACCATCGGGGACTCGCTGCCCACCAATGATCTGTTGGCCGACGAGAGCCACCATTTGGGCTATATTGATATCAGAGCCCTTAGAGCCTGACTTAGCCATAACCAGTGGGGCATTATTGCGACTGAGAGTGTTAATGCAGTATTGGCCAGCTTGTTGGCGGACTTTGCTGAGTACGCCTGAAATGGAATTTTCTAGTGATTGTTCCATATTGCATCCAGGAGCTTTTTCCAGTCTTCCCGCTTGAAATGTCTCGATAATATTGTCGCATTTCTCGTACGCGATAGAGACGAGCTGTTGCTTCTTTATCCTTAGACTTTCGGTTGGGCAAACATCGTCAACGCCGATAGAGAAACCACGATTCGCGAGATACCGGGCACATAACTTGGCCAAGCGATTCATAGCTATGACAGCTTCATTTGGCCCATACTCTCGGAGAATGACGTAAAAAATAGAATCTTTCTTCCCTGGTCCAACGGTAGACCTATCCATCTGACCGCACATGATCTCGGAATTGCGAATAACAAGCCAGCCATCATTGGGATCCATATCAGGAGATTGACCAAGCCGCGTGGTAAAACTTTTGCATTTGGCGTCAAAGTTGATCCTAATACGGGACTGCTTATTTGGCCGCATTAGAATGTTGAATATTTGTTTGCCAGTCCACAATGATCTTGGCACGAGAATTGCTGGTGGCGGAAGGTCTAGTGGAGTTTGCTCTAGCATATGCATGCATATAGAGGCAAAAGACTTGCGATCAAAGAAGCGGTCCTTACTGCTTAATAGAAATGCAGCAGTAATAAAGTCTTGGGTTGCTGCGATGATAGGCTCTCCACTCTTCGGAGTAATGAGGTTATACTTAACGCCCATTAGAGTCATAGCTTCGGCACGGGATTCTTCTGTTTGAGGAACGTGCAAATTCATCTCATCGCCATCGAAATCGGCATTATAAGGATTGCATACGCACTCGTTAAGTCGAAATGTCCTCCAAGGTCGGACCTTAACAAAGTGGCTCATAATACTTAGCTTATGAAGCGACGGCTGGCGGTTAAACAGCACAATATCGCCATCTTCGAGGTGACGCTCGACGATATCTCCGATAGCAAGCTCGCGAGCGACGGACCCAGAATCAGCAAACTTGAGAGATATCTTGTACCCTCTATCACCCTTTTTCAAGACGTATTGAGCACCAGGCCAGACGTTTGGACCGTTGATGACACATCGCCGTAGTTTCTCAATATTCTGTCGCTGGACTCTTTCTGGATAGGTTAAAGTCTGTGCAACAAGCTGAGGAACTGCCACTTTATCGACATCGAGATTTGGGTCCGGTGATATAACTGTTCGGCCAGAGAAGTCCACTCGTTTTCCGGAGAGGTTGCCGCGGAATCGCCCTTGCTTGCCCTTGAGACGCTGGCAGACACCTCTTATACTCTTCCCAAAGCCAGGTTGCTGTAGGCCTGGTACATCACTGTTGACATACATGGCCATTTGGGTTTGCAAATATTCCCATTGCTCCATGATAGTCTGAATAGAAGAGCCTTTCTGTAGTGCGGAGCGGATCATGCCGCTAACCCAGACAATATCGGCGATTTTAGTAGTCAGGTCGTCCTCATTGCTGGCATTGTCCTGGGAGACAGAGGGTCTTATGCATATAGGAGGGGCAGGAAGATATTGCCAAATGAACATCTCGGGCCGATTCTCGGAAGGATTTAAACCAAGCAGCTCACAATCTACCAAACTAACACGTTTGAAAAGGTTAAGAACTCTTAGTGGGTTAAGATCTTCCATGGCCTTACGCAAATGCTTATCGAGCTCAGAGTTTTCGCGGCGAGCTTGAGAAAAGGATTCGTTAAATGCAACCTTACTTGCCGGCGGTGCTTTCTTTGCGGAAGTCGACTTATTAAAAGACGAGAACTTGTCGTGTACGAGTTTGAGCACGCCAACTTTGCGAATTTGGCCGTTGGTAGAGCCACATTTAAGGCAATCCTTGGCTTTGCGGCATTGCTCATTAATCCTCTTACATATCTGGGTACGGCGAAGGTTGTCGAGATGCGGGTGTCGTAGCTCTTTGAGGAAGGCCTGTCGATCATGCTCTCCAAGCAGGACGCAACCACAGTTCTGCAACGCGGTCAGGTCTTTTTGCGTTCATCGAGCTGAGATTGCGACGATATGGAGTGATTACGTACTTTGCAAATGTTTTGCAACATGGAGATGATGAAGCGCAAATATCCGATGTGAAATGCCGGTAAGGCTAACCTTATATAGCCGAAATGACCGTTGCATTGCTGCAGCGTGTCCTGGCACGTGGAGCATCTCCCGGTCTTGCTCGAGGTGCCCTGCGATCAGTCTTCCGTCAGCGCTATCCCCTATAGGTTCCCTGAGTTACCACTTACCAGCCGAGAATCAAGAGGCCCATTGCGATACGGAGCACGGTTGTTTTCGATGTCGTACAATAGTCTATCAGAGACCTCGACGACGGCTTGATTTGCGACATCTTGAACGGATCTTGTCATCGTGATGATAGATGGTTAGCAAGCAATATTGCGAACAACTTAAAGTATGGATGAACTCACTGTATGCCAAACTTGATTTCTTTGAAGCGCTTGGGCAGCTTGTCGACAAGCTGCTGCTTGGCGGGAACGTCAGTTACACGTATCATGGTCCAGGTTGCATCAGAGATGCCAGGGGTGCCAGAGAAAGAAAGGCGAAACCGTCAAAATCGAGACCCTACACCTGATCGCTGGCTCATTGACCGTAGGGAATACTATTCAGGAGGTGGAGGTTTTGAGGGCTGAAGCCAGCATAAGCTCCAGATCCCACTGCCAACCGTGGAAGATGACGATGGCCTGTTTCAGGTAGAAGACGTTGACTCCCTTTAATCGTCCCGTGCGCTTCCCCCCCCCTCCCCCTATCTAAGCTGTATTATTAGGTATAGCTGCAGCCGCAAACGCATGGTACATGATTGCAGGCGCAATCAATGGGCATAAGCAAGTACTGGCCGTTAGCGTACAAAGCCAATAACACGTAGCCCGTGACTCACCGCCTATAACACTATAGCCTTGCGGCATCGCAATAGAATAGCACCACGAGGGGAACAGCCGCTTGGGGAGTGTTTAAATGGCTTTTACCCGCTAAATTTGGCTGCCGTGCAAGTACATTATTGCCTTACTCCTCCAGCTGAAAGAACCAGGCACCAACTGCCAGGTCCCTTGGTCTTGGGGGCTCCGGTCTCTACTAGAGCACTTTCACAAGGAAAGGTGCAAGCTTAAGACGCAGTGTCCCTGCCTTGCTCTCTTTGGATCTCTTAGATGCGGCGAAGCTACCTAGGCCTATATTAACGTCAGCTACCTAGCTTACAGCATACCCCCCTTCTAGCATATCCCTACCACCCTCGCGCCGATATTAATATTATATCGCAACCGCGTTTTCTCCTACATCTTCTATCTAATAATTATAAATAATATACTATTCGAATTATAATACCTTAAGCTTTTAAATATACTAAAGATTAGCTCTAAGAAGCCCTTTTTAATATTAGAAATAGGATACTATAGAATTATTTTTATATTATTACTCGTATATAGCCTCTAGGGCTATAGCGAGGCTAGTAGGGGCCTAGGCCTCTATTAGTAGTCCTAGCTAGCTATAGAGCCTAGGGGCTTATAACTAATTAGGGAAAGGGTAGCTATAAAGGCAATAATAAAGGAAAGGTTAGTCTAGTTCCTCCCGCGCGGTATTTTTCCTCCTTAAGGGCCCTAGGGCCCCTAGGTTACTCCTTTTCGAGCTACTTAGCTATCCCTATCTCTATTTTAGCTAAGAAGGTTAGAAGGGCTTCCCTTCCTTCCTTAAAGCTATAGAGAATAGGTAGGCTAAGGGCCCCCTTCTATCTCTTAGAGGTCTAGTAAAGGACCTCTCTTTCCCTCCTATAGTTCGGGCACCTTAAGATAAGGTGCCTAGCTATATACCTTCCTTAGCCGCAGCGGTAGTCGTCTCGGTCTACCTTATTAGTCCTTTTTAAGAAGGAAAATAGGAAGCTAGCCTTAAAGAGGAGCTAGTAGAAAGCTAAGAAGGTCGGCCTAGGCCGCCCTATAAGGTCCTTTTCCGGGCTAAGGGCTAGGCAGGGGGTCTTTTAAATAGATATATAGTACTTACCTAGGCCCTTAGCCCTAGGGCCTTTAGCCGCCTTAGTAGCCTAGAGGCCCTTTTAATAGTCCTTAGTAGCTTACTAGACCTTTCTTTATAAGTAGCTAATAGAGATTAAAGGGGTCCCTTAGGTAAGGGCCCCTAAGCCTCTTTTAGCTAGCTAGTTAGCTAGCTCGTTACTAAAGATCCCTAGGTAGCTAAGGTATTAGTATAGCTATATATTATAAAAGGCTTCTAAGCTAGATAGGAGCCTTTTAATATATATAGCTAGGTCTAAGAAACCTATAACCTTCCTTATAATAGCTTAGCTATTTATAAAGATATAGGTATCTATAAGGGGGTTAAGGGGGCTAGCTAAGCCTTAAGGGCTAAGGCCTCCTAGCTAGGTCCTTTAAGACCTTTAGTATCGCGAATAGCTCTATATTAGCTACTTTAATTAAGGGCCCTAGGTTCTTATAGTACGCTTTAATAAGCCTATTTTCTAAGTTTATTTTATAAAAAAAGTAAGCGTTAGTCTCTATAAGGGACCCTTTAAGGCACCCCTTAAAGCTATTAGTATAGAAGGTTAAGGGCTATAACTTAAAGTCTTCTAGGCTAGCTAAGCTAGCTAAGAGGTATTAGTACTACTTCTTAGCTAAGGGCTTATAAGCTTTTATTATTATAATAAAGGCTTTAGGCTTTAAGGCTTATAAGGGCTCTTAGTTAGCTTTCCTTTTTTCTAAGTTATAATTAAGTCCTATAATAGCTACTAGGCCTTTAAGAAGGTAAAAGAGCTATATATAAAGCTTAATATAGCTTAAGGCCCTTAAGTTAGAGCCTAAGTTAGCGAGGTTATTATAAGAATATACCCTTATATTCCTATTTTACTATTATAAAGAAATAATAGGCATAGGGAGGCTCTATAGAATAAGCTAGTAAAAAGAGGCTCTATAATATAGTCTAAGGGAATAACCCTTAAAGATAAAGGCCTCTACTAGACATCTATACCTTCCTTTAGGAAAAGCGGGTTAAGATAAGCCTATCTTAATAAATAAAAATATGCATAAAATGCATAAGTCAATTACGAGCAGAACGGATACCCTATTGCCTATTTTGGCCTAGCGGTTCCGAAGATATCCGCGATACGAGAATAGGTAGGGCATAGAACATTCTGGTTAAATCTACTACTTATACCAGAACCCATAGTCTTACGTTAACCATCACGTCACAATCAGACCACCTACTAAGTTAGGAAGATATACTATAGATAGAGCTTTTTAAGCACTATAGAATGTGCTAGAAAGCTAACTAATTGGTCTACTAGTAAGCGAGCAGTGGTCTATAAAAGACGAAGGATTTCCCTGGGAGTAGTAGATAGAATAAGCAAGTTCGTAAGCATCTTTTGCAACGCTATTCTTTTAATATATTATTCAGCCCCTTATATGCTCGTTATAAATTCCGGACGAAATCCCACCCTATACTCCTTCGACCGATCTTTCCGCTTACGTTATCGATTACCCGATCCTACGCTTATTGCTTATACCTTTTAACAGTTATAAGCCTACTTTATAGGGTAACTAGGTAAGAAGTATAAGGTCTAGAGGGTATAAGAGAGGTATATTTTAATAGGTAAGATCGCACCCTTATAAATATTAGCCCGTTAAAGGGATAAGACCCTTAGTACTTCCTATCTACCCCCCCCTCCTAAGTATACTTAAAGGCTTTATAAAAGCTAAGATTATTTAATTAAGTATTCTCCTTAATTATAATTAATTTAAACGTTTATTTTTCCCTTTTAAAGTAAAGGCTATTAGTTACGCGACTTTAATAAAGATAAAGAGGTATAAAGTAAAGAAATCTCTAAGACTTATATTAATAACCTAAGACCTTTAGAGCTATATATAGGACCGATAATTAAATAATTACGCGGTTAATTACTTTATTAATCCTTAGCTATATACTATATATACTTTAGGTATATACCCTCGTCCCTATTAAAACTAGTTTCTAGGGCGTAAACTTATTATTCTATTTTATTTATATAGCGATAAGTAGCTTTATAAAGCTAAGAATATTTAAAGGATAATAGTACTATTTAAAAAAAATAAAATCTAGGGATTTAATAATTAAAGTAGTAACTACCTTAATTGTAAGGAACGGTGTTCCTACTATAAATAAAGCAGCTATAATATACTCTCCCGATTATATAAGCTAATAAGTAGTATATTAATTATAGACAAAATCTTATCCTATAGAGTAAGAATCGCTCGTTATTTTGCATGTCATTATGCATTAAACGGGTTGCCGGTTATCGTACAATCGGGAATCGAAGGAACAGAGCTAGCTTAGAATACTAGCTAAGACCTCTTAAGAACACCGGCACGACCAACCTCCTTTAAACATAAATATCAGTGGAACCAAGACACTTCTAGATTCACTCGAGGTATCACGGAATTCCCCAGTCTCAGGGCTATACGGCAGCCTAAATCTGGTCCCGAAAGGTTCTTCCGTTCAGCTACAATTGTCTATATAAGACAGCATGTCCGCTAGTAGATAGATAGAGGATTATTAACTTTAACACCTCTTCCACACACCAATACACTACCAATAAATTCCGTTGAAAATCCTACCTTATACTCCTTCTTCCCCTCTATTATGTAGTCTTACGTGATTCCTTGATTTCCTAAAATTCCGCTTTTGCTCATATACCTTTAGATTAATAGCTAGAGTTAAGAACTTAATAAGGTAATAAGCTTACTAGGAAGTAAATAATTAAATTATACCTTTACTAGTAGTAAAGGAAAAGTAATAAGCTAATGCTAAAAAACCCCTAAGATCTTATTATTAGCCCTATAACCCTTAATATTAGCGACTTAGTTAAGAAACTATAATCTTTATATAATACTTTAAAAGATATAAATAACGATAATAATATAATCTAAACTATTTTAGAACCTTACTAAGACCTCTTACTTATATATATACTAATAATATTAATATAGGTATTAATAGGAGATACCTTAATAACCTTAACCTTAGCTCTCCTTTATATAATAGCTTATAGAGAACGCTTACTTTCTTTTAATAAATAAGAAAGGAAGTAATAAGATAGTTATAATAAGATATCTTTTAACTTTAAAAGCTTTAACTTTAAATTTTATAACCTTATAATCTATAAGTATACTATATTTAAAAACGCTAGCTATTAAAAGGGATTATTTAATCTTACTATTAATAATACTAAAAAGATTAAAGTAAATATTAATAAGATTACTAATAAACTTAGAGATATACTTATTAAAAGCTAAGATAACTTTATAAGAAGACTCTATTAACTATAACTCTTACTTATTAGTAAATTTAATAGTAAAAATATAACTAAATTCCTTAAGAAGTTTAAATAAGAAATATATATTAACTATATCCTTGCCCTTAGCCTTAGATAAAGCCTTAAACGCGATAGCCGCTTTACCCTTACCTTTGCCCTTGCCCTTCCCCTTATTAAATAGGGCTAAAGCTAAACTAGACCTAGTAAGA